CACAAAAGAAAAAGGAAACAGGTGAAGAAGATAACCGTTTTCTAGTGTGGCTCTAGGAAGCTTATATACAATAATGAGTTATGTAAGACTACGTAAACATATTATGTAACAAACACAATCTCATGATCTGTTGACTAATGAGTTAATGGATGATTTAAGTTTGATGGAAAGCACACAATGTACAATTAGACAACTGAGGGAAAAGCCCCAAAATTAGTGAGCAGTTCGTATCCCAACACAATCTTGATTTTGAGAACTGTTTTGGTGGATGCAGTGATTGTACTGTGATTTTCCATATCGTTAAAGAAAAGCCCTCCAATGTGTGTTATGGATGCAAACTGGCCTGGATTTTCATTGTTTGATCACTGTCCTTTTGTTGCTTATACTGTTCACCTCTTTCACATTGTTTCTACACTCTGCAACAGCCGACTAAATTGTATATAGAATTAAGTGAATATGACCAAGTCCTTCTTGAAGAAATTGGTCCCGTGGGTATTATTTGCCCCTTTACCTTCAGTCCCTTCACTCACTTATTCTTTTTTAAAAAATTCCTTAGAATCAAATTGTGGAATGATTCATATTGTTTGAATCAGTCATTAACTCTTGATGGTTTCCAAGAGCTTCTATCATTTTATTCTTGAATAAAATCATTTTTTTGAAACTAAGTCACCTAAATATCCACTTGGACATTATTTTCCTGGGTATAAATTTAGGAATGATGTTAATCAAGGTGCACTATGGAGTTTTAGTATGACCTTTCTTCATGTTGTGATTGTAGAAACTGATTGTATTCTTTTATTTTCTTTTTCTTCCAATCTTTTAGATTTTTCAGAATGCACTCAGGGATGATAAGGACAAGAAGGAAAAAGGGCCAAGGGAGAGTATTACAGCTTGGGGAAGAGAGAGAATCAAAACAAGGGAATAAGGTGATTGCTAGACACTGACTACCTCTTATTACAAGTTAGTCCTGGACTGCTATTGCGTCCATCAGGGCACAATTCTCAACTGCTCCTCTTTCTTCACGCCCGGACAGGGTGCCTCAAAAGTGTGCTAGCGCTTTGCCTCTGGTCCCGCTTTCCTAGATAGCCGGAGTCCTTGAGTGCATGGACCATTGTAATCTCCCTTGTACCTTGTATAGGTACTAAACATTGCCCTCTTTTCATGATATATTTTTTGGTCCTTAATTTGAATCCTTTACAACACATTTTAATTGTTCAAAACTTATTCAAGAAGAGAAACATTGCTTTACCTGTTTCATATTGGATTCATCTTCCCTTCCCATCTTATTTTGTAATTAGAGACTTGTCACTGTATTTACAAAAATCAAAATGTAATTGATTTAAGATGGGATGCTCCTGACCTATGATTGTTGACTTCCTCTGTCCAATAACTTGAATAAAGTACATGTGGGTTTTCATTTCCCATTGCAGGAATGCCCGCCTGTTGTCTAGTGCACTGAAAACAGGTGCAGTGGTTGGTAAACAGAAAGTGTGTCGCACTGGATGGCACAGTTGAAAGCTGCACTTCCCCTGCACTGCAGGTTGGCCTTTGACTTGGGCCAGTTGTATGTGGTACACCTTCCCCTCACAGATAGTCAGATGACAGAAAGAGTGAAACTGGTTTGAATGACAGCTGCCTCAGCAATGGCATCAAGGGTCATGTTGTGGGTGCGGCGCGAAAAGCACGGAAAAGTTGTGCCCTGGCGCGGGCGCACCTGGTAGTGCCCCAAATCTTCAAAATGTGTAGGGGCGCGCCCCATAGTTAGTCCACGGGTTTTTGTCACCATCTCCATCAGAAATGCCTGAGGAGGAGTCAAGGACTCTGAGGAGTGTCCTTCATCTTGGTATTGAGATATTGGTCCAACAGTCTACCTCACTCTGAGCTGTTGTCACTTGACAGACAGAGTCTTGTCCAAAAGATGTAAGCACTCGCTGTAAGAGTTTCATGCGTATAGAGTCGCAGTTGACTTCCATTTACTGTGATATCTCTTGCAATCTACCTTGCAATCAATGACCAGAATTCTTTCATTGGAAACTATGTATCTGGTGGCCCTGTAATACTGGCCTCTGCTGATGCAGAAGATTTTTTACTTTTTTTTCTACTTTTTTGAGGCAAAGGGCGCGCCTGATGCGCCCCGCTGGCGCCCTGGCCACTCCAATCAAGTTTTTTTGCGCCTGGGTGCGCCTGTTTCAAAAAGGACACACCCACAACATGAATCAAGGGACTTGAAACATGACCACTGTGCCTGACCCACATCATTCAGTGCATGTTGATCTCAAGGAAAACCCATGGTGGTGTTTGTACGCCTGTCAGTACATTCTATAAGTCAACAATCACATAACCCATTCCTTGGCTACCCATGATTGGCTAGAACCTATATTTCCCTGGTGAATTATTTCAACTTTGTACCCCAGAGTTCCCTTGTGATAACACTTAGTCTATCAAAAATCAACCAATTTCTGTCCATGAAATAGTACGGTTATGTGAGAGGTGAGTTAGCATCACCACAGTTACATACAACAACAACATTGATAAGATACAGAATGTATGCAATAAGAATCTGTAGGACCCAGTTGTCAAATAAGCTTTTTTTTGTCCTTCAATATCTTTTGTGGGTGGGGGAAATCATTCATAAACACACAACTCTATCATAACCTTTATCCCATACCTTTTTCAGAAACCAGAGACAAAAAACCCCATAGTTTCTTGCAGGCAAAATGTCAAATATTACACAGGAGATTCTTGAGAATTGCCTTCAAAGCTCCCTGAAAGAATTTGACTCCATCAATTTCACACAAATTATCACAGGTTCAACACATCATCAGATATTCAACTCTTCTGACAACAAAATTCCTTCCTACATCTTCAGGAGCTGGTAACATTGCAGATGGTTCATAAAGATGATATGAGATCTTTTTCCAAACTCTCAAGTCCCATCAATGAACATGCAAGTGGCCTTGAGACTTGGGGTCTGGAAGATTTTTTCAAGTGATTGAACAACCCAGCCACAACACATATATACCATATATACCTGCTCCAGACCACCCACAGTGAAGGTACTCAGCCAGTGTACTCCAATTTAATCAAGTCCCCAGATATTGTCACAAATCACATCGGACACAAATATTCTAAGGAAGTTGAAGTGTGGGAGGGCTCTCTGTTGAGCTCTGCAGGCATTCAGTGCAGCACACTCCAAAACGCTAGCCCACCCCAAATTTGTGCTTTACCTCTTATAAGAAACCTCTGCAATACCCAATAAACCCATTGGTATGGGTTATTGCAAAGAATCTTGGTACACCATACTCTATAAAAACCCATAGCTTTTGGGTTCCATACAGTGAAATTCTTATATATGCATAGCAGTGGTTAGGGTAAATTCCTTGCTTACATAAAAAACACTTCTTATTGAATGGGAGCATATAGTTGTTACTGGTTGGTTACCGTACGAGGCACGAGGGAGTTTACCTCTGTCCATGCCCGCACCAAGGCCAGGCGCTCTCATCGGCGCGGTGGGGCTCGACGAATTCTTAGCTGCTATGCTGACTGCTAATGTCTCTCGATTGGAGAGGAGATGAGCTGAGCAACGTCAGTTGTCGACCGACCTAACGGTCAACAGGGCAGACAATTAGTCGAGACCCAAACAACTGAACAGATATAGCATGAGCAGTGTGGACTTTGTCCCACTCTCACTCGCTATTCTGAACTCTTTCAGTTGTACGAATTTCCTGATCACATCAAGAACTTCCCTCGCTGTCCTCCCCGTTAGAATCCCCTCTAGTTTTCTAACTCCTCTTAGCATCTTCGGTGCTATTTCGATTCTTTTTGAGTCCTCCCACCCTCCCTTCTTTTCTCTTTTGTGTTTTTTCAGTTGCTGCGGCTTAACCACAAACGGGGTGTATCACTTACCCCTTTGTGGTTTAATCCTAGGCAACGGTTTTGTGTTTGCTCTGCGTGTCGGCGACGTTTGGTTTGCTTAGACTCGGACCTTCTCGATGGCCGTGGCAGTGTTTTCTCTGCTCAGAGACGCCACATGTCTTTCCACCGAGTGGCCAAGTTTTACGAACCAAAACGCCCCCTACCCCAAACACCACACGCCTTTGTGTGGCGTACACGTAGTACAGATTTATAAACTTGAAGTAATGCAATATTATTTAGTTTTTGCCCCAATCTGACTCTTGACGTGACGAGTCTAAAGTGAACCTTTAGACAAGAGATAATAGCAGAAGATGATCTGGCCCGTACCCAATGGACATCAACAAGACTCAACAAGCCTTGGGTCGGAAAATTACAAAATTTACCGCAAAAATCACCTTGGATGGAAAACAGATGTTCACCACCTTGTCTGTGTGTAATTCAACTTTGAAAAATTGCATCGGAATGCCATCATCAAGCTCTAGAGTATTCCAGCCCAAATAGGTTGGATGTTTTTTGTTACACAAAAATCGCTTGCACGAACCAGTTATGAGGATTTTGAACATGATTAGATCGAGTTGATTTCTGGGTTGATGCAAACTAACAAGCTCATGTGGCCATGTTGACAATTTTGACTATTTACAGTCCAAATGAGATGAGTAAAATGAGTAACAAAATCTCCAAATTTGGCTGGAGATTCCGACCCGAAGCTCGTTGAGTCTTGATGGTAACAACTATAGAATAAAACTGAGGAACATGCTAGCCAGGGCAAAAAATATCACTAGACATTTTTATCCCAAATGGGAGGTGCTCAATGCAAGGCAAAAAAGGTTGGGGAAGCAAGGTTTATAATTTGAGGGTCTTGTGTAAAAAGAAGTAAAATTTTGGGAACATGTATTGTAGCCTTAGGAGGAGAGTACAAATATAGAGGGACATAGAGTTGAATTTTTCTTGTAGAATTTACTGTTTTCATGCTCATATTCATCACTCTGACTATCACAAAGAGCATGAACCTGTGATTCAAGTCTTCAACACTTGCTATGATGTACTGCTTCATGAGACGACAAAGCTGACAGCAGAATGAAAGGTCACTTTTGTTTAGGTAAGTAGCTCTTATTATTTTTTATGAAGACGGCGACATCTTTGTCGTCCAGGGGCCTAGCATCCTGATAGGGCGGGTCTAACACGCCAGGACATAGAGCGGCGTAACCATCGGCAGTTGCGGGATCTAGACCTAGATCGCTCTGAAGTGGGTGCTGGAACTGTAAAAGTCAAGAGCAAAATGATAAAATGCTGCAAGTTAGAACAAAACCTAATACATGTTATTAAACTAGGAAGGAAATCGGACGAATTGTGACAAATTATGTACCTCGTTTTGGACCTCGGGGCAACAGCCGACTGTAAGGCTGTCGAGTGTGTTGTTCATGATGGTCGCAGTCAAGCTGAAAAGAGTGGATACAGCAAAAAAAATCAGCAACATATACTTCACGGACACAGATGAAGGCTTACTCTTTATATGGGACTGCCGGTGCCATTTTCCCCTGGGCGTCTCTCCCAAAGTACAGGATCTAGGTGCAGTGTTTGAGAAAGTGATCAGATTGACCGCGACAATGACTTGTTCACGTGATTGTCACTCACGCCACAAGTTCTATACCCACAACTACTCCATCCATTTTGAATCATTATCTGACCAGCGCTGAAACAATCCAGCAAAAATGAATAAGTCAGTAAAAGAAGATAGAAGGCATCAGGTGAGAAATGCTTTAGGCTCTGAACCACTTACCGCTGACAATCATTCAAATCCTTGGGATGATCATCCGGGCAGTTGAAAATATTGGTGTTCGGATCATTGTCAGTGACTGGGGTACATTTCATTTGACCTGGCAATATCTCGCGAGCCACGAGCCGGCTGGGTGGGCTATGGCCACAACTTAAGGAAAGATATAAGGATATCGTTGATAGAACTATAATCATGAACTTCATCTTTGAACAGTAACCAATGTGTGCGCTGAGCAAGGGGGTCAAGAACTTGATTTAAGAAGATCGAGTGGTTGATAGAGTTCAAGCAGGACCCCGGAAAGCTCCAGGTCAACTATCCGACCTAAAACCACCCAAATTGACCTTTTCAATACCCTGTGACGCGGTAAAAACCCAAAAATTGAGGTCAAACAATTCCGGTTTCGTCGGTACGTTCAAAGAGCAAAAATCGCTAAAATATCCTCACGAGACGAATCCATTCGTTTTTCGTCGGTATGTACGTTGAAAAGGGAGTGTTTTTGGCCTTTTCTTCCGGCCAGAGACAAATCCATACCTGTCAGGTCGGTACGTCTGAATTCAAAAAAACGGGTTTTTGCTCGAAAAAGACCCAAAAAATTCCTTTTTCGTCGGTACGTCAGCGTTTTTTTGGACCCTCGATCCATACATTTTAGGTCGGATAGTTTACCTGGAGCTTTCCGGGGTCCTGTTCAAGCAAAGGAGAACGAGTCAGGGACATTCTAACAGCTTCACTTTTCATTGTCATTTTCGAATCATACTTATTTTTATCCAAAGGCGACATTGAGCATATGTGAGAGAATAAACGCGATGGAAGTTGATGGAAGGGGGAAACTTAGCAAAAGTCCCACGCCCTGTGAGGCGTCGAGCGACACCGGTGTCGAGCGAGGGACTTTGCACTTTGCGGATACTCAGCTGTGAGCTCGGACTCGAGAGCTATTGTGCATCGGGATTACCAATGAGTGATTCGGTATCCGCTGATTGCCTGCTATGACCTCATTCCAAAGCAGAAATTGATTTGACCATTGTCTTAGAAAATATCATGTAGGATATATCATTTTAGACTATTTACTCATTTTCAACGTAAAGTTAGGACCATGAGCAACATCCTCAGAGGAAGTCATCCGTGAGGTAAGTCAAATGAAATCTCAAACAATTTAATCAGAACTATCAAACTTACTTTGCTTATCAATCACCGCATTGCATAAAATCATAGTCACCAATACACGAAAACAGCTTTATCAAAACGACTATTCATGAACTGAAGTGGCGTGTGTTTGAAGGTTTATCAAATCCATCAAGTACTTTGATCGAAAACTTTATTCTAGTAGACCAAAGATTCTATCAGCAAACAATTCTACCATTTATCATTATGGTATACCTACAAATGATGACACCAAATCAATGTTTTCGAAATTTTCATGGTCAATTCAAGATGGAGAACAAGATTCTAGATCATCATTGTCCTCAGATTGTTGGGCAATTTTAGGTGGAAATTCTTCAGGACGTGAGGATCTTTTAAAGGTTCTTTTGGGTGAATGTAGATGTGATCCAATCAATTCAATTCGGTATCCAATAATCGAACATTTGAATAAGACCTCAAATAAACAAGTGAGTGGATTTCTGTTATTTTGAAATCAAACTTATCATGATATCTCATTGTTTTCTTCCTCCTTTTCTGATCAAGGCAAATGCTATTACACCAAAATCGTTTTTCAAACTAGTTCAATTCAAATCTCGACTTGAGAATCAAACATCGAATCAATCTTTTAAAGATTATACAGCAAGATATTATGGTTTACGTCCTGAGAATCAAATCACATTAAGAGAATTCCTTAAATCTGATTTAGATCAACTTTTGAGTGATGATCGAATTTCTGAAGTTTGTTATCAATTAAAACTTCACCAATTTATCGATTTACCTTTAATCACCTTGAGTAATGGACAAAGTCGAAGAGCTAGTATTGCGCATGCATTACTTGCTGGTAATAATGGTCATAATCCTCATGCTTTGATTCTTGAAGAACCTTGTAGTGAGTAGAACCCCTTTTTAGACATTAAGATATGAATCAAATTTGATTTTTTTCAAAAAAACATTTCTTTTAACCCTCTTCTAGCTGGCTTGGATGAAAATTCTAGGAAGGAAATCAACAACCTCTTGAAAGAGTTACATGAAGTTAGATCCCCAAGAATTATACTTTGTCTAAGACCACAAGATCCAATACCAAATTACGTAACACATATATTAGCTCTTTCTGATCATTCATCATCATCAAATCGAATCCTAGTACAAGGAAAGGTTTCTGAAGTTTCTGCATCTTTACCCAAACTTATTCCGAATCCAACAAAACCCACCTTACCTGTCAAGAAAAGTATTTCAGTTGGTTCCGGAAAAGAATTGGTTAAGATGAAGAATGTTCATATCCAGTATGGGGACCGATCAGTTCTTCGTAACATCAATTGGACAATCAGAGCAGGTGAGCGGTGGGCTTTGAGTGGTTCAAATGGTAAGTTTCCATTCGTCTAATTTCTATTCCCTTTGATAATAACAACTGAAACGTATCTAAACATGTCACTCTCATTTTTTTCGAAGGTTCTGGAAAATCTACCCTTCTCTCTCTCATTTTAGGTGATCATCCTCGTTCATTTACAGAGGATCTACACCTATTTGGTCGACCACGCGCAGGTCAAGCTACATCTCAAAGTAATTAGTTTTCTTCTGTTTCTTTTGATCTTTGTGGTACTGTCGAGCTTCAATCTGATAGATTTTTCTTGTAAATCTTAGTACAATCCAATATAGGACATGTTTCACCTGAAATATTTCATGCTTTTCCAAGGCAAACAGGACCCAGCAGTTTAACAGCTTTAGATTGTATCATCACAGGATTTGAGTCAGTTTTCAGTTATAGATCAATTGACTCAACTCAATCCACACGTTTATATGAATTATTAAAAGAATTTGATTACCCAGAGTTATTAAATCCATCATTTTTGAATAAACCGTTTAATGAACTTTCAAATGGAGAACAATCATTAATACTTTTATTAAGATCATTAATCAATGAACCTTCCTTATTGATTTTAGATGAACCTTTTGCAGGTATGGATGATGAAAGTTTACAGAAATCTAAAGATTATTTAAATTTCAAGTTAAAGGATTGGCAAAGTTTGATTTTTGTTTCACATCAATTTGGAGTTGAATTACCTGAATGCATTGATCAATTTGTTACTTTAGAAGATGGTGAAATGAAATTTATGTAAAAGACGAACAATGATGATTGGATTTTATGTTTGTGACTTCAAATAAATGTCCTGCGTTGTCCCTTTGCGGCGCACATTTAACATCAATTCCTAGAATAGAGTCACATCGGCACATACGAGATCTCACTCATCTCTTTGGTGCTAGATATGCCGTTGAGACCTATCTGTTGACTATCATCTATTTTGCCATATTTGACCATGACTATTCCGTTTATCCCGCTTTCGACACAGGTGGGATCTTGTGAATCGCATGTCTGTTTCTGGCATTGCAATGAGCATTTGCATTACAACATGCTTATTTCTTACATAACCGTCATACCGAGTGTTTGGGCATACATGATGGCCTTTTGAAAAAACTCCATATCATCACTCGGAGCCATAAGGCTCATCACCTGACAACCAATGACTTTAGCAATCCTTAATTTCAAAATATATCATGTTTTTCTAAACCTCGAAGAGTGCGAGAAGCAGTGAGGGACTTTAGTTGAGTTTAACATTTTTCCTGACATGGAATTTTGAAACTCCTATACTTGCAAAGGTTTTTGACACTGACTCTTTTTGAGGTGGGATCTCTGGAAGGCTGAAGCCATACACTGTAACTTACAAACAACGGGAATTTCATCAACAAAAAATGAAAGATAATTGGACAAAGAAGCTGATATTATTCATGGAAATGCTGAGAAAATGATTAAGTTGCTGCTACTGGAATATCATATGTTGGTATGCTCGGGCCACTGTTAACGTTTACATTCTAAAACTTGACAAGTTTTGGGAGCAAACTTGGGACAAAAACCAATGTGGGAAAGTATTAGGAGTATGCCCAGAAACAAAAGTATATATGATTCATCTAGAATGGAAAGTACCAATCAGTGCGACTGCTAGAGCATAAACTGGAAGAACAAAGGCAGCCAGTGAATGAAGAGCTTAAAAGACAAGATCTGACACGCATGGGAATGAGTTACAAGCATCACCGCATATTTGGTTAGAAGTCGGTGCGTGTATTGACATATGGGAATGGGTCGGGGAAAAGGTGTCGGATAATGAAGTAGCCGGATCACAGCACTTCAGCTAATCTTTTCAGACGAATGGCAAAGTATCATTCTCTTAGTAATGAAGAATAGATGACGTCTCGAAAAGAGTTGGATGTTTAGGATGGCGAGATTCCCTAATTCCCAATCCTTATCGAAAAATTAAAATTCTGATATTATAATCTTTTATTCATCCAATCTTCATTATCCTAGAATTCTTTTCATACATCGAGAATTTGTTACTACAAAATTATTCAAATAATAAATTCTTTTCTTAATAAGTTTATTATGATCGTTGAGATTCCTGGCGATAATGATTTTGTTTATCAAACCAATGAAACCACCGCTATCTTTGACGATATCGACAAAATCCTCACTAACTATGATGACACGGGGGGTAGTAACCATACCACTATGGCCCAGTTACGTACTCAAATCGCATTGATTTATCATTATGAAGACCCCAATTTTCTCTGGCATTTTTCTGCCGTTGCCCGTGTTGCGATCGAGTTGGATCGCAGAGCCGGCAGGCCTAGATATCCTATCACATATCAATGGCCTGAGAATGCGGACCCTCAGTCTGATCCACCGATCGTCCTCAGTGGGATGCTCGAACCTTCTTCTTTGATTGACATCTATGGCGTGGTCGATGGTTTTCTGGAAAGACCGATCCCAAAGTCTCCTCCTCGCATCAAGGACTTGTCCATGTTTCCCTCGAACCCGGTCACTAATACCGCTGGGCCGCCACCGCCTCCTCCTCCACCACCAGAAGGTGTTTCAGTGGGCGGCCGCTCCTCACGTCGTCCTTCACCAGGTCAGCCACCCGTCCCGGGACCTTCGTTACTCAATCGTATCACCTTTTCGAAGAGCCCTCTTCTTCGACAAAGTTCGTTCCAACCTACAGCTCTACCGCCTCAGCCAGCTGCTCGTCGACATCGTGTCGTCCAACAAGCAGTGGCTCCTTCTTTGCCTATATTCGAAAGAATCGACAAGGGAAAAAGAAAACGAAATTCTTCCCTTTCTTCTAGTCAGTCTTCAATTTGCCCTTACCGGCCAGCACCAGCTGTTCCTGGAGCACCAGCTCAACCTGGTTTTTCTTCTCATGTCCCAGCACCAGCTGTATCTGGAGCACCAGCTATTTCTGGAATCCCAGCTCCCGCTGGTCCCATTGCGGCAGTTGTCACCTCAGCACCATATTTGGAGGAAAACGAACATCTCGTTCCTGAAGAATTTTTGCCTATTTCCTTTCAAGTTAATCAGATTGTGTTACTTTACAAATCCGACATCAAGCACCATGTCAGCGCATTTAACTCTTGTAAGAATAGGCCTGCAAATTGGCAGAACTCTCTCACAAAAGACCTGCTCGAATATAACTTTGTGGATTTACGAAAGTTCTATGGAGCAGTGGCGTCTTCAGACCCTCCTCAAAGTCGTCTCCGTATCAACGCCGATGGCGATCTTAAAAACGTCGAAGGTGCCTCTCCTAAAGAGATTTCCGACAACAACCACTGGCAGAATCTTCTGGCAGTCCTCAAGCACGCCTACATCGCAGCTTTTCCCCCTGCGGCTCTTTCAATCAAAGCCTACTTCGAATACATCCTTTCCCTCCCTGGTCTATTCCAAGCTAGAGTGCATTGGGAAGATGTCAGAGATTTCGACGCTGAACTCCGCAAGGAATTCGCTTCCAGGCCTAGTCTTGTCTGGGGAGACTACGAGCATAAATCCCTTAAAGGTATCGACAACAGGATCCTTTACAGTAGTACCAGTAAACTCGGTCGAGCGGCTATTCCTTCATCGAAATACGTCGCACCACAGCCTAAATCTGAACCATCTTCCTCTCTTACTAACTCTAATTGTCAAGCTTTTCAATCTTCTTCTTATGATTCATCTGCAAAAAAGCCTAAAGGGAGAAGAGTCAAACCGAAATATAAGGTTAAAAGCAAGGAAGGAGTTCCTATGGCTGATCAGCCTTGTAATAATTGGAATGCTCGTGTCTGCCCCTTCAGTGCAGCTGGGTGCGACAGGGTACACGGGGTATGCAATAAAGATGGATGTTTTGAAAATCATGAAGGAAGTGTCGCTCACAGACAAGCCTAATTCAAGGTCCTATCTTAGAGGCTTAGAAATTGATGTTATGGATAAGGGTTTTTCTGCAGCCGTCAATTCCTCTATTTACGCCGAACCCCTTCGTTCAGCTCACCCCCTTTCATCAGACCCTCTAGCCGAGTATGCTATAAATCGACGTCCAGATCTTTTCAAAATTAATTGTTCAATAAATGTAAAAAATTTAAAATCTTTGCTCAGAAACCATCCGAACAAGCCGTTCGTAGACTCTATCATATTAGGTCTTACGGAAGGCTTTTGGCCTATTTCAGAAAAACCCTCAGACGAAACTGTATTCAATTCAAATCACGCAACCGGAGCTGAAGCAGATGAAGTACTATTTAAAACTAGAGACAAGGAAATCAAACTAAACAGATTTTCTCCTCCATTTTACACTCTTCTCCCTGGGATGAAAGTGTCCCCTCTTTGTCTGGCAACCAATCCTTCTTCTGGAAAAGTCAGAATGTGTACCAACATGTCCTTCGGACATCCCTCTCCCAACGACCTCATCAAGAAAGAAGATATCAAAATCGACTTAGATGGTATTCCTTACTTCATACCATTTCTTCTTTATCACTATTTCGGTGAACATAAGTTTATTCTCTGGAAGTCTGATGTTGATGCAGCTTTCCGTAACCTTCCAGTTTCAAAACAATGGCAGATTCGTCAAATTGTAAAAATTGGTAAAGCCTTTCACGCCAATAGAAACGTAAATTTCGGTTGTTCTAGCTCCCCAAAACTTTGGTGTGCTTTTTTCTCACTAATCTTATGGATAGCATATTTCGAATTCAATATCACCGATCTAAATGCCTACATGGACGACTCTTGGGGTATTAGTCGAGCAAGCGACATGGTTACATTCAAAGAAAAAACCATCCCATTAGAACAAGCCAAATTCTTAGCTATCTTCGACTTCATAAACCTTCCCTGGGCTTGGGAAAAACAAATTCATGGCAGTACTTTAGACATCATAGGTTACTCCATCGACTGTCAAGAACTTTCCATCTCTCTCCCAGAAGGAAAAAGAATCGCTCTAGTTTTAGCCCTCAGAGCTTTCACCTCAGAACTCTCGCACCCTTTAGTCGATTGGCAACGAATTACGGGTTGGGCCAACTGGGGCCTCAACATTTTTCCATTAGGCCGTTGGGCTGTTCAATCTTCCTGGGATAAAATAGCGGGTAAAACAATTCGTAACGCACATATCCCTTTGAACAAGTCCAACGTCGAGGACCTGAACTGGTTAGCTGATGCATTAGAATTTTGGCCTGGTCGTCGAATCCTAAAGCACATGTACCGGAAAATCTCTGATGCAGATTATATGTTTTTCACCGACGCGTGTCCATCTGGTTTCGGTTTCTGGCAACCGTCCAACGGTTGTGCCTGGAGCTATTCCATACCACCGCCGTCCAGGAACAGCTACTGGGCAGAGCTTCTGGCAGTAGTCACAGCAATAAAGATGGCGGTTGACCTGAAGGCCTCAAAAGTCGCGATCTTTACGGACTCAGAATCGGTCTCATACTTATTCCCTTCTCACCGTCCAACGATAGTCGCCAGGTCACTATTCAAATACGCAGTGGACCTGATGTTGTCTCACTATCTCGATGTCAAAGTCAGGTTCATAAATCGCGAGAACAATAGAATAGCAGACGCGCTATCGAAACAAGATATAGACTTGGCAAGATCTCTTCTTCCACGCATGCAACTAAAAAATCTTAATCCCGATCCATCAACTCTCATAGGTGGACATCAAGATCGTTCTCTCCCAGCTCTAATATAGTTTTTATTATTTCTTATCATCATTTATTAAATAAAAACTTAAAAAAAACTCAAAAAATTCTTACATTTCCTTTATCATGGCTAGAACTAAGAAGTCCGAACAATCTACTCCACTAACCTTTAAAGAACGCGAAGAACTCAATAAGTCCGATATCAAAAACCGACTAGAGAAATCAACCGTAGCTAAATATACATCCGGATACAGAAGATTCCTCAAGTTCTGCAAGGAACATCACGTCTGAGTCTACCCGAGTGAAACTAATCTGTGCCACTTTGTCACGGTCATATCTCGAGAAGTGAACCCAGAGACTGTTGGAAAATATCTCACTGGAATATCTTACAGCATGCAGGAACAATTTCCGATAGTTTTAACCTCCTGACAATCGAAAAAAGTTAAAGAAACCCTACGTGGTTGTCAAAAACTTTTCTCCAAGCCTATTAAACAAGCAAACACTTTCACCATCTATGACATCGTCACAGCGGCAAACTACTTCAATTCAACCTTTGACGACGCTCTTTTCAATACCATCTTAGCTTTAGGTTTTTCAGGTTTACATCGGCTTGGAGAGCTTACCATTCCAGACACACTAAATCTACAAAATGAAAGGAAATGTATCAGAAGATCCTCTTTAATCATTTAAATCTGCGGTTCGGTGGCATGTTATAACTTACCGTACCATAAGGGCGACCCTCAGTACAAAGGAACCCCGGTAGTCATAGTCAACAGACCCAACGATGCCACCTGTCCGATCAAGACCCTCCTCAGGTACACCGTCGTCAGAGATAAAAAATTCCCGATATATCCATTCTGGCTAGTCAGGGAAAATGGTCGTCAACCTACACGAAACTGGTTCATGAATCGTATCAAAGAACTTTTCGGTAATTCAAGGACGGGACACTCTCTCCGAGCCGGCGGCGCTACCGCTATCGCCCAAAACGGTACGGAGATGGAGACTATTCAGTGCATCGGAAGATGGTCATCAGAGGCTTTTCGAACATACATCCGCACACACCCATTACTGAATTTAAACAAAACTCAGCGCATCACTCAAGCAGCTGGTTTCACCACGGGAGAACAAATCCAATTCCCTGGAGCTGTCATCGTAAGCCTCCATTATTCATAGATTGATCAAATCTAGCAAAGTCAACAGACTTCTCACAGTTATCAGTTTACTAACTATAACTGCTTTACTTCTCGTTCTACAGCCGTGGGCCAGCAGAAAGTGAAGATCCCATTCGACCCGTATAGTCATGGGACGCGTCAAGTAAGTCTTTTTTCAAAGACTGTAATCCTTGTTAATCTTACGCTAACCTCAAAAAACCTTCTTTCATAGGTTTTTCTCATAGGATGACGTCTACCGTATACCTACTTCACCAAATGGTGGGAAGCACCACTTTGGAAAAGCTGTTAGTTATTCTCGTTGGATAATATGCTTACATTGATTATCATTAAATGGCTGACTTCAACAATTCAAATTTATTCGCACACCATGGACATGGAATGCAAAAATACATAGAGTTCAACACTAATCTTCAATCTTCCCAGAAGATATCATCTACATCACTACTCTTTAACTTACCATCACTACTCTATATATTACGAGGGTGGTTGAACTCGTATTTAGTTTCTTCTCACTTCTATGTCTAGTTGCGTTTTTTTATTTTTCCGTCAGGTTACATTACTATGCGTTAATTCAACCTGACCTCAGCGGCCGTTTAGTGTGATCAAGATACAACCAGTATCCAAAACAAATGAGACCCATTCCTAGAAGTCGGTGCGTGTATTGACATATGGGAATGGGTCGGGGAAAAGGTGTCGGATAATGAAGTAGCCGGATCACAGCACTTCAGCTAATCTTTTCAGACGAATGGCAAAGTATCATTCTCTTAGTAATGAAGAATAGATGACGTCTCGAAAAGAGTTGGATGTTTAGGATGGCGAGATTCCCTAATTCCCAATCCTTATCGAAAAATTAAAATTCTGATATTATAATCTTTTATTCATCCAATCTTCATTATCCTAGAATTCTTTTCATACATCGAGAATTTGTTACTACAAAATTATTCACCTCCCACCCGCCCAACTTATTTCTCTTTTACTACCTTTATAATTAAGATTATGTATAATACGCAAATAATCTACACAAGATCATTTTTTCTTACAGATATTAGACCATAATTTAAAAACTCAATTCATTGTCATTTTTTCCAAAAAAGTAAATAGATAACTGTTGTAAGTGGCGCGAAAAACGCACAAGCCGCCCGCTAGAACTCGTATTTAGTTTCTTCTCACTTCTATGTCTAGTTGCGTTTTTTTATTTTTCCGTCAGGTTACATTACTATGCGTTAATTCAACCTGACCTCAGCGGCCGTTTAGTGTGATCAAGATACAACCAGTATCCAAAACAAATGAGACCCATTCCAGAGAAATCAATCATCTGCCGGCTCTAACTCTAGTCCACATCCAGGGCAGGTCTCTTCATAGCGTCTGGCTCTGCAAACTACACAGTAGCGCTCAGTGGCAGGAGCGTCCTGCTCCGGCGGTGTCCCAACAGGATCTGTTACCGCATCACTGTCAGGATCTGAGACTGCATCAGGATCTTCCTCATATACAACACTCGGGATGTCCCTAACATCTTTAATCATTACATCATCTCTCGGGAGATCCTTAATCATTCCGCCTATGGCTTGATTCAGTGATACAGAGATCACAAAAATGGCTGAGACGATGCTGAGATTCATGATGAGATATCTGTGTGATGGTTGACCAAGTTTTAGTTGTAGAAAGTCATGGTGAAGAATGATACGTAGACCGAATATTTGGAGACTCACCAGGATTCGAAGCTAAAGCAATATAATCCAAAAATTGTGGCCAATAGTATCTAAACCAATCAAAAGAGTGAAGAGTATCAGCTCAGTCTATTTAGAAAAATGTCTCTACAGGGTGTATATAGCCGGTTGGCTGATGGAATTTGTAGGGAACATACACAGGCAATTGTGCGATTCAGACGAGGAACTCGATAAGATGATTGGATAGCGAGCAAGTAATCAGCGGATCGGTTAACCTTTTATGGTCGTGAAAAATCGGCTGGACCGATGGCTGCCTAAATCTTCCCAGTCATCAAGGCCTGGAACATGTTGCTGCAGTTGCTTCTATCGCCGCCTACAGTCAGATCCTACTGGTTGAGATGTGGACATTGTCGACTGTCGTATCGCGGATGATACACCTAAGTAGAGCTGCACTTTCTAAGATTTCCGAGGTATCATATAAGTGAGCGCTCGGCGTCCTTTCTTTATTGCTCATGCTCGTTTGTCTCAAACCACATCTGAACTGTGGGACACCAAAGCTCAAGATGCTAGCATTTCCTTAATCTCTTTGAACGTGAAACGTAGAGATAGCAGTTTAACTTTCATGCTTAGATCAAGACTGTCATTTTCCATTAAAATTACACTCGAGTTAAATATCGTCATTGTCCAATTTCATAAGGTTTCATGACTGGGTACAATCTCCAATAAGAATTGTCATTAATAAATATAGAAAACAAATTCAAAGAATTCAAACTTGAAAGAAATCTATAACTAATTGTCTATCACTACATTCATCTATCACTAAAAACTAAATTGAACCTGCAACATAACTTTTCTATATGTAAACTGATCACTGATCTCATTCATGATGATATATCAATCAACGAACCAGAAACCAAAACCCTAAACAAAAAGTAAACTAAAAAGATAATCAAAGCAAGGTTAATAACCCAATCATCAAACCTCGAAAAGTTTAAAACCAAACTTCTTCTCAACCAAGAATCATTCATACAAGTCTTGCTCTCAATAAGTCTCCAAGAACATCAATAATTTAAATCCAATTTCAAGAATCACCCAACATAGCTTTCTTTTTACTAAACTTTCGTCTCTTTCTCATCCCAGTTCCATTCTCAGGTGGAGGAGAGAATCCCAAAACTTCAGGTAATCTAATTTCAGATCCTTTTCCTTCCACTTCATTACCATCATTTTTCTTAATTTTTTCTTTTACTGAACTTTGATATTCATTAATTTCTTCTTCTTCTTGTTCTTGTATAGATTCATTTACTTCTTGATCAGTTAATGGTTCATCGTCATCATCATCTTCGTCATCATCTAATAAATGTTGTTTTAAACCATCCCAATTTCTGAGTTCAACAGGTTGTTCAGATCCATAGAATGTAATTCCTAATTGACGACTATAATAATTAATAGCGGCATGAAATGCAGTTCTTCGATTCCATCTACCACCCCAATCTTGCCAATTCTCACGATGAATCATACCAAAGGTAATTTCAATATACTGTTGATTTACCAAGTTTTGAATCACTGCTGCTGTTCCAGGTTCGAATCTTCTTTGTTCATCAGTTTGAAGCCAATCATTCATCTTCTCTTCTAATTCATCAATCTTCTCCAAGGGTGTATCCCAACCGAATTGAACCGTCGCATTTTCAAATTGACTATTACTTCTACGAAGATTGATAATAAACTTTTGTCCAATGAGTGAATTAGGAGCAAACCACTCAGTACCATCCCATCTAACAAAGACCGTCACGAGTAATCCCATCTGTTTGACCACCAAGACCTCTTCAACACCAGCATTGTCCATAATGATTCGATCACCAGTGTCAAAAGGATGTGTACAAAATACCATGATGATCGAATCAAAGACATTCGCAGCTGTACCCTTGAAGACGAACGCAGCCGCCACACCAATCGTATAAATCGATGTCAACGTCTTTGAGAAATCAATTCCAACTACTGTCAAGGCAATAAACAAGAACACAATAGCCGCTAAACCTAACATAATCCCATCTAATCTTCCAATCGCATGTCCAACATCTTGTAAAGATTGTGATAAGGCTCTACGTTCTTTATAAACTCTAAAGATTTCATTCTTAACTTCTGTTCTACTGATATCTCCATTTCCATCTGAATCAAAAATCGAAAAGGCTTCTCTGGCTAATTCAGGAGTAGGAAAAGCAGGATAGAAATCCGAAGGAATCAAATAATTTCGATTTGGATCACTTCGAAAACTAAAAAAGATCCTTCTAGCTAATTTCTTGGCTTCTGTGGGATTATTGATATCTAATGCTAAGCCTGATTTCTTTCCAACTACTGAGACTGGATCCTTCATGGCTGCTCGAGCAATTTTGGCTGCACTAGCTCCTCGTCGAGCGATAAAGGCAAAGGTGGTTTGACTATTACGCCGCTTCACAACCGGTCGTCCATCAGGTCCTGCGAATGAGTCTTGTCTGCTTGGGCTAGTCATCCGATACGGATCATCAGATATCGGCCTTGCTAAATCGAAGGGTACGTTGGCTGATTCTTCTTTCCCACTAGCTTCGTTCTTAGGAGACATCTCAAGATTGTTGGTCTGGTCTTTTTCATTTTTGAGAGCTCGACCTACTTTCTTTCTCTGCCACCAACGCGTCTTCGGTGCTTCCATAGAAGAAAAGGTGGCATCCTGTTCAAAACCCTTTTTCAGAGGGCTTGTCAACTGAGCAGATAAAGCTTTGAGGGTGAGTATATCGCCAGATTGTCTACGACTGTAGGTCGTACCAGGAAACGGTTTGCGTTTAGGTCGATAATCTTGTAGGATATCAATGGCTGCTAAAGCTTGAGTGACCTTTTGTATTCGGTCCGAATAGGCAACCTGATGGAAGCTCATACTCTGCAAATGTCAAAATTGATTGGTAATCCAAGTAAGGTTAGTCGCCTATCGCTAGAATACCGTAGGCTCCACGATTTACGACAAAGCAAGATGTACGCACTATGCTTAAGAGCAGGAGCTTTTCCAAGGACAAGACTAAAGTGAAAAAGAAGAGCAACTCGACCACAAGTGCCACAACATCTGTATATGCCGCTCTTGATGTTTCTGTGTCTGATGGGCTATGGAGTCCAAATATACCATTGAAGATGATAACCCATGACCCCCACCTATTAGAGAAAAAGCGGCTATCAGATCTCCAACTGATAGACAAAGAGAATATTGTACAAAGAGAAGACTCACAGCATTGCTGCGTATAATATATTTTTGAACCATGCTTTGGCTGCATGGAAAGTCTCAACCTTAGACTTGATGTTCTCATGTACATCACCCCAGATTATATTCACTAGCATAATTAATACCTAAATGGATCGAAGAATACCAAAAGAATGAAGTGAGTAAGGATCGGGTGACATGGACAGATTTTGAAGATTCGCAGCCTTACCTTGGGTGCCAACTCGACCAAAAGATACAATGCCCAACTACAGAGTAAGTTATAACTAGCCCAGTACATCCAAGCCGCCACATTATCATGTACGTAACGTGAGTGGGCAGCACTTTCACTATCACCATGTTGCAAGTAACCTCCAAATCTGAATCAGGACATAGGCATATTGTAAGCTTTAGTAAGACGGAAAGCTGATTGATTCGAAAACGCAACATTCATCCTTACCCGAGAACTAAAGGTGGGACGATGAGTGCCAAGCAAATAAAGATGTTTCCAATGAAAGTAGTAATCAGATCTAGAATGCAAAGTCATGTCGCCACCCCCACACAAACGTCAGTTTCATCGAAAGTGATGTCATCTACACCTACAAAGTTTCGGTGATTTACTTACATTTGATTACGTTGTAAGGGGATAACCGACGGGCAAGAGTTCGACGACGGTGATGTTGGTGTTGCCCTCGCTTCTGATCATTCAAATCATCAAACCTCACATCACCCTCAAGATCATCATCGTTATCCCAATCATCTAAACACAGTTACACATCCGAGTTGAGAGTGAACGCGAGAATAAAATAAGATTCTGTCAGTAAAAGCTGAAACACGTGATAGCCTTGGATGGTATACGCCTCAGATACAAATCCGTCCCAAACATTCGGCTTTACGAGAAACTTACAATCATCAAAAGTTTGTCCATCTTGATCTGTATCTGTATGCTCGTCTTCCATAAGGTGCAAGTTTGGAGATTTCAACTCTGGTTCATTTTTTGATTTAGAGGCTAGTTTTTCATGATCGTTCGCCTTCGATGGATCGAAATCTGGGTGACCAAACGTATGTGCAGCATAAGGACTATGATGTAGATCGAGGTTAGAGTCAGAAGGTTGATAAAAGGGTCGATGAGGAGCGAATGATCTGATTGATTCGGGTGGGTGAGCTTGTTCGATGGGTGAGTTAGGAAGAGTTTGGATTTCGATTTCTACTGAGCTCGAAGATGGCTGGTAAGCCGACCTAGACGTTTCATGTGGGGATACCGCGGAATCGACCCTTTCGAGTCGATCGGGGTCAGTCTCTTGAGTCGAATTTGTACCAACCCCGCTCCATTGCGAGCGTGATAAATATTCAGGTGGGGGTGCCATCGTAGAGGTAGAGCCCGCAGAACGAGAGTAATACAAGGGGGAGCTCATTTGGTGTTCGGAACCAGAGGGACTGGAGTTCTGCCTGACGATGAGATGAGGCTGAGCATGGTAAGAGGTTTCAGGCGTAGCAGGTGTAGCAGGTACGTCGGTGTATAGATGGCGACTTCCCGTTCGACGAACGTCGGGCGAGGAAGCCGGAGTGTCAGACATGATCAGATTACAACTTCGAAGTCGAGAAGTTGATGAAACTGTGACGTGAGCACGCAGTAGATGTATCAAACCCGAGAAGATTCAGCTAGATCCAGGCAAAGAATGGCAAGATTGATGAGGGTTTTAAGGGCTCTTGTTGACGTGATGGCGTTTATTGAGGTTAATTGTGTTTCTTGAAACTTGCCCTACAAAAATCAATGTATATCAGACCATATCAAAGGTCGACGTCAGTTGGTGTTTGCACGGAGATGAGAATTCAACCCAACGGAAGTGATATTGGGCGTTGACGGGTTATGAGGAAAGAAAGAACTTGAAAGGATGAGAACTGACCGAGTCTCAGCTTAAAAGAAAGATAAGATCCTACTGTGTATGTTGCAGCGATATAAAGCCAACACTGAATCCTGATACTTGAGTGGATGAAACTGAAGAAATATTGAGACCTTACACTTGTTATGAGTCTATAAACCGTGGGGTCAGTCAGTGGTTTGTTTATGTAAACTTGCTGCTCTTCACTGCTGCTTTGAAGAAGGAAGTGTATGTGGACAGATGTGGACAGTGGCAGGGCCTTGAATGTAATAAATAGTGGGCCCTGATCGTGTTTGATGGGTTGGTCGAGCCAGCTGCGAGGCGCGTCAAGATTGAAAGTAGCTTATGAAGAAAGCCTGTTCTCAGACCCAGACTGTATTTTGTGAAAGTTGAAATAGACTTTAAAGGCGGTGGTTGGTTGGAAGAAAGAGGCTTGAGTTAAGCTGTTCAACTGGCGCAGTTGTGAAGTAGCTAAAGAAAAGAGTTTGAAACCCCGAGTATTTTACCAAAAGAAGTAGAACACCTCAACGAACGTTCAGAAGGTTCTAGAGTATGTTGATCAAGTGAAGAAGTTTAACTTATCTGGTTTCAAGCACTTGATAAGCAAGCGACTTGGATGGATTCAAACTAAATTGAAATTGCAGGTTAAGGAGCATCGTGTTCTCCTTTTGAGAAAAAAAGTGATAGATATTACGAATGCTGATGATGAAGCACGACCGATTTGGAAACTCACACCGTTACCGAGTCAATAAGACCCTTGCATTTCTGTTTGCGTTCGAAGCTTATTCTGATTTGATTGGAAAAGATTAACGGTGTAGATAGTTTGAAGGAATTCCTGACGTGAGATTACTTATCCTTGGTTCAGGGAATTGGTCCATGAGCCACCTCCGGACTTCCTATACAGCTATCTAGAGTAGATGTCAAGAATGATTCTCCTTCACAACCAACTTTATGATGTTAATCAACTTTTTGACCAATGCTCACAAAGCAACCTTTGTACAGGATCAAACCTATAACTTATCTCACTCTAGATACCAGGTACACTTTTCATCTAATATACCATACATGTTTAGGTATAAAATACAAGATATTCACGGAATACTTCAAGAAACTTCCACTTTATTTCACGGTTTCCAAAACAGTGCAATTTTCTTTCTCACTCTCAAATGTTCTTTAGAATCGTGTGTGATAGCCCTAGGCGCTCTTCCTATGCTTGATTGACAGCCAGTCCTGAAAAGGTGTTGATATTCTGTAGCACAACTTTTGAGGTGACACAACTAAGAAAAAAAGAGGATTCAAAGGATAATCGTGAATTTTGAGTCATTGATTTTCCTGGCGAAAAAAATAGATATCACTTACCTCAGGAAATGACATGTAGAAGGCAAAGTGGTCGTCAGGTCTCATGATTGCGGCAGCGGCAGAGGCCTGATGAGTTTCAAAAACAATATCGCATCAACACAAACCGATCATGATGACGAGATAGCGACATGATATACCTTCAATAAGCAATAATCGTGTAAAGAGCTAGCCATCAGGTACTGGGTGCAATATTCATCTCCCTTGACAGCATTTTTGGCTTCTTGGAGGGATCCTACAACCCAAAAGATCGTCAGGGCTGAGGTAACATCTGGCGTCATCCTATGCGAAGTCGAATCTAATGACTGTCTATATATGAAATATGATCTCTACTCGATAGATGTAAGACACGCACACCAATTAATTCACGGGACAGGATAAAGATGGATGATATTAAAAAGAAAGAGATACAGACTTGGATGATGTCCTCTAAAAATCTCATTAGCTTGTGGCCTGGGTGATCACCAACGGCCTTAGTGCGAAAATCGGTCCACTTCTTTGTCAAGTCTTCATCAACACCGCGCGGTGGGAGAGCTTGTAGGTTTTTTATCAATAAGCGCTTTTGCTCCTCGGCAACAAAGGCAAATGCCTCTGTATGACATGAAAAAGAGCATCACATCGAGACGTTTTAGCTTTTTGTATCGAGAATTAGAAGATCGTGTGAAAATCACTTGCCCAAGACGTGTGTGGACTTTCTGGGAAGGTAAATCCTTTGTTTTCTACTTTCAGACCACACCCTCTCTTCTCGGTCACCCGCTTGGAGCATTTGCGTCCAAGGAGGAAGAGGTATCACCTCTTTCATATTATGATTGCTGAGCTCCGGTAATGATTCAAACTCCTTCTTCAACATAGTATGCGCCTTTGTAGACAGCGAGATACCTGAAGATAACGAGGAAATGAGGAATCATCAGAGATGATCTGCTCGGATATTTATAGTAGGATCTTACCTTGCTTAGCAGCATCCAGACATCTGATGTATACTGTTGAAACGAGGCATCATCAACGAAACATTAGGGCTTTCAATTGTACACCGACGTACCGTAACCAAATTTTTGTGTTCTGGGATCACCCACGCCATATAGATATTCAAGCCTGAGATTATCAATTAAATATAAGTAAATCTGGAGCGAGCGGCCGATAAGTTTCACAAGATACTTTACACTTTGTGCATCTGCGAGTAGCGCCCAAAATCCGTAGATTGAAAGAGAGTCACCAACTGAGACATTCTCAGGGCGTCTTCGTAACTAGTACTACCATTGTCATCCAGATGTACGTAGTCTTTGACAGTTCCGCTAGTCAGAGAACTATGGTGCGCGTTATCTTTGGAGTTGGAAATAGAGTTAATGGTGGAGACTTTTTAAGAACAGCAGGCACCAGTAGTAAAGATCGGCAAGCTTACCTTCGAAATACTTTTCGTATTCTTTAAGCTCTTTTTGAGAGATACATTCTCCGACATCCGCATTCACAAACGGTTCGGTGATATGTGGATCCCAGATGACTGTGACGGTATCACCTGGGAGTGGTCAAGAAGGATAAGTCGTCGTATCTCTTGCTCGCTTACGAGATACCGATCATATTTACCATCATAATCACCTGCGAGCACAGATGGATTGTCACAAAAATGCAGGAAGTCAAATTTTGATGTCATCTGCGCTGTTGTTTTCGGAAATGAACTTACCGCCGGACAGATAGTCCAGTAGAGACCGTTCTCCGAGGACCGAGCATACCAGCACATCATCATAACGCACCAAGTTTTGATTAGCTACGGCTGTCACCTTGCGAGCGTCGCATGGCTATGATTTCAAGTTGTGTAGGGGGATCAGTAAGAAAGTATGTCAACATCCTCTTATCTCTTATCACTCACATGTACGCAAGGCGATCTAGCAACGATACACTCTCCTCGAAGAACTTGTATTGGTAAAGCTGTATCCTGATCCCTACATTATCACAGGGAGTGGAGGAGTCCAAGATTAAAGATTTGGCTGCGTGTCTCCCACAAAACATAAGCTAGGACTTACACGAAATGTGAAAGCTGTAAGAATACCTCGCCCTCCTTCAAAGTTCCCGTCCTTGATTGTAAGAAGAAATCTACCGTCAGTCACAATCTTCATGTTGTATTGTCTCGAATAGAATATATATCAATGACAGCGCTCAGCTTACGGGTCAGGCATGGCATAGACCGATGTACTGTATGGCACAGTCAGTTTGAAGTTGGTCTGGGGATGGCAGGCATAGTTTAACGTCTACGTAGGTCTGAGTAGCATCACAATCAAGACGTGTGGTCTATCTTACCATTCGGGCCAAGATCATCTTGCATGAATGCTCAAGTCTATCAATAACTCGAGGGTCGCGAACATTGAATCCGCTCTTGAGCAAGGCGGTACATTCTGACATGGCATCCAAAGGTCGTCTTGAAAGCCTCTCTGACAAATCCTCTACATCTTCCGTGTTGATATGCACTTCAGCATGATTGTCTAAATAGGAAGTGACCATCAGATGATTCAGGTCTGTTAGAGAATTAAACACGGTGAGGAGTTCGAGCTTCAAGAGGTCGGTGAAAGTCGAGACAGGTACTTTTCGCGACGCTAAGACCTAGTGTTTACGAACATACAATTAACTGATGGCATCAACTTATATTCGTGATCCAAAAATACTATGAGATAACTCAACAGGAAGGGTCTGTCGATTGACATGCCCTGTCTTGGCGTGGCGCGAAGATCGGACCAAATTGAATGGAATGTCCACGTCATGACCGTACGAAACATCAGCCTTCCATTGGCTGTCTCGAATCTCGATCCACATGGATTCTTCATCCTCTTCGATTGAATCATGACTTGAGAGATACCAGACACCTATGATAAAAAGAAATGAGGGACACGGACCAGGATGGCTTGGCTTGTGAAGAGTACTGACCCTTGGCTTTCATGATCCGGGCTTGGAAAGCCGCTTTATAAATGAAGTGACCATCAGAATGCAGGCAATCAAGCGCTTACGCTTATAAGAAAGAATCTCATCAATCATCGAGGGTATGTATATGTACTCACAAGGAAGGAAATTCATCCCCAAACTATCCTTTATCTTTTGAGCAGCAAATTTACTGATCGCTGCGGCTCCGTCGGTCATAACTGCAGGAGCTGTACTCATCTGAACAAATTGAATTTCACGCCTTGGTATAGTTATCGATCCTTCTTTCTCGTCCCACCGAGAAACCTCTTGATTATATACGATAGCACGAAAGCTGATTGTGAGGGTTTGTCCACCAGTCCGGGTTCGTTCGCTTTCGCGCATCTGGATTGACTTTCCTTCTATCATGTCTGGTTCCATGCACATCCTCCAACTGTAGCGTTGTCCAGTGTATGATGCGCTTGGGTCGACGTGAGCTCCTTCAACAATAGCTGAGTTATTTGCGTAGACAAGAGAATCATCAGAAGAATAACTGGAGCCGAAATGAAATGAAGAGGAGGATCAAAGGGGGGGAACAAACATGGCTTGTACCCAAGCTCTAGTCTTTGAGAAATTCGACTCATGAAAGCTGGGCTGACCATCAGTGAGGTAGATTGAATGTCGGGAACTCGTCGAATTTGGTATGGCTTGAAAGTAATGGTGGGCTCGGTAGTGGACACCGAGAGTTGCAAACGAGCATTCTAGTAGACCAGAGGAAGATGAGTTCCACAATGATTAAACTTGATTCCCATCTTGTATTAATTATGACATGGCTTACGAATTTTGAGATTCGCATCCCATCATTCAAGCGGATCGGCATATCTTTCTCTACCAGGTCACGTATGGTAAGAGGAGGAGCAGGACTTTGGGGTGACGTGAAGAACCAGATTATATCCTAGGTATGGGATAAATCCATTCAGTACAATTTGAAAGATTACACTGAGACGGATAAATCACCTCTTTCAACACTGCTGCCTTATATTCTTTTTGTGCAAAGATGATGGTTCGATTGAGGAGTTTCCACAGTTTTCTTCCCAACTGCTCTTTACGCCCCTTGCCAGCTTCGTGAAGGACATTCTCACTCAAACGAACCCGCAGGAAACAATCTGACCCATAAGTCCGCTGCCAAATATTTGAATCACTGATTTTACATGGTTTCAATCTTTGTGCAAAGTTTGTTTGTCCATCGTCAAGTGAGATATTGATGCCAAAACGGACTTGACCCCTAGCAAGTATTCGCCGGATGACTTCTCGAGCATTATCTGCAATGGATGCGGGTGGTGTCTGGAAAGATTTCATCAGTCAAAGGCGTGACCTATCAATATCTGCAGGACACGTTGGGGATGACGCACATCAACTTTGTCCTGTTCGGCCTTTAGCTCTGCTTCAGTGGAGCGGATGAGAGCGAGAAGCTCAGGATCAGCTCCCTCGACATCTGTGGGGGATGACAAGAGACCGGATAACTGTATCCCAAAACGCAAAGGATCCTCGTGCGGGTGGCCCGTAATGATGGTTTTTTGCTGGTCTTCTGGCAATCTTTGGATGGATCTAGCGACCTCCCAAATCATGATTGCGTTCGGAAGATTTGCCAAACTCTTGTCGACATCTTCTTTAAATAGACGATTGACTGTACAAGCAGAGGAGAAGACTCGATCAATCTCGGAGCGGGATAAGAATGATATTGCGAGAATCTATATGTGGAGGAGTGCTGCCGAATGAAGACTTGGATAACCCGCAGAACATCTATCTTGAGGAACACGAACAGCGCATCGGTAGGTATGTACCAATAGTCAAAACCGGAGCTTGGTGACTTCCGAGCAAAACCACAAATTACAATTTTTGGACTATCTCAGGTCAAGATGTTGCCGCTGGGTGTTGAAGGCACAGCGCACTGTGGCGCGAGAACAGGCTCTCCAGAATCCGCACCATTAATGCTGGCGCGCCAACTTGCTTTAAATGATAGTAAAAAGCGAAAAGATCCTGGTAAAGTCCTCTTCAACTCGTAAACTAAAAAGCTGAAATGTCCACAAGAAAGTAGACAAATTTGGTGTGTACATCATGTAAGGTCCACTCAGAATGTGAAACATTGATTACAACAACATCACACCCGAGATTGTTGAGATCAACCGACTAACCAGCCTTCAGCTGGTCAATGTCAAGCAACTTGTTGATGAATCCATCAAAACTATCATCAAGAAAGTTCTCTATGGTATATTTGTATATATTGCCGCCATCTGGGTGAGCTCTCAACCCCGTCTGCAAGGGAACAATCTCCAATAATCGGATGAGGATTGTTACAAAGGGTTTGATAGGACCGGCGCGCCAAGTAGTTTTCAACATCCGGCTGGTGCCTATCACTTTTCGAGGCATAGGAATTGTCGGTTTCAAATGATCCAGTGAAACCGCCATATGGATAAAGATTGATAGTGATGAGATGAGATGAACAAAAAAAATCGAAGAACGAAGGTGTAACTAAACAATCGGTTTGAGGTCCCGGCGCTTTGTGAGATATTTTGGGCCGGACGACGGGGGCAATTGCTTCAGACGGTCGTCCCACAAACGATCTGGGACTGATTGGAGGTTGCTCCAAATCAGATTTTCTCTTCGTTGCCGTTCGCTTGGGGACGGGATTCTTTTTCGAATCCACCATGGTAGATCGAGCAGAAGATCAATGAGCTATGAGTCAGATCGAATGGAGCAAGCTGATGGGCTATCGTTGTTATGAATGCTTTTATGGTGAGCGAATGAAATTTTTCAAGCAAGTGTTGCTTTGGTTTGTAGACGCGTTTAATCAAGTCCAACCTCCGACCACGTCCAACTGTTGTGTATTCAGATACAGTACACATACAGTGGCTGACGGACTCACAACAACAAATAACAACAGACAACAACTCACACAAATGGCAGTGATCGTCGAGGTCTTCCAATATTAAGTTTGGATCTTATGCAGAAAGTCGAACGCATGCTATATGTAGTTCCTGATATTCAAATTATTGGAGTCATATCTCTATATCATATCAGGCTCTCAAAGCGCCAAAGGTTTGTAGAAAGTCACTGCATAAATTGTCTCATTTAATTTTAATTGGAAGATGGAAAGATGACTCACTGTTGGTCTGCCTATTTGATGCGAGTACGTACAACATACTCACTCTCAACATCAATTCCTTTCGAGGAACCTGAGATGGTATACCTCAAATAAGGTTATCAGTTCGTTCTATTGCAAAACACCTCTTATCTCCATGGTGGGGCTCGGTCGCGAGCGACACAGCGTGGGACTCATATGAGGTTATGTAGGAAATGCAGGACCAGAGATATCCTGGCCATGAAAGGGTGTGAAAATTAAGCGCCAATTTTATCATCTCCAAACGCCTGAAATGCGAATCACGATACAGGAGATCTCTCCAGATAGATGTCCACCGTCAACGGATATCAAGGATCCTTTGAAAGTCGATTTTCTCAATAAGGCCTTGTAAATAGTCTAGATGAGACCGGATCTAGAGGGAAATCAAGTAGAGTGGATGCTAATGGATCGAGATTTACTTACATAGATCCAGATGGACCACCTATAGCTCCGAGACAAATGTGATATGATCCTTAATTTATGAGTTTGAGTCTTAGCCATCAAGAGATAAATGTTGCTTGCGCGACGTTATGCTAGTTAATGATAGGCTGCAGTATTGAGGGCGAGGCTCTGTGCTAAACAAACCTAGAAGCTCGACCAAATTTCAAAGTGATCTGATGAGTCGCCCCGAGAGCTGTTCTCAGGTGAGAGTCAAAAAGATCTGTTTGGTAAAGCCCCGGACTTGTCACTCATAAGAATTTGTTTTCATAGTGGTTCTCATATTTTTAATTTTCGTCCAGATGGCTATCATCATTGGCAACTTGCGGGCATCAGAAATGATGAGTGAACAAAAGGTTCGAGGGCTAAGCGTTGGGATCGACATTACCCATGGGGTCCAGATTGTGTCAAGTTGGCATATTGGCAGTAGCTCTGTATATTTATTCACTGACATCAATTGCGTCCCCGAAATATTATATACAAATTTGATTCTACAACAGCCAGATATATTTGCATGAATCCTCACTCGGAGTCGAGCATTCATACAGAGTGAGACTATTCTACCTTCTTTCGCCCATCCGAAAAGACTCACCTTTTGCCAGGAAGACTCTAGAGGGGTATCTTGTCTTACAACTGAATGCAAGAGGCTTCTTCCACATTTGCAGATATCTTAATTACGTTCTAGTTTGATATTCATGATGCCATCTCCATTCTTACCCTACAATTTGAATCAGAGAGACATGTCAAAAAACCAGGTATAATTTTGCTCCTTCCCCAATGTAACAATTCGAAAAGTAGCCAATGAACGTACCGTCTTCCAAGTCAATTCTCGCGTTCGTCCTAAGCTCTCAATAGCACTTATTCTCTCCATCACGCTTTCCAATTTTTCGTCGAAATCAGGCTCGTTACAGATCTCTTTGATGACGTTCAACATGACCACCGAGTTTGGCCTCACTCTGGAAAGTCACATTGAAGCTGGATTTCAACAAAGCGTAAGCATTTGATCGAATATGAGAGGAGCGCACCGATAGTCAATGTCGATGGCGATCATGTTTTCATGATCCAATTGATCGAGGAAATCCGCTCGCGTCTGATGAAAGAAAGCAACCAAAGTCAGCTGCCTGAACGACCCGCATTCTGATGACAGATGAGTCCATTGAGGGTACCAAACGCTTTCGCGACTTGAACATACCATTATCTGTCTGGCTTCTGAGTACAGAAGACCTTTTTGAAAGGTAGATCCATCGGTATCCGATCCCGATTCGTGTTCTTCTTCTGCTTGCTTTGCCAAAGATTGCATCAACAGAAAAGAACTGGAGGACCATTTTTGCTCATCCATCACATCTAGGGCGCGATTGATAAGATCGTTTGATCAATAAAATATGACGACAGAAAGTGGAAGTCGAACCGCTTACATACCATCATCACAATCCTTTGGATCCCTCAAAAGTATCGCCGGTCAGTTGACGCCAGAAGCTTCATGAGCTGATGAAGAGTCAAAAAGCTGGAAAGAGATACGCACGACAATCAAGCCAATTCGCGAGAGAAGCCACTGCTTTTCACGCTCGATGATAATATTTGCTGCGTGGATCATGTCCTTATGCTTCATACACCAGCTGAGATGCCCAATTCGGCCGCCGACCAACTTCCAAACCTGTTCAATCTCTTCATCTCCTTCTCTGCGGTCTTCGTTCCATAATTTCTTTCGCTCGACACATACCGCTCTGATAGTTTCTGACTTTGTCAGATCTTTGATTGTCAAGACTGACATCCTGGATGCGTTCTTGCGCAGGAGCGAGTATGGCCAGTGGTCATCCGAAGTGAAAATCATGGTCAAAATACCAGCTTGGGACCAACATTCAGCTCGTTGCTGTAGTTGCAGCAGAAGACTATAAGAATCATCGTTTCGCTGCAGGTGACTAGATCAAATTTCAAGATGTGTCAGCTACTTTCTTCTGTCACCACAATCACGCACAGTATAGCAGCACTTTGATATCGACTCAACTGGATATTATTGAATACGAGAATCAAAGGACGGCGATTTTTCTCGTGATATTTTATAGCCACCTGAGTTTTCCGTGCACGCTAGCATGATATTCAGCTCCGAGTTTTTACGCTATCGAATGGATCGCAGGTGATGAAAATGAATCTCTGACCTTTTCGAGTTTATTCAGTGCACGCTGAACAGTGAAAACAAAACAAAAACAAACCACATCTTATTAGATATATATGGATAATGCCTCTCAAAAAGGAAAGCAGATTTAACATGAACTTGAGCTGGTAGGGACCCAAGTTTCAAGAAAGACGTGAGCTTGACTCAAGATCAAGCACCTCAACATCGACCAAAGGACCTCCCTCTCGAGGATCACGCCTCGAGAATAAACCTCCTATATAATCTTCAGAATACTCAAAGTTTAAGCACCTGCCCAGTCGTAATCGGAAAATCTCGAGGTTGTCACTGCATTCACAAACAGCAACGCCTGTTTCGCATCGAAAATGAAACCCAGCCTACTGAGTCCAGGAAAATCGTGCGAAAAATCTGGTCACAATTGACATTTTGCTTCATCAACTCACCATCAGCCGAATTTCTCACCATAGCGTCGGCAATCAATGAGAATTTGCCGGTTCCTTTGGGGCCTGAAATTACGGAGTTGTGAGAGAGTTACAATAAAGATATGTATGATAATGAACGATCTGAAATTTATACATAAGATTGAAAGATTGACCTGTGATCAACCAGTACTGGCCTGCCAGTGTTCCATGCACGATCTGGTCGATAAGAGGTTGTTCCTGTCTGTTGATCCAAGACACCTGTTTATCTTGCTCTTCTTCGTCGAGATCCACACCGTAAGCACGCTGGAAGGTAGGACGAGCCGTCTCTGGCTTATTAGAAAGTTTCTTGGAAGCATCGTTGAGCACCAAGACCGGATCGTAGCCTGGAACCCACAGAAGAAATGGTAGGTAAGTAAAGCTGTTTCAGCTTCTAACAAGCCCGCGCTGTTTTCCACAGATCCACTTAAGAGTGCTGCTGGCCATTACTACAAGAAAAAAGAAATTTTATGAGGTGATTGACATACCAGGCTCGAAAGCTACTGCCATCTTCTGCAATACGGAATATTTATACCTATCGCACACTCAAAATAGCATGAACAGATAGGCTAGATCACAAGCCGAGCTTTTACTTCAGACTAACCAAGTGTGGTATAAATATCTGGGAGTCAGGGATGAACAAGGAGCTTGTGAGCCTAGACAGATTCGAACAATGCCGACTTGTTTATCACAACACCCACCCGCCGAAACCTAGAATGACGATAGTTGCCAGTGAGCCGACAACTGCTTGAGCTGCTACCCCATCTGACCAAGACGATGCGGGGTCTTTCGAATCATGCGGTGGTGGGAGGTCATCTCGAAGCCTGGACGGCTCTGGCGAATCACGATGATCGAATTCTGCGCTTTTGTCCCCACTTGCTCGCTGTCGTGCACTATAAGATGGGTTGTACCATCTAGCTTGATGTGTTGACATTCTGATGGGTTGATGTTGCCAACCTGGTAGCGGTTGTTTTCGAATTCCGCAAAGAGTGGACACATCATGGACAAGCCTGGTTTGGGCATGCCTTGAGGATAGTCCAGCGGCTCCGATCAATCTTTGCATTGTCTTCAGTGCGCTGAACAAAGTGACCAATGCTTGTTCGAGGCAAACAACGACGATGCTGATAACTCCACAGCCGCGGCCTGGCTGTTCTAAGTCTCCTTTTTTGTTGATCGTTCGAGACGAGCACGTACACCAGCGACTGGAGAACGAATAAGCGTCAAGCTGAAGTGGTGATATTTAAGATGAATTGTTCGTCGAAGTAGGCAACATCGTCTTGAGAAAGTGCTCGTGTGTGCGACTCTGACTATGTAGCTCTGACTGTCACTGTGTGTAACCTTTTCCTCAGGGTTAGGTTACTCCCTCTTAAGAAATTACATCAATACGGTATTTTCAAATCCGGGGTGCGTGATCAGCCTGGAGGCTGGCATGGTTTGTTTGGCTCAACGATCCCAGCATCAGAGGCAACACACAATTGCCACTTCACAAGAGTCGCAGATGACACCGATGCATAGCTTAACACCGGACGAGACGATGCACGAGTGACCGAGTGTCTTGCCAATGGTTTGCCTTTGATCAACTGAGCTTGGTCAGACCTTTGTGCATGCACTTCTTCGCACGTTTGGCCTGAAACACTTCTAGCACGGGTACGATAATAAAAGTGTATGTTCCTCATCGAGCTGCATCTCAATCAAAGTCACTCACACAAAAGAACTCGGCTGTGCGATCTTGTGCGATATCCGAACTACGAGGAGTTGAGCATCACCCAAGACTTTCGAGTGAGTGATGACCTGTCCTAATGACCAGATGATGTAGCTAGCGTTCGGAATGACTAGATGATGATATGTTTAAACGACTTTATTGTCTCAACTCACGGCTCGATCTCCAGCTGTAAGGGTGAAATCATGTGAAAGACTACGACAACTGGCGCGAAGCTGAGCAGGCCTCAGGATAGACGCCTATCTGTGCCAAGTGTATGATTAGATAGTAGATCGCCGAAACTTGCACCTGGGAAGCTGACGCTAACCAACGATCATGGCCTTGTAGAATGACATACGTGACTGGAGATCGCGCCCACTTTGGAGCCAAGGAGAAATGTGATATGAGGAGCGTCTAAGATCGACACGCCAGGAGCCGACCAGCTGGAGTCGACGCGCTCTCTGAAGAAACACCGCCTTTTCCATCTATGTAGCCAGATGGGTAAATATTTGATAGATTGGTCGCAGGTACACCTTTCAAGTTATATCAATTAATGTAGACCAGCTGAATGATGTGCGGTGGAGCTCATACCTTGCCTCCACAGAGGAGTCTAGTCACGCAGGGGGAAGTCTGATATCAGCGATGTCGTGGTACTATCTCTCGTCGATCAGTAGCATAGCTTCCAACTTTGTGCTCACATGAAATGGATGGAGTATTTCTTCAAGTTAAATACGAATGACGATGGACCAACCAGGATTCTCCTCCCGGACAGAGGTTGCGACATCCATCAAATCATATTCCTCTTAGACTTTAAAAATCAACTTGTTACGCTACCATAATTCCAGAGACTATACGCCATGCTTTCATTCAAAACTTTTTACTATGCGGTCATCATGGCCCAAGCTTTTTCCAACGTAGCAAATGTGCAAGCTTCCCCTACTGCTACGAACCCTCCGATTCCTACTAAGCCTACTACGACCCAGGTAAGGTTTCCACACAAATCACAGTCTATCACTTCATTCGTTCTGGATACTCCACATTCTTGAGTGCCACGCGGTCTGACTATTTCCCCACCATCTGTCTATCTTGTTTTCCTCGGTTTTTAAAGAAAGACGAAGTGTCTGGACAAGTAAGTCCTAACCTTTCACAACTGTCAAATCTGACGACATGCTGATTGTGTTCCCAATCCCTCTTCAAGAAATTACGTGGCCCAGTTCCAAATGCCGCTGGGTCGCTTCCTTTCCCCCTTCCCCCCCTAAGCCTTCCCACTGGCCTTGGCTTTCCAAATTTCACTGGCGCGCCTACCAGTCCTTCCGTTCCTAAACCGGTTGCAACTGGCTCATCAGGCCCCGAGTCATTCTTGGTGGCCGCCATCAACGCCGGTACGACCATTTCGGGTGACCTATCCAAGCTCATCCAGGACATGTCTTCCACATCCTTCCCGGCCGTCGCCCCCTTGATCGTGGAAGACATCCGTAAAATTGTGGCAAACTTTGGAGATGCTATCTCCCACATGGCGGTTTGTATATATTTCCCTGCTGCTTGCTCATACTTTTCGAGCTGTCTCCATAGGCTTGAAAGCATTTCATGACCTTTTTTCTGTCCATCATTGGGAACTGATATGGCTCATCTATCCCTGCTCCACTGCGGTACAATCCTCGTAGAATGCTCAACCTTTTGGTGATCTTGATGCCAAAGGAGTGGTCTATGCCCTCACCGGAGTAAGTGTCGTACAAAATCACATGAAAATCCGCGCTGCACTAATCATTCCAACTCCTTCGTCACTGTCCACAGTTCGTTCAGATGAGCCAGAATGTCTCTGATGCGCTCATAGGACAAAAAGGTTTCTTCGCCCAATACTCCTTCCTTGCCCCGATCCGTGTTGGCTTGCTCGCGATCAAGAACGTGGCCGATGTAAGCAAAAAACTCCCCAGAGTCTCCATCGTCTTTGCTTGTGACGGAAGTTGATGTTTATCAATTGTTTCTTTTCTAGCGATTTGCCATGCTCCTCATTGGACTAATCCCTACTGGCGGACCATCAATTGGTCTATTACGCACTGGATTCGAAGACACTCTTCAAAGAACCATCTCTGCCCTCTCTGAACCACCAAAAGATTCGAAGAGCTCTTAAAATACGGAAATCTTTCCCGCCGCAAAAGTCACGCGCCTTTATGATATAAACCAAATTTCTTTATCCTTGCTTCCAATGATACAACCGTCCACAAACTCTCAACCATCAAGGCCGGTAATTCTTTGTACCTAAAAATATGAAATACCCCACATCCTTCGTTTGATGGATCGATGACTTGTTAACCCCCTGAAATGCTGATCTTTTTGGCCCACCCGACCTAAAGCCACGTAAATTCTTTGCCATTGACTGTACCCTGACTCGCATTCCACATTTACACCATGTCTCTCAGCCCACACAAGATCCAACCACCAGTGACTGCCCTTCGTCGCGATAAGACTCCCTTTCCAGCGCCTCAACTCCGTATCGACGGAACTCCTTCACAGTTCCGCCAGTCCTTCTCCCTACATAAGTCAACTTAGTCTATCCTTTCGCGTGATTATACTGTACTCTCGCTTTTGCCCGTCCAGCCAGAATTCCACACCATTTTGAGAGAACAGTCAGGCGTATCGGCTAGGTTCATGAAGCGGATGGACAACAAACAAGTCCTAATGACACATTAAGCAACTTGTAGGGCCTGAACGGCTACAACACACGTGAGATTTGCTTCGCACTGGAGATAAACCTGGAACCAACGAAAATTGTCGCAAAAGAATCTCCTCATGACATCGTCGTTGCCACTGTGACCAAACTCCCAGTGCACAAATCACCATGTCACAGCATATATCGAAAATTGGTGTATGCTGTAGGTTGGCTGATCCCTCCCACCCTTCTGAAATTTTCTTTCAAAGGTACCTGCAAAAGAAACTTTCTTTTGGTTAAATCATTTCCTTCTTTGAATATCGCACCTTGACCCAAGGGACTTCCACACTGTTTGTCAACTCGTGAAATATATTGAAGTTTGTGATCACTTTCCCTTATAATTTATGTAGGTGAAAGATACCAACATGACCCACCTGGTGCCCTCGTGGCAACCCCCACTAATCTTCGCGTCGAATATACAAAATCTAATCCTTGAAATTGACTTTGTGGGCGCCTAGTTCAGAAGTCTACAAGTATACAGCGCAAAACAGACTTTTGTCGGTCGACCAATCATTTACATAATAAGCCATAGGGGTGGTGGGTGTGTTCTCTTTACATTGAAGGTAGTAACAGCATCTCCCCTCACATGCATAAGTTCTTTTTATGATTATCTCTGCTCTAATTCTATGATAACTAGATCTTTGTTAAGTCAAGTGTACCTCAGAGTTGTTGTTGTTGTTTTTCTCTATATTCTTTCTATTTGCATTATTATCTCTCTTTAGCAGTCAACCGCGGTCTTCTGTCAAAGAGTATTCTGTGAGCATAGTAGGTGCAGTTTGACCCTTGGGCAGGACCACTGCACTGCAAAAGCGTGCAGTGGTTGGGTAACTGAAAAGGGGTTGCACTGGTAATCGCACAGTCACAAACTGCACCTCCCCTGCACCACAAGCTGTGTGCTGACTTGGGCTAGTTGTATGTGGTGCGCCTGCCCCCCGCGGGTAGTCAGATGACAGAAGGAGTGGAACTGGTATGAATGACAGCTGTCTCAGCAATAGCATCAAGGGACTTGGAGCATGACCACTGTGCCTGCCCTGGGATACATAATTCAGTGTATGTTTATCTCAAAGGGAACCCATTGTTGTGTTTGTAAGCCCTCCAGGTCATTCTATACAGTCAACTCTCAAATAACCCATTTCTTGGTCACCCATACTTGGCTATAACCCATATCTCTGTGGTGACTCAAATGGGAGGATAGGAGCAAGAGGTATCATTTGCTTGATGATCATATTGCAATGCGAAGAGCAACAGGTACAAAAGGCTTCTGAGCTCTAACTAATGCCCAAAGCGTGGATGTTACAGTCTTTGTATATCTTTATAGTAGGCTCATTACATCATCCCCCCCTTTGTACCTCAACACCCTCGTGATGGGTCAGGCATTTTTCACCAGGTTATCATAAAAAACGACATGGCAAAAAGCCTTAAACCTCCCTCATGCTGTTTTTGTCCTAAAGTATTTATTTTCAACTTGTGGATCTTTTTTATCAAAAGACTTCACTAATCCTTGTGCATTCCTTAAATTCATGTCTGGTTCCCATGAGTCATGATCTGTTTCATATCCTTTCCAACTAAGCATTCTATCTTCTTTCTCATTTTTATCTTGTTCAGTATTTCTTGAACTTTATTATAATGGTCCTGTCCTTCAACTATCAATGGTGGCGGGTTGTTTTTCACTTGTCCTTTTGTTTCACTCTTGTGAATTTCCTTAATAAGTTGACATGAGAGACATGATGCACATCCTTTATTTCCTTAGGCAAAGGTGCTCTATACGCGTTAGTTGAGATTCTTGACATTTTATTATAAGGACCAAGCCATCAATGAGATAAAATAAGCATGTAAGTGGCCTTGAGACCTGGACTCCGGAAGACTTTTTCAAGCATATACCTGCCCCAGAGCACTCCACAGGGAAGGTACCTGCTCAGCCAGTGGACTGCAATATACTCAAGTCCTCAGAGATTGTCACAAATCACATCAGGGACAAATATTGTCAGGCAGTTGAAGTGTGTGAGAGGGCTCTCTGTTGAGCTTAGCAGGCATTTAGTGCAGCACACTCCAAAAGACTAGTTTGGCCCACAGTTGTGCAATGCCTTTTGTAAGGAATCTCTGACAATCCCTGAAATTAAAAAATCTTATTACACCGTACTCTATGAAAACAAATGACTTTTGGGTTCCATACGGTGGAATTCCTGTATAAGCATAGCAATAGTTGGGCGAAGTCTTATGCTTACGTAAAAACACTTCTTATTCAATGGGAGCATGATTCACAATTAAGGAACATGCTATGCTGAGGCAAATGCTAGTGCTAGGTAAAGAATTTTCAAATATGAGGTGCTCAATACAAGGCAAGAAAGGTTGGGAAAGCGAGATTGATATTTCAAGGGTCTTGTGTAAAAAGAGGTAAAAAAATTGGAGCATGTAATCTGGGATGAGAGTACAAAAGTCAATTATTTTTCAAGTATTTCTTATTATTTTTTATCAAGACGCCAATATCTTTGTCGTCCAGGGCCCTAGCATCCGGATAGGACGAGGCTAACCGGCCAACACATAGAACGGTTGAACCAGTGGGATACTGGGGATCAGGAGGTAGATCGCTAATGACTGGGTGCCCGAACTGTAAAAATCGAGGTCAAAATGATAAAAAGCTGCAAGTTAGAACAAAACCTAGTCATATGTTGCCAAACTAGGATGGAAATCAGACGAATGAGAACAAGTTATATACCTCGGTTTTAATTTCAGGGCAACAGTCGACAGTAAAGCTGTTGAGTGTGTTCTCTACAATGGTCGCGGTCAAGCTTATAAAATTGGATACGGCAAACATACATCAGCAACACATATTTCACGGACACGGACGAAGGCTTACTCTTTATATGGGACTAACGGCGCCGGTTCCCCCTTGCCGTCACTCCCAAAGTACAAGACCTGGGTGCAGGGTTCAAGAAAGTGATCAGATCGACCGCGACGATGATTTGTTCACGAGACTGTCACTCACGCCGCAGGTTCCATACCCACTACTACTCCATCCATTTTGCATCATTATCTGACCAGCGCTGAAACAACCCAGCAAAAAATGAATAAGTTGATAAAAGAAAAAAGGTATCGGGTGAGAATTGGTTTAAGCTCTGAACCACTTACCGCTGACAATCATTCAAATCCATTGGATGATCATCCGGGCAGTTGAAAATATTGGTGTTCGGATCATTGTCAGTGACTGGGGTACATTTACCTTGGCGGGCCACGAGTCGGCTGGGTGGGCTATGGCCAAAACTCAAGGAAGTATATAAAGATATTATTGATAGAACTATAATCATGAACTTCATTTTTGAACAGTACCCAATTTGTGCGCCGAGCAAATCTAGTGGGGTCAAGGACTTGATCAAGGTCGAGTGGCTTATAAAGCAAAGGATAACAAGTCACGGACTGTCACAGGCATTCAAACAGCTTCGCTTTTGCTGAAATCGTCATTTCCAGTCCAGATTTTTCTCACAAGGCTCAAAGACCTTTGACGCAGGCGATATTGAGCATATGTGAGAGAAGACAGACAATGGGTGTTGATTGAGTTCTCAGGAGGTGAACTTCCCTGGCCTTGGATAGAACAACGCACTCGAAGCGTGCGCGAGTTAGCGTGGGACTTTGTAGAGTTTAGGCCTCGGAGGCCTGTCCAATAACTTTGGAACGGATCAAGGTGTGCTCTGGCCGATATCCGGCGGGTTCAAGCCATTCCGACAACCGAACCGCCGGATCATCCGGCCACCGGATGATGCCAAAGGCCTTTCTGGTTTCCGGATCCGTCGGATAATCCGACGGATATCCGGCCAAAAAACCGGGTCCGGGTCCCTGACAACGCGCGTAAGCTGCGGTATCCGGCGTGTTCAGGCCATTCCAACAACCGAGCCACCGGATGATTTTAAAACTCTTTCCGACATCCGGATCCGACGGATGCTCCGACGGATATCCGTCGGATCTTCGGTACCGGAGCACACCTTGAGGAACGGATAAGTAAAAAACAGGCTCGGCCTCGGCTGGGGCTGGAGACAAAATCCCAGGACCCTGGAAAGCTCCAGGGGAAGTTTTTTTTTTTTTTCTTTTTTTTTTTTTTTTTTTTGCATTGCTTTAAGTGTTGTTAGAGCCTTTCGGCTATCAAACACTGCATGTCTTTTCCAGCACCGGTAAAACCCCTCTGGCTGTGTCAGGGGAAAGGGTTGCTGTTGGCTGTTTCACTTATAATACATGATGTACGAGGGGACATGATTCTAGCGCTAAAGGATGGGGTGAGGAATTAATCCCTTGGTGGTTGCCTGTCAGTTGGCAGGTCTTCTTCTGCGATGGCAGCCCAATTCCAGCGGCTTTTCAGCCTCCAGGTCTTGTCGCAATACTGCGCAATGGCTTTAAAAGCTTTTGGCTTGTTGAGGATTGAGGTGTTGATAGGGAGTTTGAGTTTCTTCAGTTCTTCTTCAAAGTGTTGGCGTTCGTTGTTGTATCTAACACATGTGAATAGATAATGTTCTACTGTCTCGATGCCTTCTTGGCAATCACAGCTTGGGTTACCAAGCTGCTTGAATCTACATAAGTAGTGGTTTAGTTGTATATGGCCTGATCGTAATTGTGAAATGATACCTATAGAGTGTTTGTTGAGTTCGGAGAGATATTTTAAGTGTAACTTCTGTTGCGGTTTGTGTCCTAAGCGTTTTAGATCTTGTTGGTTTGTGATTTCAGAATTCTTGGACTTCCATTCCTTGATTGCCGTCATAAAGCTCGCGGCTGTCGGCTTTGCTGTGAATGTGCTTGGTAGTTTTGTGTTTGCCTTCTTGTTCGCTATCTTGTCCACGATTTCGTTACCGTGTACTCCTGAATGGCCTGGGCACCACCGAATGGCAATACGCATGTTGGGGAAGGTTCTGTGTAGGTAGGTTAACAGTTTGTAAGTTAGTTTTCTATTGTTGAGGGTGGTAATGGGGAGTTTGTTTGATCTCAAGTCTTTTATGACACTTTGATTATTGAGTAGGATTGTTGTCCATCTTGTGTGTATTGAAGCTGTGTGAAGAGTCATCTTGAGTCCCATTTGGACTCCTCTGTACTCTGCCTGATATATTCCGTGCATCCTAGCTGTTCCTAAATGTTCGGCTTTCGATTTGCCTGAGTTTTTACACCAAGCGGCTGCCGCCGTAGTGCATGTTGGTATCCTCGAACCGTCAGTGAAGATCACGACATGTTCGAGGGTGGCTGTTAGTTTGTTGGCTTCTATTTTCGCGAAGTCTTTGTTTTCTTGTATGATCGTTGAATAGTTGGATGGTCTTGTCAGGATGTCGGACGGGTTGAGGGGAAGTTGTTGTATAAATTCTTCTAGTTCTTTGCTGACCGGGTGTTGAAAGAACCGGTGGAAAGGATTGTGGTGGCATTTTGGGTTTGAGTTCTGCACCTGTTTGACAAAACTAAAGATAGGAGAGTGTGACGGTTTTGTCAGTGCCGTTGCCATAAAGTTCATTATTTTGCTTTGAAGTCGGATTTTTGTTGGGGTGAGGTTGGCGTCGTGTGCAAGGAAGATTCCTGGTGTTGTCTTCAGTGCTCCCAGCGCCACCCTTGCGCACGTGTTGTCTATTGCTGTGAGGCTCGTAATGAAATAATTTGGTGGTTCAAATGGTAACCACGCTGCTAATCCGTAGTCTAGGGCTGTGTGGACAGTTGTGGTAATTAGTGTGTTCATAAGCTTGGGGGATATACCCCATTCTACCTTTGAAAGTGTTGCCAAAAAGCCTGCACGTTGTCGGCCTTTTGTTAGAATCTCGTTTCTGTGTTGGGAGAAGGTTAGCTTATCATCAATAGTGATACCTAGCCATTTAGCCTTTTTCTCGGGTGGAATGTTGTTCCTGTTGGCGAAGTTGATTGTTGGTGGTTTGTTGATGTCTTTTGGGCTAAAAATGACCCAGAAAGTCTTTTTTGCGTCGAAGATGGCCCCGTGGTCTTTCGCCCAGGCGTTCTGTCTGTAAGCTAGCGTCTGCATTTGTGAGCGCAATTGGTGTGTGTCAGAAGCGGTTGAAAGAAGGACAACGTCATCTATAAATCCTAAGGCTGTAGCTGTTTTGATGTTATCCGTGGTTTCTAGTAGGGTGTTGTTGTAGATGAGATAGAGTAGTGGTGATAATGGAGATCCTTGCGGTAGACCGTGTGTCAATTCAAAGGGTGTTGATTCGTATCCATTGAATGAGAGCGTGGTGCAACGGTTATTCAGGAAATTGTGAAGTAAGTTGATTGTTTGGCTATGGAAGCCTTTCTTCTCGAGAATTGAGAGGAGTCTCGGGTGGTGTACTGAAGGGAATGCAGATTTAACATCAGCAAAAAGTGCACCCACTAGTTTACCTTTGGACCATTCTTTTCGGATCCAGGAGACTAGATGTACAAGCGCCTCGTGTCCTGATTTGTTGGGTCTGCCTCCGTAGTGGCATTCATGGAGTAATCTTTTCTTTTCTACCTGCTCAGAAAGATGCTTTGTCAGCAGCTTTTCGTAGATTTTACTCACCGTGAGCAGCAGCGCTATTGGTCGATATGCTGAGGCGGCCGTGTAGTCTGGTTTTCCCGGTTTTGGGATCATGATGGTTTTGGCGTGTTTCCAATCCGTTGGAATAAGGCCTAGTTCTGTGATCTGTAAGAAAAGTGAACGTAAGTGAGTCTTGACTTGTTGCCAAATCTTCTGCCATACCCAATTTTGAAGCATGTCAGCGCCTGGTGCTTTAAGCGGCGGAACACTTGTTATTACACTCTTTATGTTTTCTTCTGAGAGATATGAGTAAAAGTCGGGCATGGTGGGGTCCGTAAGTCGGGTTTCTGTGTCGAGCGGGAATTGGAGGATGTCTGACTCTTCTATCCTGCAAGGCGCTGTGGCCACGCACGTGGTGTGGAACAAGAGTTCGGATTTTTCGTCGTTGGTTGAGCATACCGTACCTGAAGTTGAGATTAGTGTATTGACTAAAGATGATGGTTTCCTACCTGAGGCAAACTTCTTTGCCTGGAAGAGCGTTTCGTGTGTTAAAGTCAACAGGTAAGTTTTCCAACTGGCCTCTTTCATTTTGTCTACTTTCTTGTTGAATGTGTTTCGGGCTTTTTTATAGGCTATATTGTTTTCTTCCGTTTTCTCAGCTTTGAATTTTCGGTGTAGGCGTTTTGCTTCTTTTCTGAGTGGCTCCAGGACTTCAGGCCTCCACCAGTGTTTGTGTTTTCCCGGTGGAGGTCTGTTGGGCGAGTTGTTGTTCAGAGCGTTGGTGATGGTATTTCGTAGGCTCCTGTCAAAGGCGTCAATTTCATCCTGTGTGGTTAGTCTCGTTACCTTTGGTAGAGTCGTTCTGAGTTTGAGTAATAAGTCTTGAGTTTCCACTTTCTTCCAATTCTTTTGTCTGATCGTGTCTTGGTCGTTTGCTTGTGAATCTTGAGGTGTTGTTCTGAATGTTGTTATGATGGATTGATGATCCGAGAACTGATTCGTGACATCGTCTGTGTCCACGAGGCAGGTCTGGATGGCATCGTCTAGCTGTTTGTTGACCCAGACTAGATCAATCGTGGTGCCTCTGGTGGTTGTGGAACTCATGCCGAAAGTTGGTATTCCAGCTGGTGATCTCAGTCGTAGGTCCCATTTTGACATGAGTTCAATTAGTTTGTCGGCTGATTTTTCGTGTGTTTTGTTGTGGGTGGGGTTCCACGCTGGTGAGTGTAAATTAGCGTCTGTTACAACAATCGTTGGTAACAGTTGGAGGGAAAGTGGTAAAGAAGTCGTTAGTTGGTCCCACTCCTCAAATCCTGAGAAGGATTTTGGTGCGTTATAGACATTTGTGATTAGAAAGGAAAAATCGTTAATTGTTATTGTACAGGCTGATACGTTTCTTGATGGTGAAGTGATAGGATTTAATGCGGCTTGAAGGTCTCGACGGATGTATAAACACACCCTCGGGCGTGACTCTTCGTTTTTAGCTGCTGGTGTTGGACTTATAAGGATCCAATTGTTTTGGTTGGGGGGTAGGTAGTCGAGTCTATTGATATGTGGTTCTTGAAGAGCTATGATGGAAAATTTATTAGTAAGATCGTGATTAAATAAGGAATGCATTACGTGTTGTGAGCGTTGACAGTTGAGCTGAAGTATCGCCGATGTATCTTGTGATTTTAAAAGTTCTAGCAGGCGTTGTTCCAACATTAAGACATGTTCATTTCGCTGCTTTCTATGATAATGATCTTTGGGGATCCGCTTGGGTTGTAGGGAGGGTAGCTAGCTGCTATCCTTGTTGGGAATGTTGGGCTGAAAGGGTGATGGACTATGTCTGCTGGGTTGGAAGCAAAGAAGGTTTTGAGGTTAGTCGTGGGTTCTAGGCTCACCTTTTTCCTTGCACAAGCAGTGCATTTCATTTCTGTTTTCCCCTTCTGGGGACAGTTGTGAGAATGATGTTTGTCTCCACAGAAGGGACACAGAGGATCCAGTGGGCACGATGGTGCCGTGTGGCCTGATTTCTGGCAGTTATAGCATCTCTTCGGTGGTGGGCCGCTTCTGGTAGTAATATGCTTACCTCTACTGTGCCAAATCTTGTTGTTAATGCATTGCTGCACTTGGTCCTCACTTTTTAATCCTATCAGGATTGATGAGTGTCTCTTGTTGGGGTCATCCACCACTTTTGGGTTGAGCCAACGCACAAAAATCATATCTTTGAGGAGATTTCCATTGCATGTTTGGAGTTCTTCTACATGATCTTGGATATTGGGATCAAAAGTCGTAGGAATACCATTCACAATGATCTCATGACGGGCTTCCTTCATTGTTAGGGTTTTAGAAAACCCTTTTACCCATGTATGAGGGGCTTCGCGAACCTTAGCAGCGTGTGCTGAGGTTTTGAAGTAGATTTCGATGTCATTTGACGGGTGTCGGCGGGCGTTTTTTATTTCAATGGCCTCCTTGTCGTCCGGTTTCATTTTGATGTTGTATGCTCAAAACGCAACGTTGAGCTCTTTTATGAGTTTGGCGTTCGACAGACCCGGGTGTGTGATATCAGACCCCGGTTCGTGAACAAGGGTGATGGCGTTTGTTGCCTTTAATCTGGGTGCTTGTTTTGGCGGTTGTTGGTGCGCTTGGGTTGTATTTCCCTTTGTGTTGTTGGTGGTTGGGGCATGCTTGGAGGCCGCTAGAGCGTATGAAGGCGCTTGTGGTCCTTTTGTTTTTGATTGCGTAGGTGTGTCGCTTACTTTCGATGCGAGAAGTGCTACTTGTTCAATCAAGGCGTCCAATTTATCTTCGGTCTCCCGTCCCTTGAATATAATGGGACAGCCGGTTGTTTGAGGTCCCATAAGTGATTCAGGAGTTGTGAAGTTGCGGCGAGCATCTTCGTACATGACTCGATCATATACCGATCCAGTTAAGACAAGGATGTCCGCGGCCGATTCAACATCAACCGTCATCTTTTTGGTTGATTTTGACTTGTTGGCGAGGGGGAAAGCGGCTTTGATCACTTCCAGGAGTTTTCCTACCACCTCCTTAAGAGAATTGGGTTCGGAACCTCCTGGGAAAAGATCTCGCAAGCGTTCCAATCGTGGGGTTCCAGATAACTCGGCTGCTTGATATTCTGCAGTTGTACCGGGAGTTTCTAATCGGGATCTCTTCTTCGAGAAGTTTCCCAGGTCGGAAGTTTGAATCAAAGAGGAGTTGAGTCCTTGACTCAGCTTCGCTTTGTCAAAGACGAGAGGGGGTAAGGGGTTGGTCGTTTTGGCCGGTTCTTTGGACCCAACGGGGTTAATAAACGCGCTGGACGCGTTTCGAGTTGGGGTAGTGATGCTTTCAGGCCCCTGCTTCTTTTGGCCCGTGTCCGACACGTTGTCGACCTCCATGCCAACCGCTATCGCGTGAGGAAGGTGAGTCGAGGGTGTCGAAAAAGTTGTGATGATGGATTTTTGAAATTTGGACAACTACTGGCGCAGTCACGGACCAGGTCACGTGACAAGTTGCGAATTCGTGGTAAAAGACAAGAATCTCCCCAGAGGAAGTACCCGACCTAAAACCACCCAAGACGACCTGTCTATTGTGAATAGACAAAGTACAGTCAATTGCACAAAGCTTGGAAAGAATTCCGCGCCAATTTGCTCAAATTTGGCGGGCAAATGTTTCCATGGTTTCTGAAATCGACTGTACAAAAGTAAGCAAGAAGATTTAGATTCCACATATGATGATGTAATGTACCTATTGTGAATAGACAAAGTACAAAAGTAAGCAAGAAGATTTAGATTCCACATATGATGATGTGGAATCTCGAAATCAGAGTCAGGCTGGGTTTTGTTCACCAGAGCGTGAGACAGTCTGTGCCGCAGTCGTGCCATGTCACGTGACTACTACAACACCCCCCCCACGACAAGTCACAGACACCCATTAGAAACAAAACCAAGAAAAGAAAAAAAACAAAAAATAGTCATGACAAGCATGTTTCACAAAATGAACGCAAATAAAAAATAAAAAATAACAAACTGAAATAGGTAGGACAAATATTATCTGGAATCTGTTGCCCTGCTCAAGGCTCGGGATTATTTCTTTTGCCAGAAACATTGCCTCCTTTACAATAACAATCATAAAAAATATAACGGAAAAAATCAAAACATGAAGATAGTCTTTGAACATTGACAATAAATGATTAATCTTTAAGTCTTAAGTTCTTCATCCCGGCTTCATGCAGAGTCGGGCCCAGAGATTTTGTTAAGATGTCGGCTCGTTGGGACTTTGTGTCTATCCATTTCAAGAAAACTTGTCCTTTGTAGACTTGTTCATTGATATAGTAGAATTCTCGATCAGTGTGACGTGTGCGTTTGTTTGAGGAGTTGTCGCTGGCTACATGAATCGCTGAGGTGTTATCGCAGTGCATGTTGATAATGTTGCCTTCACCTGTCACATCCTCGACCAGATTTCTCAACCATACAGCATCACGACAGGCCGTCCCCATCGCCATATATTCAGCGTGACAGGTTGAAGATGCTACACATGTCTGGCATTTCGAGGTCCACGAGATGGGGCAGTTGAGGAAGTAGGTAATAAATCCATGAGATGAACGTGCTCCTTCGCCTCCCCAATTTGCATCGACATAGGTGTGCAGCGGTGTATCAACTTGACTTCGTAACGGTTTGATCATTAATTCTTTAGGACCTGTGGTATTCAAGTAACGGATGAGATGTTCAATTGCCGCCCAGTGTTGACGTTGGGGATCAGATGAGAATCTTGCCAAGTAGTTGACTGTGTACGTGATGTCAGGTCTAGTTGCTACTGATAAGTAATTCAAACATCCAATTGCTGATAGGTATCTCTCACTATCCACACGTTCTTCATCTTCATTAGGTGATGTTGGTATTTTCTGTGAATTCATGGGAGTTTTTGTGGTACGCTCATCTGGTAAAAATGATTTTATTATTTTCTTGGTCAAACCGGGTTGAGATAACTTAAAACTACCATCCTCTTCTCTCGACACGTTAACACCCACGATTTGATCTAAATTCTCCTCCCACTTGATCAATAGTTTCTCCTTCATTGCTTCGTGAATTTCAGATAGTAATTTTTCCGAGCTCCCGGTGACGCAACCATCATCGCTGTGAAGCCATATGATGCATGTGTCAGAACCGCGTCGATAGATGTAAAGTGATTGATCGTATTGGCTAACAGTGAATCCTAGGGCCTTGAGAATAGCATGAATGTGCTTCCACCAGCAACAAGCCCCTTGTTTAGTTCCGTATAGCGCCTTCAGAGCTTTGAGAACTTTGTTTTTCTTCCGTGCATCACACATGTATCCAGTAGGTATCGAAAAGTATACAATGGAGTCGATGTCGCTATGGAGGTATGCTGATGTGATGTCGAAAGAGTGGACTGGCCATTTCTGATACGCAGCGACGGTCAGCATTATTCGTAATCCAGGAAAGGTTGCGGTGGGTGCAAAAGTTTCGGTGTAATCAATACCTTCCTTTTGGCTATAACCTTTTGCGACTAATCGTGCTTTGAATTTTTTTGGGTTACCGTCATCGTCTACTTTCTTATATGTGAATACCCACTTAAGACCAATTGATACCATTCCGTCAGGCTTGTCTACAACCTCCCAAACTCTCATCTTCCTCATCATGTCCATTTCAGCATCACATGCCTCTTTCCACTTGCATTCGTCAGTTGACCTCATCGCTTCAGCATACGAACATGGGGGTTGAAGTATCTTTAGGTAGTCGTTGCCGCTTAGTGCATGAGTTGCAGCGACATCTTGTTTGTCTATCTTGATTTCTTCAGAGAAATCTCCTAGCTTTAGGGCATTGATAATATGTTGCAGTCGGCCTTTTGACGGAGCTTCTTTGTTCATGATTTTATTAAGTGATTCAGATGTGGTGGGGTTTAGTTGTACGTTTGATTCTACTGAGTCATCTTCATAAGGAAATTTGGCAATAGCTGAGGGAAAAACAGTCTTCCTTTTTTCATCATAAAACATCCATCCTTTACCACCTGCAATGTATCCAACCATCTTGCATTTTCTTCCTCTATCTTCCAGCTTTCCAGGCGATCGTTGTCCTTTGTGAATGTGGACAAAAGCGGTACTACCAAATGTGCATAGTGAATCTAATTTCGGCTTCACCCCATGAAACATTTCGTACGGTGTGTTGTCCTTGGTGATTGAATTGGGTAGTCGATTATGGAGATGTGCCGCTGTCAGATAAGCAAAGTTCCAGAAATTATTCGGTAATTTACTTGATGATAAAATAGTTCTCGCCATTTCTCCAAGAGTTCTGTTCAGCCTTTCCGTGTTTCCGTTTTGTTCTGGTTCGTATGGATTTGAAAATTCATGAGTGATACCTTCTTCTTTCAGCCACTTGTCCAAGCTGTTGCCGATATATTCTCCACCCCTATCAGACCTTACTATCTTTATCTTGCGGCCTGTTTCCCTCTCCCATTTCTTGATAACATGAATTAAGCGTTGCTGTACCTCGGACTTGTGCTTTATGATTTGGATCTCCGAGAAAGTTGATGCAATGTCCCTAAAAGTAACCATCAGTTTTTCACCTGTCAAACATGGGGTGAAAGGACCTGCTACATCAGTTACTAAAACCTCCATGATGCCAGGATCTTGATGTGTGCTGCCTAAGACTCTCTGTCTCGTGCTCTTACATGTAAGGCAATCCTCACAAGTCACGTCAGAGTGAATGATCTTCGGTAGGCCGTACTCCTCAGAGTTCTTGAACAAGCGTCTAATTCCTCTCATTGACACATGACCCAAACGGGCATGCCATAACTTACAAGATGAAACAGATGACTTCATTGCACAAACTAAATGAGAAGAGAGAAAACAAGATTGACAAGGCCTTTTGCGTGCTTGGATGAACCATCTACGATTTTTGTGTACTGCATAAATAATTTTGCCATCTTTTAATTTTATTTGAAAGTTATTATCACCATTCATCGATACCTTTGCGCCACTTGCTATCAATGCACCAGGTGAAATGATTGTCGTTGTCGCCTTGGGGCAGTAGTATACATCCTCAATCACCGCTATTTCACCTGAGGGGGTCTTCAGCTTGATTTGACCTTTACCTACTATGACAGCATCAGAATCGTTAGTGGCTGTCTTGATAGGAATTGGATGGGGAAGGCTCTGGTAATTAGCCAGGATAGACCAATTGTTGCTTACAGCATCGGTTGCACCACCATCGAACAACAAGTACTCAGTGGAGTACTCGGAAGGTACTTCATTACCATCCTCAACAAGCCCAAAACCCTCGGAACTCCAGTCCAAAGCAGATGCGTCGATTTGATGAGTGGGTTCATGAACCTCGACTGAGCTTGCATTGATTGGTTGACGACCTTGGTTTGATTGAGGCGCACCTCGAGCGTAAGATTGAGGGTATAAGGCGTCTATGCTGTACCACTGGCGGGTTTGACCGTCCACAGCCACACGGCGCCAGTCACGCCAGTGAGGTCCCGTTCGGTCGCCATTGCCGTTGTAAAGTACACACGGATTGGTGGCATCAAGGTAAGAGTGACCGAATTTGCCGCAGAAAAAACACTGTTGCACTCCATCCTTAACCGCCTTCACTGCAGAGCCAGGGATAGGAAGAGGTTTATTCTCCGTATTGTTACGTTTGTGCTCATTGTCTGTGATAGCCGCAGGACCACGTCTCCATCTCATCGGATCAATCTTCTTGATTGCGTTGTTGCAAATAGGAGTGAAATGGAATGGAGTTTGGTTCATAGACGTATTGAGATTTTGACTGAAATTTCGGCGAGCAGGTGGGGTACGATTCATAGCCATTGCTTCAAAATTGGTACTTAACACGTTGATAGTGATTGTTTCAGAAGCGGTCTTCTCTCTTGCCAAATGGATTTGGATTGCCGATTTGATGTCATCAAGTTTGAAATTAAGGTGAGATTCATCAAATTTCCCATCGAGTTCTTTATTGATCTCCTTAGTCATGTCAGCTGGCATGTGAAGTTGGTAGAGTAATCCACGAATCGAGTCGCTGGTCCATGTAAAACCAGTGGATTCAAGTTCCGATACAATTGAGTCGATTTGAGATATATGAGCGAGCATTCCATCTTCATCTAGGTCAAGACGTAAGTTGATTAAACGAGTGAAAAGAGAGAATTGATTCGTACGGCCACCTCGTTGAAAATGACGTTGAAGGGCTTTCATTGCATCGTAAGAAGTTTTCGCAGAGTCAGTTAAGTCTTTTGATATCTTTGTGGATGGTGTTCAGTATAACGGCGGATGCGAGACCGTCACGGTCTTGGTCTATAAGACTTTCAACACGTAGAGGATTATCCCAGAAATCGATGATGTGTAGTAAACCCTTCATTGCACGAGCCGTGTTCTTCTTCCATAACACAAAGTTTGATCCGTCCTTGACAAGGTGAGTGAAGTTAAGAACAGTTGTTAAACATTTGTAGGCTCGATCGATTGCTTGCGATGCACAATCTTCATCGGCAGGCGACATTGTTGATGATGGGGGGTCCGTCGGAGTCATTTGTGATGGCGGAAATATGCGTTGAGGAAAAATAACAGGGTTTGGATTAAAAACAAGTCTCTTAGTCATAGTGAAAAGGTCAAAAGTGATTGATGGAGCGTTATTAGATTGTAGTGGTTTGTTTGGGGATATGGTTGACGTTCTGAGATCTAAGCGTGAGATTACAGATGCTAACTCCGAAACGGAATCGGGAGATGTCGGAGATACGATTTCAGCAGAGGTGATAGAGGGTATAGGTGATAACGTGGTTTCAGCAGGAGTAGTAACAGGCAGTGAATGTAAAACAGCAGATGAATCGATATTACTAGCAGCGATAGGAGAAGGCAGTCGTGAATGGCGAGATTCTAGTTCAAGAAGTTCAGCAGTGGAAGGAGAGGGTAGAGGTGGTAGCGTAGACAACGTCGAAATCGCGCCACCATAGATAGTGGAAGCGCTGCGCGACTTCCACTAAAAATAGGGGTCCTTTTTGTAGTGGCTGCCGCGCAGCCCTACATGGAATTAGAAGTTTTCAGTAGTGGTACAGGAGCAGCGCTCGAGCTTGTTTCTGGTGCGTCCACACCCAGAGCGGTACAATAGCGAGCGCTATGACCTGTATAACCCCATGTCCTCTACGCCCAAACATGTAAGAGGACCATGCCCTCTGACTCGAGCCCAAGATGCTGTTGACTCCATACATACTCGATCGTCTCAATTCACCACAATCACTTGATCTCGTCATCATCTTTGGAACCTCTCCCCCACCAATCAACAGGATTAAGGGTCATCAAGGACAGAAATGAATACATCAATATCCACTGGCACGAGTAAGTCCACACTTGATAGATATAAAAGACATCAGTTTGATCATTTCTGGTACTGACCTTTCTCCCCTTCATCAAATTCTAGACTACCATTTTCTAGATTCTTTCTTGCCTTATTCAACCGCATCATCCACTTTGATCTTATTATCCAATTTGCTCTTATTCACCACCATCACTAATCAGTTATCTTATTGACCTACCTCCTTAATCAATTTTTAGATTCCGTCTTCTAGTTTTTCAATCACCAACCAGTTCAATCTTACTTATCGCCGTCCCATTTCATCTTGACTAGCGACATCAGTCCACAATCACATTTACCGGCATCATCACTGCTTCCTGTGAAATCATGTCGGACCGGCCAATCCGAACAAATTCTCGGATTAATCTGGCTCCTCCATCAACAGCCCCAACCCTTTCCCCTTCTGTTCGTTCTCTTCGTCCCAGGTCTCCTATCCAACCCTCGCCGGGATTTGTTTTTACCTCAGCAGACTCTCGGCGGTCGCTTCAGCTTGTCTCTCCGACACGATCACCAACTCCTGGTCCCTCCAACCCTCTCTTTGCTCATATTGATGGACTGTATCTTGCCACCGGTGAAGACGAGCAAGAAGCACTGCAAATTCCATCACCATTAACCAAAAAACGAGCTAATTGTCAGTCCGATCAAAAAGCTGGAAAGAAAAGAAAAAAGATGTCATCTGTAAGTGTTTTTGTCAACTATTTTGAGGTCGTTTCCTTTGGCTTATTGCAATTGCAATCTTTTTGTCTATTCATTCCTAGAAGACTACAGTGCCTGACTGTATCAATATCGATCAAGACTCTGACAACGAAATCATACCCAGAAGACCAGGAACCGGTATCAGGGCATCTCAACTGGCTTGAGTTAAGCAGCTTCTCAAGTACTTTCACCCTCCAATTTATCCAAATGGCCAGGCGAGTTTTTCACTTGTTTATCTTATTAAAATATAGTCAATACTAACCCTGATATTGATTTGTTTTCAGACCACTGGTGATCCACGACTGTACCGATGCCGGTGGTGCCGAGGCCGTTTCCTCAAAGGTTTGACAAGCTACTACAACTTGTACGGCCACCGAGATGGAAGCAAAGGGCGACCAGCTTGCCCAAGACGATCAGAAGCCCAGGCCGCAGGGATGGACCTGCCACCCTCCTGGGAGGAGCAGCAGCAAGCGTTGACGGCTCAATCTTCTGGAACTCTTGATTCCTTTGTTTCCCGAGATCGTTTTAGTGTTGATCTTCTCAACTTAGTGTGTGTCATCTGGGTGGTTTGTCAAGCTTTACCTTGGGCTCGTTTCCAAGATAACGCTTTACGAGCTGCTTTCCGCTTGTCAAATGTATCTGCAACCCTTCGATCAGCGGTCTGGGCAGCAAACACTGCCAAACGGCTCTTTGCTGGCATGAAATGTACAGTTTTAGACATGCTGAAGGTTCGTAATCTTGGTTCTAATGTCATTTTTTCATTTTTTCATCTTCAATTGTATATCAAGGTCTGATATACTCATATCTTTTCATATTCACTCAGAACAACTCTAGCAAGTTCTGCCTCATTCACGATGGTTGGACCACTCGTCGGAGCCGACATGCTTTCATCGGCATGAATGCTACATTCATCGATGATAAGTGGGAATTGCAGACAGTCCATCTTTCTCTCAAGCTGGTTGCATGGAACCATTCTGGTGTTCTACTTGCTCGACCGGTGGCCCAATTTCTCATTAAACATGGCTTACATGATAAGATGAGTTTATTTATTATTTTTTTTGCCTCCTTAATTTGGTGCTGATGTAAATCGATTATCTACATGGTAGCTCAGACCACCGACTCGGGGTCTAACAATCAAACCCTTGCTTATGAGTTGCAAAGGCTCTTCTTGCAAGCTTCTCCTAGTGTTGATTGGCCAGCGGGTCGCATGCAGATCCGCTGCTATTCCCACAAGTTAGTGTTGCTTGTGAAACATGGCCTCTCCTCGATTGGTCTTGATTTTGGACACACTAAACCCACCACCCAACCCCTTTTCAAAATTCCAACACCATCGATCACTTTGAATGACGGAACCGAGGATGTTGATGCCAAGATTGAGGACTCGGAATCTGAAGATTCAGATCAAGGTAGCGAATCAGGGATTCAGGAAGGTCATTCAGAAAGTGAATGCGAGGGTGATAGTATTGATTCTCACCCTGCAACTGTTCTACCTGGTTTGAGTAAACCCAGGGCAGATCTTGTGGTTCAAGCGGTCAAGAAGGTAAGCTTTCCTTCACTTTGATATCTTTTTTTATTCAAAAGCTGAACTATGCTTTGTTAGGTCGATCGAGTCAGCCGTTTGATTGCACGCAGGCCATCTCGACGTCTTGAGTTCCGTAATCGTGCTAAAGATCTGGGTTGGACTTTGAGGTGTCCAATCCTTGGTATGACTAGTAAGTGGAACGGACTTCACCAGAGTCGTTCGATTATGGTGGACGGTGCCGAGGTGAGTCTTTAGATATGATAAATTATGTCTCAATCTTTCTAACATCAAATTGCAGGTGATCAATCAGATGCTATCAAACGATCAAGAAGGCTATTTTGAAGAGATATCTATTTCGAAAAGTGAATGGCTATGTGTATCAGCGTTGAATGAGGTTATGGAAGTCAGTTTTTTTCTCTTCATCAATCTTGTCAGATCAGCTACAGATCATTGACTGACATATGATCGCTTGTGTAGATATTTGTTTCTGCTACCTCAAGAGTTGAGGGTAATCACCCTACTGCAGCAATCACTTTGCTTGACTATCATCGTGTCAGGTCTTCTCTCGAAAAGCTCAAATTGTATACTCCCTACGCCAGCCTCAAGAAAATGATGAACGTCATGCTTGCTCGTCTACAACTTTATGAAACCGAGGCTCTTGAATGCGAAGCCATTGTTATTGCTACTGTTCTCAATCCACGACTGCGATTGAAATTCTTTGAACTCCATCACCCATCACATGTGCATCATATTGAAAAGATCATGGAACGTCAACTCGATATTTATTCCAAAAAACAGACAGCCTTCAACCCGGTCATTCCCTCTTCCAATCATCAAGATCTCATAGTGACCGATGACGAGTACAACGTATTTGCCTCGACTTCTACTGGAGATCATTATGATACTAGTCAGGAGATGGAAGGGTATTTATCAGGAAAATTTCCGTTGAATGGTGGCTCTTTGCTTTCATGGTGGAAGGTAATTATCTTTAATCTTATTATGCATTTACCTACAATGATTCTAATATCTCTTATGTTTTAGGATCACGCTGGTGCCTTTCCCATCCTTTCTTTCATGGCTCGAGATTTCCTATGTTGCCCTGGGACAACATGCTCTGTTGAACGAATCTTCTCAGGAGCAGCGGATGTTTGTGGTTCTGATTGATCGGCCTTGTCTAGTAGAACTATTGAGCGTGCATCTTCAACACGAGAGTGGCTCAAGTCAGGCATCACGGTTCCTGGCGAGTTTGACGAGGCTCTTGCCTTAGTGAATAATATGGAGAAGCGTTGAAGCTTACTGACCATTTTTGCTTCACCTTCTCAACCCTCCTCTTTTTTCCTCTGCTTTCATTTTTTTTTACCGAATGTTTCCTTGAACACTTTTGCTTCACTTTCTCGACTCTCCCTAATACACCGTTCCTCTTGTTTCCTTTTCTTTCTTTTTTACCGATTGTTTCCTTGGCCAGTTTCATTTCAGCTTCTCGACTCTCCCTAATACATGGTTTCTCTTTTTTTCATCTTAATATTCATATAATCTCAATTTAATGGTTCTTTGTATATGGTTTCATCTATTTTACTACATGCCTTTTAATATTATTTGTTGTTCATATTAAAAAAGGGCCCGTGTGCAATATCGTAGCGTTAGTGAGTCAATATCGCAGCGACCTTCGTGTGCGATACGATAGTTTTAGTGCGTAAATATCGTTGTGATCTGTAGTGACCAATCCGCACCACTACAAAAACTTCGTAGTGGGTCTGTGCCGATAGTGATGCGTAGCGGGTATTCAGGATAGTGGTACATCACTCCACTATCAGGGACCCTTCATATTGCTGTGCGTAGCGCAGCGATTTCGACGTTGGCGTAGATACAGTAGGAAAGGTAGAAGAAGTTTGCACTTCAGTTGGAAACGTAGATAAGGTTGGAAACGTAGATAGAGTTTGAAACGTAGGTTGAGGTGCTCCCGTGGGTAACACACGAATGGGAGATAAGGGGGGCAGATACTCAGAAGGTTGATTTCGAGAAGGTGATTCTGGGGAAATATGCGGGGAATCTTGTGGAGGTGGGGATGGAGGTGATGGAGGGAGTTTTGATAAATCAGGAAAGATCGGTTTGATTTCTTGTTGAACTTGCTTCTTGTTGATGCGTGTCCGTCTTTTGCGTTTCGGAGGAGATCGCGGATTAGTGGCGTAGTTCTGTCTTCTCGTTTCCATGCATTTAAGAACGATTCGACAATTCGGCGAGCAAGCGTGAGCGCAGGCTCATAACCTGTTGTGAATAGACAAAGTACAAAAGTAAGCAAGAAGATTTAGATTCCACATATGATGATGTAATGTACCTATTGTGAATAGACAAAGTACAAAAGTAAGCAAGAAGATTTAGATTCCACATATGATGATGTGGAATCTCAAAATCAGAGTCAGGCTGGGTTTTGTTCACCAGAGCGTGAGACAGTCTGTGCCGCAGTCGTGCCATGTCACGTGACTACTACAACACTGTCCAATACCCTGTGACGCGGTAAAAACCCAAAAGTTGAGCTTGAACAATTCCGGTTTTGTTGGTAGGTTCAAGAAACAAAAACTTTTAAAAATTTTCCCAGAGACCATTCCACTCTCTTTCTGTTGGTACATATGTACATTCAAAAGAGTCTATTTTTGGTCTTTTTTATTGGCCAAAGCCAAAACCATACCTGTCACGTTGATAAGTCTGAATTCAAAAGAATCTTTTTTGGCTCCCAAAACCCCAAAAACTACCTTTTTTGACAGTACCTCAGCGTATTTTTTGACCACTGATCCATTCCAATTAGGATGGGTTCTTCAACCGGGGTTTTCCGGGGTCCTGGACTTATGACAACTAAACTTAACAAAGTCCCACACCTGCCTTGCAAGGGACTTATAAACTTGCACCAGGCCCCTAACTGCTCAGCCTGAGCCCCGTCCACCCCGCCACGGGGATTGGCTTGCCTGGACCCCGCCCCAATGGGAAAAAAGTATCCTTGATCCTGTTTGGAAGTCCCTGATTGGGATTCTTTTGCAAAAAACTGGCCGCCCAAACCCCAACTGGGTTCCCAGCCAGGTCCCTGACGCCTGGCCAAAAAGTGTCCCTCACCCATTAAGAATCAAACACAGTCCCAGTCTATTCATATACAAATCTGCTAAAAGGGACATGATGACTGTCTGATTTGGTTGAATTGTAGGTTTTGGGCATTTGGGGAAGGACCTGAGGTACCTTGAGGGTGTGGCTGAGACCATTAAGGTGAGTCCTACTGCCCACCCAGAAAGGGTTTCAATGTCAACAAGGTGGGTACACACCTATATTTTCCCCGCCGTGGACCCATTGGGAAACAGGTTATTTCAACTTGCCAGCCCAACTCCCAACTTGTGGTGATACCTGACCATTAGGGGTTCCAAAACCTTTGCCTGAACCCCTTACCAATTGGGACCAGCATTGGGGCTCGGGCTGACTGGAGAGCCTCATTATTGTTGTAGAGGTATGGGGTTAAATGACTGCACCACAGCCAGTCACACCGGTGGCCAGTCATGTGATAGTTGTACAGCTTGTTGTAGGTATGTTCTCTCCTTGTTGGAAGAAGCTTCCACATCATAATCTGTTGTGGAAGCCAACACTTTGGTGTAAGAAATGACTTGTCGCTGTCCTATTTGCTATAGATATACCCTGCTGACAGAAACCCCGGGATTTTGCTATCCTACTTACACAATTTTCACCGGTTTTCAAAAAAAAAAATTGGATTCACCTGTGGACAAAGGACATTTTTTTTGGAAAAAAATCCCAAAACTTGTTCCATTAGAACTTAGGTGGGCTCACTCGCCTTTAATTCCATTGAGTTCCAAACGCAAATATGTAAAAGTTCAACTTTCAAATTCTCATACTTTCAAATGTATGGATAGTAATTTGTAGGTTGATAAAGATAAATTGAAGGAGGTAAGATAGGTGATGTAGAGAAATTTTCTACATGAAAATGAAGTGGGTTATAATTTATGCTGATTGGTTTTCAAAATGTAAAGAAGTTTGTGATTTTGATGTTCTGTGTGCATATTATCCTGGAAGACATCATGTAGTTTATTGATTGATCAAAATAGAGAGACTTCATTTGAGGTCCTCTCCTTGTGTTGGCTTTTGGATAGGTAAAAACCAATCTTGATACTTTCTTTGGAAATAATTAATGAATTTCTTTTTATGACTTGCCATTCCAGTTTTTTCTATTGAGTTTGAATTCTGCATAAAAGCAAAGCTGATTGCTGAAGTAATCTCAACCAGCAGACAATTGAAATGTTTGAACTGTGGCAGCAGAGATGTAAGAGAGCTAATGAAAAATTAGTTGATTTTCATGCAAGGTGTTAGCAGTGCTTTTTTATTTCTTTTCAAAGATTAACTTATGTTCTTCTTTCTACAATTGGGTCCTTAGTGACTTGGGACTGACCTTACCACCCCTTTTCCTTTGGAACCAGTCTTGTATACTGGCTTACCATTGATGTGAAATAAATAAGGTCTCTTATGTACAGGACCATGGACTAACAAACACACATGTAAATAGATGTGATAAATATGTAAACATATGTAACTTGTGTAAGAAAATGATAATTACACCTCATGGCTCAGTATAAGGAGTCACTTAAGCAATAAGACTTAACTATAACTCAAAGAGTGAAGTTAAAACTTGACCCAAAGGAAAGCAAACCTAAATGCCAACCACAAGTTTACATGTAGGTCTTGGAATGTATAAACCTATTCTCTCTCCACTTTGAAAGAGGGACCAACTTTACATCATTGTACAAGTGAGGCCGGGAAAGATACAACACCAGTTTACTCTGCCGGCCCCAACTGGTGTACTGGGAGGAGTAAACTGGTGGATGTTGTATCTTTTCCGGCCCCACTTGTACAACTCATCATCACAACTCACATGATTCTTCATCAAGAATATCGAGTAACAGGATATTGTTGTTTCCTTGATTTTTGTATTTCTACTTCATCCTGGTCATTTTAAAAACCTCAAGTGATGGCCTGAACTTGTGGGATTGATAGCTAACAAATTAAGGTTGAAATTTGCAAAGGGTTCCTTGTTAAAGGGTCTACAGTACCCCACAGGACCTCTGAATCATCATAGTCTAAAGTACTGAAGGCTTTTGAAGTTGTTAAGATCAACTAAAGCTCAGAGTAAGATCCTTAAAGGGATTACTCAGTCATTGCATTAGTAACAAATCCTCTTTTGAGAGGTCAAGTAGCTGTGTTCTTCACTTATGTGTACCAAGTGACAAATTTATCCTTGTCTGCACTTCATTTTTTCAGGGAAGAGTCATCCCAATAGTTGTGGGACCTCACACTTGGGTTCTAAAGCTCCCTGTGCTGTGTTTTCACAGTTTCTCTAGTGTGATTTGCAGTGAAGGTTTATCTGGACCTTACAGTTTTTGCACTTAGTCATGTTTGCACAAAGACACAGGCTATCTGCTGGTCCACATCTGGAAGTCACAATGTGTCTGGTTGTGGCACAAACATGATTGAGTTTTTGTGCTCTGGGGATCAAGAATCATTCATACCCAGTCAGAATCTGCATTGCATATACATACCTCAGTAAATACATGCACCACATAAGTGAAAGTGTATGTAGATGATAGCAAAAATCAAGATCTTTTTTCTGTGACATGGGTCAATTTGTGTTCCTCCCAGGAGATTGACAAAACTTGGGAGCAGGCCCAGTATTTGGATGCTGTTTACTGCCAGATGTTTAATTATACTACACAAAGTTGTCCTGGAACTTTTCCACAAAGGTTCCAGAACACATTTTCCACAAAGCCAGAAAGGCAGAATACGTTCTGGCTTCCTGGACTTTGATCAAATTCCCACCCTCCCAAATCTAACTCACACATTCATCATCACAAAACGACCAACAAGATTCCCTGTTCAAGTACTCCATCAACGCCCCCGCACAAAATACCACCGCCAATCTTCACCCCTCTTACTTTCCAACTCTTGATCCTAGAGGCTGTCAGTTACAATATCCACTATTGATATCGTTCAAGTTTCAATCTTTTGGTCAGAAATCAACTCAGGCAGATATCGATCTCGTTCAAGATCCAACAGTCTATTTTAACCTTTTTTTGTATCATCAAATAAAGCTTCGTCTCATTATGTTGTACTCGATTTGATTCTAATCGATTCTTCCAATTGATTAGTAAGACTTACTTTTAAGTCCTGACCAAACAGTAATGAGATCAAGTTTATTGAAAACCAATAGTAATTGGGTTCTAATCGATTCTCCCGATCGATTAGAATCAAATCATCATATTCCAATCAATTCTCCTGATCAATCAGAATCAAATTATCATCACTTCTAAGATTCTCACAAGATAGATCAAATATCCTAAGATAACTTATAAGTGAGAGTGATAATGTGATCATATACTCGATTTGAAAAAAGCTACCCTCATAAATTGAACATAGCAACCTTGGATCAGATTGGTGAGTTGATGTATTCCAAAATGTAAAGAGTGATGATCTAAACACATATCGGTCAACAAGGAACGTAGATTATTGAAGAGAAAGGAATGATATCAAAACACCCCTTATGGTAGCTACTTGAATATGTGATGCTTGTTTCATTTCATCAATTGACAGATGTATGTAGTGTTTGGTTTGTGGTGTCCTTTTTGAGCGATAGTGTGGTGTATGACAACGGAGGTGCAAGATGGATGTGAGTTGAAGAGATCGAGTGGTGATCGAGGGGGGAGATGCAGAGGCCTCGAGGGTTGTGCACAGAGTCTTTTGGACCCTAGGGGCAAAGGGCATTCAAAATGGGTTTTTTTCCACAAGTCCACGAAGCCAGAACACAGCCAAAATTTTCTTTTCTGGCTTCGTGGAAAAGTGTTCTGGAACCTTCGTGGAAAAGTTCCAGAACCACTTTGTGTAGGACAAATTACACATCTATCTGGCATGTATGCCAAAAGTCTTCCAATCAAGTTTTGTAGTTGTGCAGGATAGAATGTATGTTGATTGGATTCTGATTGATTTCTCAAATTATAATGACATCTGAAACCCCATGTGAAGTTACAGTCCTTGATGTTTAAAGAGCTGCAACATGCTACATACCTGAATGTGAGGATATCTGACATTTCAAGTGTACAAGATTTGGTGAATGACTGATGTGAAGCTTGAAAAACCACCACTAAATAAACCATTGATCAAATCTCCTCCCTTGAACCTCTATGTGTCTTTCTGCCCTCAAAATCAACATTTTTAGGCCCTGAGTAATTACATGGACCCAGTTGTATATTGGGGGACAAAAACACAGATTCTCAAACAATCAGTCTTCATATCTGTCAAAGGTTTCCAGATGGATACTTCAAAAAGCTTGATGATTCTTGCTGCTTTCTTGATATTTACTGAGCTTCTATGGAACCACACCCTTTCATTACAGATTCACTCTGTAGAGAAAGAAAAAAATACACCTGCAAAAGGTGAGTAATTAATTTGCCAATATCATGACATCCAAAGTTTTGATAAATTTGCATTTGGTGGAGGTTTAATGTAGCATTGATTGACACAAATGAAAAATCCAAAGACATATCTGATATTCATGATTCCCAGAGAATTTCAAGGAAAAGGCCTAGAGAAGACTCACAAGAAATTGGCTTACAAACCCACCATCCAAACACTAAACAAAAAGGCTTGATGTGTTTGAAAGGCAAGTCAATATCAAATCATTCTGTTTCCAGAATAAACCATCTCATTTTTTTCACAAACCCATATTCAGAAGAGCATATTGATAATGTGGAACAAGAGGAAACAAAGGATGAAAAATGGACTCAATCTCTCATACAGAACTTCCACAGTTGTACCTCACCAATCAAAAAAGCTCACCATTTGATTTCTTTGCAAGAAGCATCAAAGTATATGCCAACTTCCATAATCCAAGTGACATGGTATGGTTTATTGACCGACACAACATCATTGATTAAGGAATTTGACATAGGGGATGTCTGTTGCTTATATGATAAGTTGGAATCACTGACCTTGAGCTACAAACTTGAAATGAAGAAAAGGATTGTCTCTGGGGGGCAATATGAGTAAGCCATCTTCCTTGAAAGATACACATGATAGAGATGAGAGGGTTTCAGCTTGTTGATTAGTTATACGTGAATTCCAGACCTGGCAACAAGTTCAAAAGCATTTTCACCATGGATGGACAAAGGAACCTTGGCACTTTTGGCATCAGACTAGAGACAAATTGGTCTGTATTCCAAGAAAATCAGTTGTTTGAATTCTGGGCCCACTGTGGGTCATTTTGATCTCTTGATTTGTTATTTATGATATAAAACTAATAATAAGATGTGTGATGACTGTAGACTTAGATATCTACCTTCAAGTTTCAGGTACTATGAAGGCTCTTCTGGAAACACAAGTTATCATGACCAATTTGATAAAGACAGAAGAAAAAGTGTCAAATCTATTGGATAAAGTGGAAGAATTGTTTCCAATATTTCCAGATTGGTCCAATGTTTCAATACAAGAACACAGAGAAAGTCTTGTGAATTATATCAGATCTTTGGATGAAAAGTACACCTCAAATTCACATTCATGAGGTCATCTCTAGTCTATAGACCTTGACTTTTCCTGATTCCCTTTCAGAGAGGTCTCCTACCTATGTTCATTACAAAATAATCTGCATCATGGCTTCAAACTATTTGGTAGATGGGATGCAAAAGAGCAAAAGAAGCTTTTTGAGTTCTGGGCAACTTGTAAGTGTTGCCTTATAGCTTTGCAAGAACCACACTAATTGAGACTTTATCCATGGTTTAACATCATAGACACATCATTATATCTCAAATTATATAGTGCACATTGTTACAGGTCTTGGCTTTTTACCATGGAGGGTTTGATAGTGGCTGGTGCAGAACATTTGGAAGTTGTCCTCAAGGATTTTGAAAAAGAGCTCAACATACCCAGAATACCAGACCAGATGATGATCCAATTCCTCACTTTTTTCATCAAAAATACACAAGATGAAAGCCTTACCAAGACCCCTCAGTTGGTTCTAGACAAAGCAAGAAAGAAATATGTTGGTTCTAGAAGGAAGAGCAGAAGTATGACCCCTGAGTACATATGCATGTACCCAAAGACTGACTTGTAACATATAACCAACCCTTAAGAAACCTAATTACATGTAAATAAAGCTTAAATAATAGGTCAAACAATTAGTAAGACATCTTCACACTGTGTAGATCATGTGTTTCTCCCCACTGAAAAACAATTGAATCTAGTATCTGAAACAACATGCTTGATATTGGTCCAAAAAATCTGAAAAAAACAGGTAATTCAAATTTGGATATGTTCTTCCTGTTGGTAGAATTTGGCCAATTTAAAAAAATCTCAGCATTCAGTTTGGTGATGTTGAAGGTTTTCCTGAAATAACACAGAAAAAAACACAACTGGTCCACTAAATTTTGCCTTCAAAAGTGACAAGAAAAATCTGAAAAAATAGTGGCGAGTGAAGGACAATGTCCCCTTTGTTGAACATTTTTTTCGGGATTTTTCTGCCTCAGCATGTAAGTAATCACATGGGTTTTGTGAAAACTACATATAAGCTACTGACATATGTACAAGGCTCCAAAACCGCCCAAAAAACATTGTGCAACACAACAAAGGATGCATCATTATATGTACACGGTTTGGAGACAATCTGTGTACTTTTGATGCATTTGTGACCCAAGATGCATTTGCAATTTAATTGGCAGACATTTTATGTTATAACTTGCATTGTTTCAAGACAAAGGCACCAAAAAATCCAAAACAATCCAGAGAGATCACAAAGGGCATCTCTGATCTCTCCTGATTTTTTTTAGATTTTTTGAACTTCTTCAAGATTGAAAATTTCAGGGAAAACATCATAAATTGCTTGTTGAGATGATGCTGAGTATAATGCTTCAAGGAATCCCGAAATCACATTCTGGGACAAAGAGCATTGTATTTCCCCCCAGATCTTCTTTCAAGCATTTTGGGGCAAAATTGAGCTCTCAATTCCAAGTTCAATTTTTTGTCAATCATTTTCTCATAAATGCAATAATTTTTCACCAGGGAGAAAGACCTTATCTATGCAGTTTCAAACACTCATTACATATACATGTGCACTCAAAACCACATGTAGTATGTAAGAAAATACCAATTTCACCTCATAACTCAGTGTCAAGAGTTAAAATGCTTATACTTAGGGCTATGACCCGGCCCTCACACAACGTGGCCGGCCCCAGGGCACCTCCCGGCCCTGGGAAGGCCCAGCTGCATCTTCAAGCAGACCAGGGCCTGTTGTGGCCCTGTATTGAAGGGATAGGACCAAACACGTCAGGGCCGGAGCCCTGAGGGCCCGGGCCCGTGGCGGGGCTCCTGGCACTCTTTAGGCCAAGCTTAGCTGACCCAGGGTGTGTACCGCTTGCCTCCAAGAAATTGTTGGGCAGGCTTGGGCGGCCAGGGCCGGGTCATAGCCCTACTTATACTACACAATATACTTAACACATATATGTAAATAAGTAAAAGTCATAATAACAATAATAACAATTGATACTAAAGCCCTGAGCCATTGTACTGATATGATCAAATATCACTACAGTTAGGTTTAGAGAGAAACATTTTATTACACATATCTTTTAAAGAACCCTTTAAAGTTCTACTGAAGTACATAATCAAAAGTCTTATATTTATAAGACTAGTGATTCACTTCAGATCTTTAAAGCAGATTCCTGCCTAAAAGATAAATTAATTCATCTTCATCCCTTAGATCCTCCACTTTCCCCAAGTAGAACTGTTCCAAGTTAGTGACCTTCCAAATAAATTCAGGTTGTTTACCTTTTGAAGTGATTTAATTGTACATGATCTTATAGCTCCACTATCTTCCTCAAGCCCTTGTAAGCTTTGAAGTGGTGATTCTAAACTAGTGGGAATAGTTATAGAATCAAGCCCCAGAATTGCATAGGATACCTCCTGAAATTGAGTGTAAAGTATCTGGAGGAGCCTTTGAGTAATCAAATTGTAAAGCTTTGCAGGCTCTGGGAGTGTACTTCAAACCAGTGCTCAGAGTAAGGTCCTTTGAAGGATTACTCAGCCACCCCACTGGCATCAAATCCTCTTATTAGAGGTCACCTAACTGTAGTCTTCACTTGGGTGTACCCAGTGAAGACTCCCTTTCTTACTACTTTCCACCTTTTTTAGTGAAGAGCCAGCCCAACAGTAACTGACTCCTCACAATAATAATTATAAACTATGATACAAACCTCCTTTCAAGGAGTCAACTAACTGAAGAGTTTCTGGCTTTTTTGAAACAGACTGTTAGCTTCTTTCTTCCTTTCTTTTTATTCTTATTGCATTTACAAATATACCTTTGAAATACATCTTCAATAATAATGAAAAACACTACACCTACCATCACAGCCAACAAAGATGCCTTGGATTGGAAAATCCAAGGTATCCTTTGATGGCAATAGCCTTGGATGTGATTTACAAGTAAAATTTTCAAGGCAATCTTTGAGGGCAAAGAAGACCTTGGATTGATTCCTCAGACATACAGTACAAGGGGATGTATACCCAAGGATACCTTGGATGTTACAATCCAAGGTATCTTTGCTGGCAGTGCATTAGTGAGCCTAGAGAACCCTCAAAGAGTACCCTATACCCTTGCAACACACCCCAAAGGTTCAGTAGAATGTTTTGGGATGGATATCAATCTCAATCAGTGATATCATATGGTAAGTTCCAACCTTGATATTGGTCATATTGATGGTTAATTCCATGACACATAGCAAAAGAGGTCCATTTGGTTTCTTCAGGCTGTTTACTTAGGTTATGTTGACACAAAAGATTCAGCATGGAAACATCTCCCTATTCTTGAACAAAGGGGTATCAGAAGGGCTTTGAATTTATGATGTTGGTTGTGGACCATATCTGTACATCCCTTGACCACCAAGCCACTTCCAATCAAAACCACCCACAAGAAATTCAACCAACCATGCATCTGAAATCATTATCCAGATCACTTATATTGGGAAGTGTTCTGTAAGTAAATTGAATAGCTGCCTTCACTCTGGGATCTATTTTCCCCATTTCTTTTGACTAATATTCCAGAATTGTGCTCCAAGTAGAGAATGTTTTTGTTGCAGTGACCAGAATTTTTCAAACCTAATTTGACTTTGCAACAAGTTTCAGAAATTCAATCTTGTTGCAATTCATGGTGCTATCTAGTACTACTACTCAAAGTACATTCAAATCCCTTCATAATTGGTCAGGAACCCCAACATACTACTTGATCCTGACAGTATTATAGATCTCAAGATCTTCATACAGGATACAAGCAAGTATAAAGTTTCATTTCCTGAGCTTCTGTGTGAGTTTCTTCTCTTGAAACTTTCCTTTCTACAACCCAAATAGTTATTTCTACTCAGCTCCACTCTGAAGAGTGTCAGATAAATCAAATATTTCAAACAATCAGTCTTTTTGACTTACAAATTTTCCCAAATGAATCTTATAAAGATCTTGATGATTATCATTTCATTTTTGATGTTAATTTTCCTTCCTTGGAACCCATCCCATTGCATTAGAATCAAATCTATTGAAAAAGACAAAGGTTCACTTGACAAAGGTATTTCATTCTTTTCTGATTGTCATGAGAACCTGCATTTGGATTCATAATTTTTTTGGTTATCTTACTATTTAATGTTTTTGTAACAGTTAGTCATAAAACCATCAATGTCCAAAACTTCTCTGAAAATAAGAACTTGGGTGAAACCTCAAGAAAAAGGCTTATAGAAGACACTGAAAACCATTACTCAAAAACATACAACCCAATAAAAAAGCAAAGAAGCTTTGTACCTGATCAGGATGGTAAGTTGATATTACACCATAAATCTTGAAAAGAAATTTCCTAATTTCTCTTACAAAATCAGATAATTCCAAAAACATTAATCAGATTAAACAAACTAAATCAAATCAAATAGGAGAGGAAGAAATGCAAATTAAAGATCTTATAAAAGGATTTCAAAGTTGTACCACACCTTTCCAAAAAATCCAACATTGGATGTCTATAAGAGAAGCATCAAATTCAATGCCCACTTCAGTACTACAAGTGACATGTTCTGGATTATTAAATTACAAAAGATCATTGATTCTTGATTTTGTAATAGGAGAGATTGATGATTTATGTGAAGAGTTAGAGTTACTTACAATGAGCTACAGATATGCAATGAAGGATAGGATCCACTCTGGAATTCAATATGAGTAAGCTGTTTATTTTAGTCAAATTATGAAGATGGGAAGGTCTCCATTATGTTAACTGATTTGTTGTGAGAATTTCAGAAGTGTAAAAAAGTATAAAAATATTTTCAACAAGGAGGAACAAAAGAAACTTGGTAAATTTGGGATTATACTGGAGAAGAATTGGTCTAAATTTGAAGAAAATCAGCTCTTTCAATTCTGGGCTCACTGTTAGTGTATTTTGTTTGAGCTTACAAGTTAATTGAGGCTTTAAGAAATACTGAGATGTTGGTGAATCTTTAGACATGGATATTCATTTTGAAGTTTCAGGTCCAATCAAAGCCTTTTTAGAAACACAAGTAATCATGACAAATCTGATAAAGACATCAGTCAAAGTCTCAAAGGTATTACAGACAGTAGATGAAGTGTTTCCAATCTTCCTGGATTGGTGTAATGTGTCTATACTGACTCACAGAGAAAGTCTTGTGAATGATATCAAACTTATGAACGGAAGGTAAGCTTAGACATCAGATTTGTTGAAGTTAGATAAGAGCCTATACAAATTGACTTTGTTGAATTATATTCCAGTGAGTTCTCCAATCTATTTTCCTTACAAAGTAGCCTATATTGTGGCTTCCAAATATATGGCAGATGGAATTTGGAAGAGAAAAAGAAAATCTTTGAATTCTGGCTAAGTTGTAAGTGAACCTTTTTAAACTGATCAAAAGAAACCTACTTATTTCAATTTGTTTTATCTTCTTTATGGCTCAAACTACAAGACACAACACTTTATCTACAATTATATAATTCAAGGCAGTCCAGAACTTGGTTCTGTAATATGGAGAATTTGATAGTAAGAGATTTAGATAATTTGAAATTGGTCCTTGATGATTTTGAAAAAGAAAAAGAAATATCAAAAAAGATGATGAACAAATTACTTAAACTCTTTCAAGAGAAAAAAAGACAATTGATTTGAAGGTGTTTATTCAAACCTTCCTTCTTTGAATTCCAAATAATCGATAACCAAGAAGAAGAAGAAATTCATCATGTTTTTTATTCTTGAATTGAATTCAACACCTTGAACAAAACTTAGTTGTATGTTTCTAAATGGACATTGATCTCAACTTGTGATTATGTTATATAATATTTACCCTTCAATATACTCAAGGTCAGTACATGTGTTTGCTGTCTGTATGTATGTATAGGTAATTGTCAATAAAAAAGACAGCAGGAAAAGATCCATGCATGTAATTCTGATGAAGTCCACATCATCATTTTGACTACATAGTTGAAGATGTATTCATACATTGTGAAACACAGTTAGTATCTATCAGAGTCAAGTTAATACAATCTTTTGGGATCTGGAATGAGTAAATCTCTAGTACTGGTTGTACAAGTTTACTAATAAGTTTATCAAAATCAAAATCCCTGGTTTGAAATTCACAAGCATGATTTCCCTTGAACTGTGATCCTTCAAGAACATCACTCAACTTGATGAACCAGGACACTGGCAGCAGCTAGCCCTCTGGGAAATCACATATGAAATTAGAATGAATTGAGGCCAAGATTTGCTTAAAAGTACTTGAACAGATGTAACAAGAATAAAATCCAAAGTTTGGCTAAAGAATACAAGCCAGGATATTTGTGAGAAAAAAACAAAAGGTTCTGATCAGAATTTAAAAAGATTGAACATACATATGAAATATGGTCCTGGATGAGCAATAGTGGGGAATTATATCTTGGAAAAACAAATCCATGTCCTTCCCCAGAAAAACTTTCTCTAGATCCGCTTCTACATGTCATCAAACCACAGACTACTTAAATCAATAGCCCCTCTCAAACCTGACCTGGATTCAAGAAGATCCAGGTGACCCAGTTCCTATTTGGCAGTAACTTTGTGTATCAAGTTGACATTTGTTGACAGCTCCCAGCCAAAACGTCAACTGGGTCAACTGGGTTTTCTGAGACCATCAGGTTTGAGAGGGGCTAATACCTTCAAACCCCCAACCCAAGTTTTCTTTTGCCATATGTAATTGACCAGCAATGTTATGTGCACCAAGCTTACCAAAAGATCTAATTTTGTTTTTCTTTCTCAAGTGTCTTGAGAATTGAAGCAAGAAGCTTTTCGAAAACACATATATCTCAAGAATAAAATCCACTTGAATCTCTGCACTGCAAACATCATATATTTTTACCAAGTGGGAATAGGAAAATGATTAAGATTATAGTTTGGAACAAAAAGATCTATCATTACACACCTAAGCCAGATACAGTGAACTCTCCATAAAGGCATACTTTTTATGGGTATAATCCCTCTAAATGCATAGGTTTTTACAGGTTTTTTTCCCGCCAAAATGGGATTTGCCAGCCAAAACAAGATTTGTAAAGGCATATTCCTCTGAATACATAAGAAAACTGCCTGCCAAACTGTATGCCATTAGAGAGAGTTGACTGTAAGTTCAACACTCACACTCCATATGTGCAATAGGCTGAGGAGATAGATGGCTATCATGTACAAGTGCATCCGGAAAATATACAACACATTGACTATGCCGGGCCCAATATAATGTATCATATCTTTTCCAAAAGCACTTGTACATAGAGGTCTGCTCAGTTGTCTGCTCATCTAAAGTAAATCAAATGTGATCCATCATGTAACTTTTTTTTCACTTTGACAAAATTGTCCAAAAATTGATGACATATCCCTCCAATATAGCTACTCTCTTAACACCATTTGTCAGTAACAGAAAGGGTGTTACATGGAGTTTAGTTGATGAAATTCCACCCAAACTTTGAGTCAGTGTATGTAATCAATTTCGGTTATACTTTTGTCCAGCCAAAAGAAGCTACAGCATGTATCACAGGTGATTTACCCAATTAAATGAGCAGATAAGTGAGCAGATCTGTATGTACACAATAGACACACATGCACTCAGCCTGCTGCACATATGTAGCCTGAGTTTTATACGGCTCAGGTGTGCAGTGATAGATCCTTTAATTACAAACTACATACACTATTGATCATTAGATATCTGTTGAGAATAAAAACCTGGTTTTGTGAGTTGTAGGGTTTTTTTCTAGGAATCAAGACTACAGACTTTGGAGTTTTACATATTGGGGTTCCATCAGGGCTAGCTGTGGTTAAATGTGTTTACAAAATAATAATTGAATGTGTAGGCTTAGCACAATGTAAGGTCATAAACAGTTACCATTCTGGGGACATCCAATCATCAACACCAACATAACTCTTGAACCAATCAAGTATCAAAAACTAAACCACTTTTAAGATTCATAAAGTGGTTTTACTTGCCTTGATACTTCCAAAGCACCATAAAAATCAGTCATGCACTAATTACCCTACAAGCAACAACCAAAAAAAACTCATGAAATGTATGATAGAGTGTAAGACTGTCTATTTACCATTATGAGACCATTCACTCATTAACATGAGCACTGACAGCCCTATTATCTCTATATAAATCAAATCAATTTGTTGCTTACTGTTTTTTGTTTGCAAAGAGAAATATGAAATTAAACCATCCAAAACAAGAAAATCATAAAAGAATGTAAATTTGAAAAAAGAGAACCCAAAATGAACATTGAAACAAAACAAGATGATACCATGTACTTATATACAACAAAAAAAGACAGAAAACAGAATTATAAAATCAAGAATAGGTAGAAGATTGAGAACAAAAAATAACAAAAGATTGACTTACAGAATTGCATTTATCTAAAGTAATAGAAAAAATATAAGAAAAGTAAAAATAAAAAGTAAAATGGTTTATAATATATTGTTAAGTAAAGAATTTTTTTTCAACTAGATTTGCGGGTTTTGCTAAGAAGATTTTTTTAGTATGTTTTGTTCTAAAAATTTTAAAAAAGAAAAAAAAAACGAGATGAGAGGAAACAAAAAAGGATAAGTTTATAGGACATGAAGAAATGAAATGAAGTTTGATTTGTTAACCAAAATTAAAAAAAAGGAAGGACGAGTAAGATATATTTCTATCATGATGCTAATTGAAAGGAATGACAGTCAAAATGAATGAAGAAAGCAAAATGAACCAAACGAAAAGAGACTAGAAACGAAACCGACAAAGTTCTAGAAGATGAACAGAAAAGCAAAGAATCTGTTATCATAATCCAAAAAAAACCAAACTGATTTAAAAAAAAGAAAAGCTTACCAGCAATGATAATAGATTCCTATACCTGTCAAACGAATTAAATGAGGTGCAGACCAACCGATTAAATTATTGGGTAAAGTTAAATCAGAAGGAAAGAGAAAGTTAATAAAGAAACCTAAATTGGATCTGTCAATAAACGAAGATCCCAAGATCTAAAGCAAAAAAAACAAGGTCAGCAGAAATCCATCAGTTTGAAGTTGAATGAGTTCAGTAATTAGGGTTAAGACTTACAAGTGAAGAAAACACTGAAGAAAACACTCCAGCAAGGATTCCAGAACCGAAAAGGAACACTCTAGAAGGATGATTCCAAGACGAATTCAATGACACCGGATTGAACATCCAAGATTTAAGTAAAGAGATTGAATTAAAAAGAATTGAATGGTTTTGGTTTAGGTTTAAAGAATGATGATTTAAGATTGTAGGTTTTCGGGATTGGTTTGTAAGATTTGATGATTTTACAACTGATGATTTTCCTAAAGCTTTTCGATTTCTTGAAACTTTTCTTCCTACATCTAAACTAGCTCTCCAAACCACTTGCATGGAATCTTCAAAATCTTCTTCTTCTTCTTCTTGATGATGATGAGTAAGTTGATCATGATGATCTGAATCTGAACTTAACCAATCCCAATGATCATCATCTGGATTTTCGAAAGAAGGATTCAGCTTTGAACTGATAGCTGATAACTCATTTAATCTATCTTGTTTCTTTTTAAGTTTGAATTCTTTTAAAATCTCTTCTTGATGTCTTTGTAATTGACGTTTTTCTAAATTTGAGATTTGTCGTTTTAATGCTGAATTTACTGATGAATTAGTTTTGTTAGATTGATTAAAAGATGATAAAAGTAATGGTCTAGGTTGATAACCTGATTTAGGTTGAGTTGAATTGATTGAAGTGTTTAGAGTAGATGGAAATGAATTGGATGAAATATCATCGATTGATGAACCATTTTCAGTAAAAGTACTTAATCTGTTTAAGTTATGATTAGAATAAAATGAATCTTTAGAAGTTGATTTGTCGTCTGTTGATGAGATTGGGATTGATGATTGATGATTGAAAGATTTAGTTTTACGTAAGGGTGATGATGATGATGATGATGAATGGATTAAACCATTTTGCCATTTTGAGATTAAAACTTTACGATCTTGTTCTTTTTTGATTTCTCTGATTGAATTAGGACTTGGATTGGAATTCGATCGATGATGTTGATTGTTCTTTGATGGTGATGGTGATGGTGATGGTAAGAGATGAGTCATGTTATGGATTGTAGACTGTTGACGGTTTTCAAGTTTTGAGAGAAAGAGATAGTCAAGTTAAGAATGATGAGTTTATAGAAATAGTAGATCGATCAACTATGAATTGCTAGTAGAATTTAATCTTCACTTCTTTCCTCAAACTCATCCTCATCCTCATCCTCATCATTCATTCACATATTTAATTCTAATTTGAAAACTTGTCTTTAAAAGAGTACAATCCAATCCAATCCAATCCAATCAAAGCTTGAAACAAATCTCAACTTGAATTAAACTTTTCAAACTAATCCATCACTGCATTCCATCATCAAACATTCACTCAGATCAAGTTTTCTTTGACTTTGACTTGGATTCCATCTACGCATTCGAATCCTTTACAACTAAACTGATCCTCACACTTGAATCAGATCACTTTCAACACCCACCAAGTGGATCGTTCTGAATATCTCATCTGGATTAGCCGGGAATTAGCCCAGCGATAGGATCTGCAAAGAGAATTTAGCCGTATTGGATGAACAAGCGTGAGCACAAAGGTACCCGAACAACGGATGATCCGTGCCCTCACCATTTCACTGCGTGCTGTAAGCTTAGCCCGAGATCCGCCGAGGCGCGCAGCTCGGTTCGGAGTCTGTGGCGTCTTACCGACGGAAGTGGGTGCGGGTACTGGTAACTGGAGGCTTTATGAGGGCTTTTGTAACGTCAAAAAGGTTCATTTGTGAAATAAAGAGGACTGACCGCAAGGGTGAAGATGCGTCCTCCAATGATGTTCCAACTCCTTAAATTGTCTTTCCCATGTACATATACACAAGTCAATTCACAGCCTTATTTCTTATGTTGTGAAACTCTAAGCACTGACTCGGAATTGCGTCCTTGAGCAAGAAAACCTACTTTGAGGGGATTTTGATCTTGAGAAATATCAAAACTGTTCTTAACCCAACTAATTGAATAATTCTAGAATTCTCTCAAAGCTTTTCATACTCACATACCCTTACATACCCTGTCCATAAACATCTTCTTGTTCACTTGGAATTAACATCAAAGCACTTATCCAAAGGATATATGTATAGGTCATATTGGCCTCTACAAATCATGATTTGCTTGTGTTTACGCTTCATCGGTGATCAGGTGAAGGTGTTTGGACTTGTGAGGGCTCCGACATGACATGATTCTTTGAGGAAATTCTTCTTTGGCACAGAACATACAATCTCGGCGTGCCTCCGCATTGAGATATTCTGGTTTGAAATGGTTTTGTATAAATAGATCCTTACAAACCTCACAGGATATGTAACAACGTCATAATTTGTCATTGACAATCCAAGTATGTAAATTCATTTTATCAGCTCAGAAAATCAGGTCCAAATTCCCCGCCAGATTGTTCAAGTTTTGTGATGATATTTATATGTGAGCCTCCACACAGCCTGAGCCTTGAGCAATGTGGCGGATACCTTCAAGAATCGAAAGTTTCGAAAATCTTACTTACACATGCTCAGAGTTACTTAGCACCTCTCAGGTTCTGACTCAAGCACAGCCAGGATTCAAATTGCAATACATAGTTTTGCATACATCCACACCATTTTCCTTTAACATCGCCAATATGATTGACACATTTTAAATGTGACTACATACTACATAGCGTAGTGGAGATCTTGACAGCTTGAGCATGGTGTTCTCCCGCCCTAACAAGTACATAGCTCACACCATGACCGAACTTTCAAGTTTCAAGATGCGACAACTGAAGAGCAAAACAACTGCTAGAACAAAGCTGTCTCAGAGCATCTCCAACGGCACCTTGTAAACGTAACGATACGTAAGCTGTATGTTACGTTTACAGGGTCAGGTCAAAAAACGACCATCCAACGGTGGCCAGCTTTCTCACATCTGGCCATGTGTGTGAATTTTGTTTTGAGGAATACCGGGTATCACATGTCAGCACCTTCATATATGAAGGGCTCTCGCAAAAGATGCAGGAAGCAGTATTGGCGACGTTTAGGACATAATCATACCACATGCGTCCAAAGATAGATATGATAATCGAAAGAAATTACATATCAAGTATATAGTCAATGAGATATCAGTCAACTTTTAAAAGGAATATTGTGCGCTTTTGGCGTTTTTGGCAGGAGCACGACCTTGGAAGTCCCTGCATCATGTGCGCGGTGGAGGGAAACCATTTTAAAGAAAAAATACAGCTTACTGTATGTTTTCAGACGAGCCTGTACGCCTTTTGGCGATTCAGGACCGTTGGAGATGCTCTCAAAGTGAGAAATTAGAATGCTTGCTTGTTGTGTTGAGTTATCTCACAAGCACATTCGGTCCAAACATTGTTTGTGGCAGGCTTCGAGAATCGAAAGACCTTCTCAAGCCTTTCTCAGCCTTCTCAAAAGGTTGAAGTCTTCAGACGCTTTCTTACGGATTGCATGACATGACTGAAATAGAGCTTGAGAAAAATCAAATTGGAAATTGAATCAAAACTTGAACTTGACTTCTTTTCTAGACGTAAAATTATTGACTGCAGCCTACGTAAAAAAGTCCAAAGGAGCTTTTTCCACGCGTATGATTCCATTCTTGTTTTAGTACGATCATATCACTAGTAAATCATATAAAGCTCCAAATCTTCCGCTCAGTCAGCCGAACAAAAATCTCAACGTCAATCCTCTCCATAAATTAACGATAAAGATAAATCAAAGATAAATCAACGATAAATCACGATAAACCAACGATAAATTAACGATTCAGCGTAAATATCCCTTGATCCACGACCCTACGCGCGCGCGCCAACCACCAAGCTCACTTATCATGACAGCTCAATATCCATTATATGATCAGGTTTGAGTTTTTCATGTTTTGGTGTTTCGATTCATCTTTTGAAACATCATTTGTACCTTTCTTCCATCATGATTTTTTGTAGCGTCATCCGTCCCACGAAGAATATCGCAAGAAAGTCGTCAGAAAGATTGATCTGAACACTCTTCCTGGTGTCACTTTACTCTATTTAGCCTGTTACAGTCAGCACATTTCACTGACTGTATTCTGATTCCTTGTGAAAAAAATCCTTCGTCTTGGCTGAGCCTTGATGTTTGTTTGACTTATCCTTGTTGTGACGCGTAGTTGATCGATCCAACATCGGGAATGCTAAAGTGAGTTTGTCTTGTCTTCAATCCATTAACGTCATCATGGTGAACTTCATGAACAGAACATCGCCAAGAATGGTAATAAATATATACTAAACTATGGCTCTCATCTTCAAACTAGGTTGCTGGTTTAGTCAAGGACCTCGGTCTCACAGGTTCACAATTCAGCATTGCTTTGAGCGTTTTGTGAGGATTTTTCTCTCTCTTTGATCGTGTGATTTCCGGAATGAAATTTATCGCTAAGACAATCCAATGTGGCAGCTTTATAACCTATCTGTTGGTCGAGGTACCTTCTAACCACATACTGAGATTGGTCGGAGCAAAGGTGAGTCAAACCTTTCTTATGGGTTATATGTGGGATATACAAAGTATTGAGAAAGACTTCCGTGATAGATCTGGCTACCCTTATTGGTGTTCTGTTGGGGTTTGTGGCTCACTGATACATCAAGGCCACACTGCTATCTTTAAGATTGACCTTAACTTGTGTTGCTATAATGTATCATATGTTGGTTTTTGTTTGTAGGCGCTTTAACCGTTTTGGCGGCGTTTATGACCAATTTTGCAACGTTGATTGTCGTGCGTTTGTTTTTGGGTACGTCAAGGGTTTTTTTCTCATGTCCAATCAAGTCTTTCCGCGTTTCTGAAGGGAAGCTGTTCGTGATTGGCCATTTAGGGCTCTTTGAGGGTGGTTTACTGCCTGGTATAGTTAGCATTTCGACATACTCTACTCAAACCAAAGCAAGACAATTAGGATTTTGATCATCATCTTTTGTAATTTCTGTATGATTCAGGTTTTGCTTCTCTCAACACTCTACAAGCCAGAAGAGTTACAGTTGAGAGTCGGGATCGCTTTTGCCGGAGCATCTGCAAGTGGTGCTTTAGGTGGGTTGATAGCGTATGGGATCCAGAAAAACATGGAAGGGGTGGGAGGTAAACCAGCTTGGGCGTGAGTGATTCAGACTACATCTCTTGAAACTATCTTTTTGACTTGTATGAACTCATTGAGGAAACCATAGATGGATATTCATTCTTGGTGAGCTTCCTGGTCAAATCGTCAACATACCTTATCACGCAGCACGACTAAGATGTGATCCGGTGAATTTGATATGACAGAGGGTTCTGCAACAATCTTGATCGCGTTCTTTGGCTGGTGGTACATCTGTTCGAGTGTTCAGTCGGCTAGCTATCTAAATGATGAAGAGAAGGATTTTGCAGGTTTGATCGATTTTTCAAAAATCTTTCTCTTGCTCACCAATGACACTCTAGCTTTCTTTCCCGCGAGACGAACTCTAAATTTCTTCGGTGATTTTTCTTCTATGTACCCTTAGTCAATCGTCTCAGAGTCCCAAGATATACAGGTGTCATAAGCCCTTCTGAAGGAGTCAAGGGAAAGGAAAAAGAAGTTTTCGAGGATATTCCCTCTCAAGAGGCTACCCACGCTTCTTCAGATCTAGAGCATGACTCTCAACTTGAAAAGTTTGAATGGCCGGAAGTCTTTCGTGCAGTTCTAGATCCACAAGTTTGGTTGATGGGACTGGCTGGAGCTGCAGTCGCACTTCCCTTGACGTCATTGGGCTTTTATCTGTACGTCTCTTTACTGCCTGAATGTTCTCGCAGGGGTGCTATTGCTTGGCTTTATACTCCAGCATTACCCTAGCATTTTCAACTTACGCTTTCGTTTGACTATGAACTGAATCTCTTTGGATCGCGAATTTTCCGATAGACCGTCCTGTAGGTCCAAATTCTCGATACTATAGATCCTTCATGAATGAGACTGAATTTTGATGCTGTTTGAAATCGTATAGTGATCGCTACACTGGGGCATACCGGCGCTCACGCGCAACTCTATTCCGCATATCCATACATGTCTGGCTGTATATTGGTCATAGTATCTGCCTTTCTCGCAGATAAGTGGCATTTACGAGGACCAATTGTGCTTGCCGTTACACCTCTATCGATTGCAGGATGTAAGTCGTGTTTTTATAACTTCATTCGAAAAGTTGCCTCTGGGAGTCATCATGACTGATTTCACATGAGTCTATGTTCCAGATGTGATGTTGATTTTGGCCAAAAATCCGCATACACTTTATGCAGCGTTTTTTCTCGTCTTGGCCGGAGCCTTTCCCGCTGTACCTTGTCTTCTATCTATCGTCCCAAACAATACATCAGGTATTACTAAGCGAGCAACATCAGTTGCAATGCAGGTGATGGTCAGTCACATCTACTCTTCATAAGCCTAAGCCTGCCTATCTAGATAACTTGAAGCTGATATTCATCAACGCAAAATAGCTAGCAGCTGTGGCTGGATTAATCTCACCATTCATATATCCTGAAGGTACCCCTATCGTGAGAGGCCATAAGATAGCGTTGGCTTTGCTTTGCGTTGCTTGGGTCTTGACAGCCGCCAATGTACTATATTGCAAGATTGAAAACTCGGCCCGAATGGCTGGCAAACGTGACTATGTGGTAACAAAGTATCTAGAGAAATTCGAATCAGGAAAAACTAAAGCGCCCATTGGTGATCGTGATCCGGCTTTTCGGTTTACACTTTGAATGCGATTCTTTTACCCAAACCTTTGTAAACAAAATCATGTAATGGGAAGATGGGAGGAGTGGATTTGAATATATCAACGCTAAACTAACAGGATTGTCAACATATAGGCTTACTTACGTACCTTAATATGGTGTTGATGGGTAACAGTTCACAACTAGCCAACAAAGATTTGCTTGTTCATATTAAACACATGTGTTATCTTCCACTTCCATGCTGCTCTTTTCTACTTGATTCTCTTTTGTCTCATCTTTTATGTATATATACTCCCTAATCTTGTTTATCAACCTGAGGAATGATAATGAACCCTCCTCCACATCAGAAAATCCGCTGCTTCATGGATTCTGAGAGCCTCATTGTACCGTCAGGCGTGAGTTTGAGAGACAGAGAATGTGTGCAGAATGGAGTACAAGGCGACAAAACAAAGACAAAGGGGTTTTCTTAGCCTCTGCCAACAACATCAAGGATGATGTGGAGCATTCATGGAGCTTGAAGTTGTAAGCTTCCAAGAAATGTTTGAGTTAGAAAATTGTAAGTGATATTCAATGCATATTTGATCTGGAGGGCAAAATGATTGAAAGGTTTTATGGTCAGCATAGTCAATCAAATATGTCAAAGGGTCAAGAAGTATCTTGTTCTGTTGTACAAGTGGTTCCCAAATGAGCTGTGGTGTGACACAGAGCCTTTGCTGCGCCCAAGATCCTGGGTGCCAGAAGGTGTCAGGTTAATGGCAAAATTTACTGCTTTTTAAAGGAAGCTTTTCTAACAGACCCCAGCCAAGTTTTAATTGCCCCCAAGTCTTCCGGCGCGGGGCGGCTGTTGGATCTGATGGTTCCTGAAGATGCAGCACATCACGGTCACCTGTCAACCTCTCCGGAGCCCTCGTAAGGTGAAGAGGGACTTAGTAAGGTGATTGAAATTCTCAAAGTCTTTCTTGTACACCAACGGTCAACTGTTCCATTGGAGTTTTTATCCATGTCTCAAGAGTACACCAAGTGTGAAATCCCCAAACAATTGCAATTGCCTAGGTACATCATTGTGCATACTCCAGCCTCCCAGCTTGGAATCCTTTCTTGCTTTGGAAGGGCGCGGACACGGCCACACAGAGAGGCCTTTGTCAAGCTTCACAATTACGGTACTCAAACTTGTGTATAGTTGTGTATAGTTTGTCATGTATAGTTTGTGTATAGTTTTTTTTTGGCGGGGAAAAAAGACAAATTATACTTTTGGACTCAAATCCCCCGCCAAAAAAAAACTATACACGACTATACACAAAAACCTATACACAACTATACACAAGTTTGAGTACCGTAAATGAACGCGCTTGTTCAGGGGCTTTGTCAAGCAATGTTGCATCCACATACAGTTATCCATGAACTTTCTGATCACAAGCTAGTAATGCTGCTAACACGGAGATTTGTAGCTATTTTCAGGGAATACATAGAAGGCAGAGAGACATTCATACTCAAAGGCCCTCAAAGGCTTCAAAGTTACTGAACAGTCAACCAAGTCTCAATCTTAACCCCACTATAGGTTTTTTTCTTGTTTTAGCTTTGCTCCTCCATCTATGTACAAGACACGACCCCATTCTGCAAAAACAACCATCAAAACAACTAATCTCAATGACTCTTGCTTGGGGCATAATTCTGATCTGCAGCAGAATGGCTTTTCCTTTGAAGGTCAGAGCTATCTGGCCTGCACCAATGGCCATGAACCAAGGATCAGGTCTTTTGGTACTAAACTCTAACTTCACATTTGTTTACGTCAAAGAATTGCCTTCCAGTACTTGGAAACCATCTCAGGATCCAGAGAAAGCCATTGAGGAAACTTGCCAGGGAATCCTGAATGACAATCATTGTGTCTTGGTACCTGACAGAGGGGAGTCCCTTCAAGCTGTGGTTACTTCATCCAAAAATCTGGACAAGCTTGAGCTTAAGCTTGCATCAGAACCCCTAGGCATGAAGAGAAATGATTAAGAAACTATACAAGCACTGGGCTTGGGGGACAAATCATACACACTTGAAATCACTATCAAGCCAGTTGGCCTAGCTACCTTGACGGCAAACTCTTCTTCAGGTTTTCTCAGAGGCGTTCAATCCGTCACTCAGGTCGTTTATACACTTCCTCCAATACTCAACAACTCTGTTTCCTCAAGCTATCCGCAAAATGTTATCGATAGTCCTGACTCACACAATTGAACCTGATATCTTTGGGCATTGTGGTGATTAATCTGTTAGACCAATAAAAAAAGGGGGCTACTAAAAAGCGCCCGCAAATGAAACCTGAGACCGCCCGCTTTTAGAATCCGGTGGTTACTAAGATTGTTGGACTGAACTGTGGTTCAGTTCCGAGGTACTGATCTGTGTGATCGTTGGAATCCAATCAAACAGAAACCGGGTGGTCTTGAAATTTATCAACAAGCCCTCAAAACCCCATGTTCCAATGTGATTGGTCTCTGAAGACCTTAGTCGCTGATTCAAGAGCTGTTGAAACTCTCAAAGATAGTTGGTCAACCTATATATAAGTCTGTTATTTTGATTGATTATTACTTATTTCTTCAATTTCCTCTCTTGATGCGGGTACAACCAAGCTCTTTTCAACTCATCTCCTTTTCATTGCATAAATGTTTTGCTTGTTGAAGCAAAGCAAGTCAGGAATACAAAAGGTGCGTTTTGCATTGGTATGAAAAGTTTTTGACCCCCTCCTATTTTGACTTACAAGTCAGAGGAATGTTGAGTCTATTCTCAACCTTTAAAACTTTGACCAGACCAAGTGAGGGATCAAACCCCGTTGAACCGTTCAAATGGTCACAACAGCTCAGAGCCTTGAATCCTGTTAGGTTTCTAGCCTCATTGCTTGTACAAGACAGAGGATAATTCAGCCTGAGGGGGACACTGGAAGGGGCAGGTCGCATCTATCAATTTGACTGTCTTTTGAGCAGAGCTTAACGATCGAGTTGAAGTTAACGATCAATATGGTGGATGAGATGTGTGTAACGGGAGGTTTTGAGGGCTTCTCGATAAATTTCAAGACCGCCCGGTTTCTGTTTGATTGGATTCCAACGATCACACAGATCAGTACCTTGGAACTGAACCACAGTTCAGTCCAACAATCTTAGTAACCACCGGATTCTAAAAGCGGGCGGTCTCAGGTTTTGTTTGCGGGCGCTTTTTAGTAGCCCCCTAAAAAAAAACCAAAAAAATGGATTTTGAATTACATCAATTATATTACAAACAGTTATATCTTTACATCATTTTATCATTTAAACACAATTATAAATATAAATATAAACTATTGAGAAATGGATTACAAAAAGAAACCAAAGAAAAACATAAGAAAAAGTCAAAAATATAGGTATACAGGCTGGGAAATGGTTTCTAGAGTATTAATATTAGGTTTATGGGTTTTGTGAGGTTAGAATATGAAGGAACAGCATTATATTATATAGTAACAATCTTAATCTTGATGGTTGGTAAGGAGGAATGGAAGTTATTAAGAAAACGGTATTTTTGAAGTTGGTAACAAAGGGTTTCCAGGTACTTGACATATGTAATGGTGGTACTAATAATATTTAAGGTTGCCAAAAGGATTTTTCCAGGATTTCTGAGGCTATAGATGATGATGTAACATTACAGGAGTAAGAGATTGTTAGCAATGGCTATGTAAAGGGGAGAAAAGGTGTGAATTTTGTCAAAAAGGGAGGTTTTTAGCATATTACATATGGCAGATGATGTCAGAATTGGATGGTGGATAGCTCATTCAACACAAAAGCATTGATTACACAATATAGAAGCTTCAAATTATCAGTAACAGGGGTTTGAAAAGGAAGTTACAAGAGGAATAAGAAATTGGAGTGAACTTTGAATTTTACACATACATGCATACATGTAACAACATTTACATACAAAAACCTTAACTTCACAGCTCAATAACTCATCCATCACTCATCAGAAGTACATGGTATGGGACCAATTATTAATCAGCATCATGAGCTATATAAGATGCACTTTAGTAAGAAAAAATTGGACATCATCTGACAAAACCTCACCTGCAAAACCTTTGACTTCAAAGATAGGTTTTCAGCCAGATTACAAGGAACAAATCACCTGTAGTCATCATAAGAAGCGCTGTGTAACATATAATTATATGATTAATCACTTTTGGCTGTGTGAATTACCTCATCTATTAGTAACAAAGTCATTACATTGTGTCATTACATGGTTTTTAGGGGTTTTTGGTCCAAATTGACTGTCTTTGAGGCTGTTGGCCATTGTAAGAGTTGTTACACATCACTATGTATACTTGCAGATAATTTTGGGCTTGTTGTTAGCATTTTCTGAATCTTATACCTTTGTTTTAGTGTTATAAATCATCATTTATTTACTACATTTGTACTAAGTTCACTTAAATCCGCCCCTTCAAAGTAAGGAGAAATCTATTTACGTGTGTTAAAGACTATCTTTTGGGAATGATACTTACAAAAGTATTGCTAGTAATTTATATTGTTTGTGGACTTTTTGAGCTTAAATACTGGAAGAATATCATTAAAAGTATTGTGAACTCTTCTTTTGTGCCTGTTATCTTTTTCTCTGTTATCACACACTGGTTAGCAAGTGCCCTTGTGCTGGTTTCTTTAAAGAAGGCAGTCTTTAGGCAACTTCTACTATTCATATATTAGTAGATTATCCCTGCTTATGTGTTGTAAAGCTCATGTTGAGCTTTAAATATTACAGCGCCCCTCTCAGTACAAGACACACCTAGCTCTCAATATTGCGGTTTGCTTTTGCACACTAGTTGTAACTTCTTCCCTATCTTGGATTTGAAACAAACAATCAATGTCATGAGCTGCGCTAAGCTCAAATATACCTTTCATTGGTTAGATAATTCTCTTTTATTGTTCAAGCTTTGAATATATCATTACAAAAATGACTTTGTGTAGGCTGATTCTTGACTTACGTCATACTCAGGCATATGGTAGATGCACAGAGTTTGCCACTGAAGGTTCCATCTCTTCCTCTGCTCAATCAAAAAGGTGCATACTCTTGCTCCAAATGTTATTCCAGGGATGATATCCAAGAGTTCATTGCCCACACCAACTCAAAAGGAGTTGATGTCATGATTGAGATCAATGGCCCTGGACACACTTCCATTGTAATTTGTTGGTGATGCACCCCCTGATTTAGTTGCTTCACCACCAACATAGATGCCTTGGATTTTTCAATCCAAGGCATCATCAGATATAAACCCTTGGACAGATCTTGTCTGAGGTGTTGATCCAAGGTATATTTTGGTGCAAAAAGATACCTTGGAACAAAACCTTGGAAAGATTCTGTCCAAGGTTTTCAATCCAATGATACCTCAGATTGAAAAATCTGAGGCATATATGTTGACTGTGCTTGGAAAAACTCCAAATGTTGGTGGGAATCCACTGCAGAACAGCCTTCTGGTCAATTATGCATAATGGATGAAAGAGCAGTTCAACTTGCAAAAGAGATTTATACAAAGATTGCACAAGAAGTATCTGGTACTTTTTTCTCCACTGGTGGAGATGAGGTGGTCAGTATTGCCAAAATCTGGCTTGATCTCCCAAAGTTTGGTGTGTTATATAAGTCAAAATGATGATTGCTATCTCAAAATCAGAACTGACACATGGCCAATCAACCCACTCATGATGCACTGCAAGCAATGGGTATGAACTTAACCCAGGTGTGGTTCAATTTTGTGAACCAGACTTGCAATGCTCTTTTTGCTATTGGAAAGACTCCTGTCATCTGGGAAGAGTTAGTACTTGATGATAACTTGACTTTGGGATTGGACACAATAGTTACAGTTTGGCCAAGTTCAGCCAATGCACAAGATGTTGGAGACAAAGGCTATCATATCATCCATGCCGCGAGTAATTTTGCTTATCTAAATTGGTATATTGTTCTGCTCAGCCTCAAACGCTCAAAAATCTATCTCCAGTTTTGGCTTACCTTTCAAATATTTGAACTGGTTGAAGTGGTCTTTGAGAGTGGCTCAGAAACTATACCAAAGGAAAACCTTGGTGCAACCCATTACTATTCTTAAATCCGGATTCACCCCCCCAAATCCACTGTATCCTGTTATGCAGACAGAATTTGAGTGTTTTGCCAGGATGAATGAGTGGATTTACTCCACTTCCCACTTTAGTTGCACCTATGTGCAGCCGTGGGTAGTCTGGATCACTGCTGCCTTGATTTCACCGCCCAGAAACTCTCTATTTATACTAAAATTTGCTCCAGAAGGTGTGCTTTTCATAACCATGGAGATTCTGCATTGAGTATGAGGCAACCTATAACAATCTTTGCAACAAAGGAGTCATTTCCCAACGAATTTTCAAAGTTGAGCTTCTGAAATGGTGCATATCAGCTGTGCAATTCAAGTGTTTTTCAACTTTTTCCTCTGTTCTCTGATACACATTGTGAAAAAGTATGAAGTCTTTTGTTTGATCTTGCTCTTTGTAAGTTGTATTTCAATGCTTTTTGATAGCCCAAATTTAGCTTCTGCTATATCAGGGGGTTTCAAGTCAGGATATTTGTGTGAAACTTTTTATGAAACGGACAAGTTTTCAAAATTTTACAGTGTTTTTTTTTCTGCAAATATATGGTCAAGAGCATTTGGGACACATTTTTAGGTGTCCCAAATTTTTGAAACTTACGTGAAATTTTATGGTCTCAGACAACTTGTTGTACTGCAAAATACCATGAAAATTTTGACTTGAAACCCCCTATTGTTTTCCTTATGGAACATGTGCTTTTCATATCTTGCGGAATTGTGGAGTTGTGCACATGAGCTTTTTGAATACTACATATTACTACTTCAACTGACCTTTTTCTAACCTTCTTTCATATGCATCAACACACATTTTGTAAAATTGTCAATGTTTATGTTTGATATGTCATGGCAAAGTTGTATTTGGTCACATTTCATAGTACATTTCTGGCTTTTCTCAAATGGGTCCTCCCTGTGTCTCAACACGTACTTTTTAAGAGCACCTACACCGTGTTTGTATCCTTGTAGCACATCGAAGTGCGCACACAAATTAGTTTCCTTACACACTTGACAGACCTATTGAAGAGGTTTCACAACAGACACATCTTCCCTTTATAAACTGGGATGTTGGCAGTCAGTTGACCCCAGCTGATGACAAAGGATTCTGTGAATCCCATAACTAAATCATTGTTCACAAAGGGTTCTCAAGAACAATCTCAGTCAAAATCTGACTGAAAGACTTTCAAGTTTATTTTGAAACTCTCCGTATGTGCACGTTGACGTGCTACAAGGATATTGACATGGTGCTACTTTTATCATTGGTCTCTACTTTCAAAAGTTGTGTTTTTGAATGCTTTTTAAGTACAAACCTCAAGTTAACATTGCCTGCTGATTAAGCTTTTACTCATCACCCTTGCTCTAGCTCTAAACATACATTTTTAGCAGTCTTTGCTTTGGTCATGATCAATCCTTGCTTCTACACATTGCTTTTCATTCTTTTTCCACCAATTATAAATGTACACATTTCCATCTTTTCCAGAAAACAAGGCTGCCTTTTTCTTTGAATTACTCTGAGGTAAATGGCAATTACTTGGTTACTTTTCCCATTGTCTGGAGAAGGCAAACACAAGTTCTACTGACAATCATATGAATGCGTGAAATCAAGATACATTTTTTAGTTGATAACTGTCTTTTTAAAAGTCACCTTTATACCGTTGGCTCTTTCACAAACACCAATTTCTTTATGTTTGTGGAGTGTTTGTTAGCGTGAAGGCCAGCCTACGCTCTAGTTCGAGGTATAAACTAAACTCTCCATTTTTCAAGCATGTCTCATATTGATCTGTGTTACCAATCATTTTTTTTCTCTGATAGACCTGGCAGAAGGTGAATTTCTATTGGGAAGTCAAGATCAATAAGTACTTGTGAGATTCATGAGACAACTCTTGGATGTGGTTCAGCTTTACTCTTATGATCTATATACCAATATTACAGATAATCAACACAGACAGATCATGGGAGTTGAGTTCAATCAATGTGTCAATTCTGATGATTAGATGGAGCTACCCAGGTTTCTTATAGTCTAATCAAGCACAAAATCTTGTTGATCAAGTCAAGATCTTCTATGGAGTGAACAGACTGATCCACAAAATTTGGATACCTTGCTTTGGTGAGCTTTTTTAAAATTTGTATTGAAGGATGCCAATATGATATACTTACACTTCTCAATCTTCAGGCCTTGGGCATTTGCAGCTGCAGAAGTGTATTGGACTGGAGCTCAGATCTCAATCAATGGGAAAGTAACACCATATAATCTTATTGAAGGCTTGTCAAGAATTCACAATTTGTGGTCTGTTCTGCGTATATTGACCATTAAAGTCATCTCATTACACATTTTAATTTGCATTTGATGTTTTTTCTGTTGTTACATTCAGATATTGGATGGTGCAATGGAAGATTCAAGCCACTCTGCTCCAACTGCAATATTTTGCTTTGCGGATGGGAGAGTGTGATGGACCTCCCTCATAACTCATTTCAAGTGGTGGACTGTGTCTGCAGTGGCTCACTTGACATGTATCTTCATGGTCTAAGTCAAGTTCTTGAACAGTCACGGTACTCAAAGCAAGTATGTACCATGTACTTACTTTGGGCTACATACTTTTTTTTGGTGGGGAAAATACTTCGAAAATACTTTTTTCTTTTTTTTCCCCGCCCAAAAAAAACTATGTACAACAACTATGTACGTGTACATATGTAGCTTTGAGTACCGTAAGTATGTAAGGTATTTATTAGTCTGCTGATATTTACAGACTGTGGGCTCATCTGAATTATACAGTCGTTCTCAGAAATGTTGGAAAAATCCAACATCTTGAGCTGAGGTCGTGGTTCCAAGGAGGCAACTTTTTGATGACATGTGTCACGGAAAAAGTCATGGCAGCTGTTGAGTGGAGATCAGTGTCCCTTTCACCAACCTCAACTCGCTTTTGTCCTCTCCATGCCATCCTTCCTCTGATCCTCAGCTCGTGTTACAATCCCTTAACCATGAAATCATAGGTCTTCACCATTATTCTGAAGAGATCAGTCCGTTAGCCTGGCCATTGGCAAGATAGTAGTGTGGTCATCAAGGTATGATGGAAAGTAATTGAATCTTCATCTTGAGATACCTGTCAAAATCAAAGTTTTTGTCAGTGTTTGTATCTGTGTGTCACTGCTCAGCACACGGACCCCGAGCTCAGCTCGAGATTTTGCATTTTTCAAACATTTCTGAGAATGACTGTAAAAGACTCAGAGGGCTTTAGTCAAGGAATGAACCATCACACCACCGGGCATCTCTGTGCCACATATCTTGAATGATATTGATTTTGAGGATCTTGCCTCTGTTTTGCTCAATCTCTGGGGGCTCCTCAAGATTTTTGTGCTGTAATGAATAGTGCAGGATTATATAACTGCAAGTCATCACCTCCCTATCAATCTATCAAGGCATCTGAACCTATTGAAAATGGGGTCCCACAAGCAAACATGTGCACAGCTGATTGACACAGATCACTTGAGGCCATACTTAGATCATTCTCAGCACGCGGAAACCAGAGTCAACTTCACAGGCTACCTTTACAGTAACTTGATGTCCAGGCATAATTTTCCATGTGTAAGGCAATCAATGTTAACCCTGGGTATTCTGGATTTGAAGTGTAGTATTGATTGAAGGTAGTTTTCACTTTTCCTTCAGCCAAGTGAAGTGACCTCATCAAAACCAGCCAAAACAAAATTTCACAATGCAAGCCTCAACTTGTGGTCCCTTTTCCGTAACTGAATGGTGATGAGATTTGTCAGACTCCAGAAATCGGATGATCAAGTTCATGCGGCCCTGAGACTCAGATAAACAAAATGTACTCAGCAGGGTGACCGGGGCCTGCTCGGGGCCGAGCTATCATGAATCAACACTTGCACAGCGTCACATCGCCGATCGGTATTCATGTCATTGTCAAGACAGTCATCGTCATCATCGTACACTCTCTCTACTCAAACTACACATCAAACCACACCTTTCTTGAAATTTGTTGTCAAGCACGCTTCAAAACATGTCGTATGGAAACAATCAGGGTAACGGTCATTCGCCTTTGAAAGTCATCTACAACCAAGCTAGCACTGACGTCCCGTGGAAACCTGTCAGGCTACGGTTACGGTCCACCTCCTGGAGCCCCTCCTACTAGTGGATATGCCCCTCCTGGCGGTGGTTATGCCCCCCCACCCGGTGGACCTCCGAGCGGCGGATATGGCCCCCCATCTGGTGGCCCTCCCGGTAGTGGATATGGCCCTCCACATGGTGGACCGCCTGGCGGAGGTCACGCTCCTCCCCCCGGTGGCCCTCCCGGCGGAGGATATGGTGATCAAATGGGGCCGCCTGGTGGAGGATACGGAAACTCGGCACCTCCACCATCGCATCAGACGCGTCCAGGCAGTGTGCATCGCCCAAGGCCACCGAGCCAAAACATTGATCCGCAACTAAGAACGTGGTTTTCGGCCGTTGACCGGGATCGGAGCAACTCCATTAGTGCCATTGAACTGCAACAAGCCCTGGTGAATGGCGATTGGACACCGTTTGACCTAGATACGGTCAAAATGCTAAGTGAGTCGGTATCAGTTGTGCTTGTCATCATTCCAATCAGCTGAAGCTCGGATGTCATACAACTTAGTGAACATCTTCGATACCGATCGAAGTGGTACAGTTGGCTTCGAGGAATTCGCTGGTCTTTGGAAGTACATCAAGGATTGGTAAGCTCCACCGATTCCCCAGTCATGATCTGGGATTGTATAGTTGCTTATGATACGTGCCATCACAACTCTGTTCGCCAACAACATTTAGGCAAGGTGTGTTCCGGCACTTTGACGCCGATAGATCTGGTACCATCGCTGGTCACGAGCTTCGCAATGCCTTGGATCAGGTACACCTTTTGGTCTTACTTATATTTGAAGCGTTGCAGGAACCTAACCCAGAACCATCTCTTATCTCTACAACGTAGTTTGGGTTCCGCCTTCCTCCCCACTTACTTCAGTTATTGGAAAGAAAGTACGGTGAGTGGATTTACAATGAGAGATTCCGTGCCTATTCCCCTTCGGTACTATCTCTCCCATATGAAGATAAGCATGTTCGTTCATAATTTCACCCCAAACCATGTTGTATGATCCGATGCAATGGTCCGTGTGAGTGGACGCTGAAATACAATCTTTTGGCTCGCACTATGTAGTGATGAGTCCCGCTAAAGGCACAGGTTCATTACCGTCACGAAACAATCCAGAAGGGGGTATCACATTCGGTGAGTGAAGATCTTATCTCGATAGACATAATCTTACAGCAGTCCCTGACCAAATCACAAATTCTTTTTGAGAATCTGATAGATCGCTTTGTCCGATGGTAATACCGGTTCCGCTCAATGACCTATCTCTACGTGTCGTCCTCTTCGCAGTCTTTCGTATTCTACTCAAAGCAATCCTGATTGAACATGCAAGGCAGCGGGCCGATGTACTGATAGGATCAGTCTGACAAATAAAGCTCTGGCCCAGAGCAAGATTTGATGCTCAATCCATAAACTGACATCTGAAATGTGTTGAATCTTATGCTAAACAGCTGCGTGGTAGTCAAAGCTCTCACCGAATCCTTCCAACGGGCCGATACTGACAAGGATGGCTGGATCCAACTTTCATACGAGCAATTCTTACAGATGGCACTTGAGGTCTGTACTATGCTTCATCAATCTATATTGTCGTCGCTAAAACCATTCCTTTGATATCCTTTTCAGGCCCCGTGAACACAAGCTCAATGGTTGAAAGAGCGGGTCTTCTCAATTATGCCTGAAAGCATCGTGAAGTCATTCTGTTTGTACATGTCAAACACCCAGGATGGTTGCCAGAACTAGTGGCTGAAGTGCCATACGATCTCAGCCACACCTTGTAGTCAAACCCTTGTACCATTTTTATACGCCAGTGGTGGATATCGTCATGCTAGGAAATGAAGCCTGTCACGTAGCAATCACAGTGCTTTGCAGATTACTTCTGAATACTTGTACGTAACAAAAAACATGCGCCATATGAAAAGAGCCTTGCAAGTCACACTTCAATCAGCTTGAGCATCATACAAACCCATTGGTAAGGTTCTCCCTGGCTTGACTACACTGAATGTCAACTTTAATAGTAGAGTTGGAGAGAGCATAACTGTAATTTATGGGGACCTTAGCCCAATCATGGTTGCTCAGAGAAGAGGCGCGCGTTGAGAGATGATTGTAAGAAACTATAAGATGTTTGAGTTAGATTTTACGCATCAATAATCAAAATCAAGAAAGAAAGCAGACACAAAGACGATGCGAAGACAGTGAAGAGAGCGTGAGTTTAGATGGTAGAGACTTTCAACCCAGGTGTGGACTCAGAGTATGCAGCTGGTGGGAGTCGATGATTATAAGAAATTATACAAGATGTCTGAGTAAAGAAGTGTTGGTCATTTACGGTTCGCAAAACACAAGATGGCTTCGGGTATCTATATTACTTTGGGTGACTCGTGAAATATCAAGACGAAAGGAAGGAAGGGAAACAAGCCCATTGAAGGGTCAAGAAGGAAAGAAAGGCAAAGAAGAGCGTTCCGCAGATGCCCCAGTCTCGACAAAATTCCAAAAACCAGGAAAGACAGGATATAATCGCCGGGGACCACCTGTTTCAATTCATCAAACGTGCATTTGACCGTCTGACTTCGTTTATTCATTGCAAGAGAAAGTCCCTTGGTGAGGACTTTGTGTGGCCATTGATTGATATGAACTATTACCATGCGTGTTCCTTTGATGAATCAAATGGTTATGTCAGATTGATGAGATAGCCCAGTATTTTGATCAACTTACTTTGAAGTCCCAGTTGTTGTGCCATCCACACATTGTGTTTGATGAGACTCTTGTGGTTGTAGATCCGTGTATATATCCACCAAGCCCACCAATTTCTCCTTGTGGGATGATCCCTCAGGAGTGTTTGGTGGTCCATCGGTACTATGTGCTCTCAAGACCTCCGACCCTAGCTGATTAAGCGGTTCAAGCAAATTGCTTGCTCTGAAGACCTCCAATCCTCGCTGATCAAGTGGTTCATGGGAACTTCGTGCTGTCAAGATCTCCGACCCTAGCTTACCAAGCGGTTCATCGGAGCTACGTGATCTCATGGTCTCCGGTCCTTGCTTGTCGAAATGCCCCACAGAGCTAGGTACTTTACAGCGTCCAATCCAATAATGAGTGCTTGCATTGAAATCTGCGTGACTTGACTTTTTTTTGCTACAACGCGCAATCAGATTTACAAGAATACTACATCATTGCCAATCATCGTCAACTGTTTACTCGAGAGGTAGAATTTGGAAGGAATGTTTCGAAATTGTCTACGCACATGTTTCCCAAGATTGCTGGGGGTAAATGCAATCCCTATTTAATGAAAGTATCAGCAAATCATGGCAGATCAATGAATCATCCAGGAAAAATCAACCTACAACTAAAGTAAGTCTTATCCACTTGGCGTCTTTCAAGAATCCATCACCCCTAAAGCAAAGCTAAAAGTATGCATAGTGAATCAGAAAACTTTCACGCAGATTAAGCTTGGTATCAAACAGATAGAATTCGGGATCACAGTCACTGACTTGAGCGGTAAGTATGGCAAGTTCTGAGAAGGTAGCAAGAAACCAAGCGACGGCCTGCAACAGAATGGCTCTCCTGCTATTTTGGCTTTTGAAGAATTTTCTTTCTAGTTTTTCACATGATTCACCTTCAACATCCTTCAAAGCACAGCATAGTTTTCTCTCGAATTCAGATTGTGTATAAATATATCTAAGAGAGTAGATGAACAGCGGGATATAAAGCTTGCGAGTAGATAAGAGAAAAAAACCGTTACTCTTGAGACCTCTCAATCATAGAGGAAAACGGGAATCTTAGGATTTACCAAATTGAGGAGGATCAAGATCGCATAATAACAGATGATTCCATGTCGCGTTGAGCGAGCAACTTGATGCTGGTGCGAGGCAGAGTAAGGACAATGAGTGGATGATGTACATGGAGAGTGAAAATCAGATGATAGATCCACTTGACTCACGATATGAGACAACATAGCCTTTGCTGGTGCCAACTGCTTCAACATGACAAGGGGGCTATATGTTTTGGGGTTGAATTGAGGTGCTTTAGAATGAAGGTCATCTACAATACCGTGCAAAATTGATTTTGCTTTATTGTACTCCGTATTGGCGCCGATGTAGCAGTACAGCACAAAGACTTAGATTTCAATTAAGGTGAAGATAAGCTCTTCAGTCCTACGGATGAAGATTAAGGGATATAGATAAACTCGTTGAAGAAACTGACAAATTGAAACCACTACGACTGCGACATAAGTCGTGTTCATACCCCATCGGACGATCGGATTCAAAGTTGTCTTGGAAGCTTTGTCTCTGGTGACCCTTGATGGCGATGTGTGCAGATGGGCGGCGCAGTGGCAGGCGCAGACCCAGACAAAGGCTATTTGCGGATAAAAATGGGATCATAAGCATGAGGTCGATCCGAGTTCAGGCTTAAAGGACTTTAATGCGCGCACCTGATCCGAAAGAAACACGCGCGAGACAATGACCATCAGAAACTACTTTGAAGACTGATAGAAAAGATGAAGTATAGCTCTTCTCATTTACGTGCAACTCACCAAGAACCAATCTCGGCCACAAGGAACTTGCAACCGAAGAGAATTATTTCCCCAGACATATCTATCTTTCCAGCCGAGCTTAGCTGCAAAAGGATGATGTCCACGATAACCACTGAGTAGGCATCAATTCGACGGATCAATGCGAAAGTGGTCTGTGAGAAGGCGGTAACTCGAATTTTGAGGGCAAACACTCATACATAAAAGTAGGAGGCTTAGAGCACCCACTATGGTTGCGGTAACTCGGTGATTTATCGTAAGTTTAGTGCTAAAATCTAGACAGGTCCACTATGGACCTGTTTTAGACTTGCAGTCCCTACGACTGCATCAAATCTTGCTTTCCCCATGTTTAAATCTACGAACAGCTACGACTTGATTTATCGTAGGATAATCGGTCAACAACTGTAGTTTTCAAAACCCCAAACTACAAAACATCACAATTCATTCCTTCAAACCTCATCCTCAAACTTCAACACCTGAACTTCAAAGTTCGAATTTTAAAACTCATTCAAAATCGACGTTCGAATTTCGATTCGTATCTGGCATTTGGTGCGAAGTAGTCATTGTAAAGTTGCTGACCGCGAGCAACACGGTCTCCATCTATACGTATACGAGTATGAGGAAGGGGTGGCGGTGGTGGGAGCTCATTGAAGAGGCCGTCAAAGACCAACTGGTCATAGTCCTGCTGCTCGTCATCGTTGTTTGAAGACTTCAAAAGACGTTCGATTTCTTTTTCAAGGAGCTCGGAGCAGGCATTTGGTGATTTTTTTTGGATGAAATTTATGAAAGATAAGTTATTTCATTTCAAAATTAGACCACTGTGGATCTGGTCGATCCACAGTGATTTATCTTTGGTAAAGCAGATGTTACATCATCCCATAGTGGAATTCATGCGTTTAACAATTTAGTTGTTACACGCATCATCAAATTTGGCGCTCAGGAACGCAAAATCTACGATAAATCATGCCCACCATAGTGGGTGCTCTTACACAAAGGCCATAGTGCTAGTACCAAGCTTATCAAATCAGCGAACTCGATTTGGATTAAACCAACTTTTTTTACAAAGGTTCACTGTGCGGTTAGTCAAGAGATACTTTGTTCAACGAGGCTGGCGGAGACACGCACTCCGTGAGAATGAATACAACTTCCATCCATGTGCTAGTAGGCGTAAGCGCAGAAGATTTAAAGCTTGCAGTAACATGCTAGCTCTCCAAGAACGAAGACTTATTAGTTCATCTGACCACCGGTAAATATATATAAGCAAGACTCAAATTTACACTACACATAAGACCATTGTAAACCACTGCATCGCGCTGACCCAGTGTGCCAGCGGAGTAAGCTGTCATGATCATAGAATCAGCAAGTCTAACGAAGGACACAGAAAATCAATACCCTTACGTTCAGGAGACCCAGGAAGTGCTGAGCCACCGCATCGTACGGATTGAGGTTGGAGGGAATCTGGAGGATAAAGTTGAGGACTTCTCGCTCTTGCGGGTCCATCGTGCTAACTCGGGATGTGAGCATATCACGAGGTCTGGAAGTACAATAATAAAGTTCGTAATTTATGGACAAAGAGCATCACCACCGTGGTGAGCAAATTAGCCCGATTCGATTGTCTGTAATTCCCCAGACAACGGAGGAGTGAAAGCTGTATTCCCATAATTGTGTAAAATCCCAAAAGCTTTGCGCACCGTACAGCGATTTGGCGAGATTATCTATAATATAAAGGCACAAGGCTTAACAACGAAGCACTGTTGCATTCGCCGTGCCCGCCCCTCAACTTCTCCAATCATGATCTCATGATTCCCAGCCAGAGCGACCATCAACTCACAACGAAGCACCGTCGCATTCGCCGTGCCCGCCCCTCATCTTCCCTAATCATGACCTCATGATCCCCATCCAGAGCGACCATCAACTCGCTTTCATTCATCCGTCGACACCCCCTTATTCAATCGTGTCTCACACGTCCTGCATACCTTTCCCTCCCAACACAAACGCTATGAATACTACATCCCTTGCAAACAACAGGGCCATGCTACCCAATTACCAATGCATCCAGTCTGATTTGATTCCTATATCGCCCATTCTACAAAGTTTTGCGGAGGCCCTCGATGTCACGAACCAATGTGGTCCATTTCGCCCACGCTCGCTACCAATCGATGTTAGACCACCAAACTCAACACCTATTGACCGTCTATACAACTTGGCCAGCTCATCCAGACACGCCCGCTCTGGACATTTTTGATCAACTGTCTGCAGCTAAATTGCTGACATATGATGCCAATAATCGAAATTCTGACCCAGGCATCCTCTCTTCAACCAGCAGACCCTGACGTGGGCGTATCAGATGTGCTCTTACATTGCCTCCAACCTCGACTTCTGTCCATGTTAAATAGCAGAGTTTTCTCATCAATAACCTGCCAAATAATAAATCGCTACCAACAAAGTGCAACATACCTTCGCTCCCGATAAACGATCAAAACAGCAATTCCTCACAACTATGCGATCCCACCTTTCTGCTGGATTACCTCTACGTTTCAGCTGCCTCTTCTGGACCAGAGAACAAGTATGTAGATCCCATTTACAAACTGGCTCTGATACTGACATTGCCTCACAGGTCGATTCGAATGATCCTAGCCCTAATTCAATATACAAACACTTCCAGAGTGACGTGATCTTGGATCGCGGTACCCTCACAGGCATAAAAATTCTCATCGCTACCAAATCGGCTAATACGCAAATCAAGAAAAATCACGCATACAAAATCGAGGGTCCAGTCTCAGCAGGATGCGATACCGTCTCAACTCTTTTCGAGGAACCAGAAAACACAATCATTATAGATTCCGCCGAAATTCGTCTCCATCCACTTCTCAACAAGGTCACCGCGCAAGGAGTTGGCCAAATACTGGAATGGTCTCTGCGTCGCGTGCCACACGACCGCACCGCGATTGAAGTCATCAAAGTCCTTCACCGCGGCAAGGAGACAACGGTGAGACGAACATTTGCCCGCTTGAATCCCACCACGAGGCTAATTATTACCTTACAGGGCAAGCGCCGGGTAGATTTTTGTGCCAATTATCTGATAGACAATAACATCGCCTCAGGCTTAACACTCGACGACCTGTCAGTCGGCAATCTCATTGCATTGCGCGGCAATGTGGTTGGTCACCATGCAGAAACCAACACCTGGGATATAAATGTGCGCTTTAACACTCTGATTCTCCGATTTCAACCGCTGACCGTATATAACAGACCACAGAGATCTTCATGATTCGACCTCCAGACCAGCGAAGGCCCAAGTCGAGACCAATCAGGCAGCCGGCGAAGCGGAGCAGACGCCTGCGAGGCCTGGCCCCCGTCAGGTCTTGAAAAGCATCCCATCCTGGCTTAGTGTGCTTTTGATGTTATCACTTTGTAAAAATTTCGTCTTCACGTCCTTCAATTGTACATACATTCTCAGCCATGTGTAAATTTTCGCGAAATCGATTGTGACTCGGGGCCAGCATTGACCAGGGCTTTTGTGTCATAAAGCATGTTACCCGACCCTCCCCTCTCAAATGCAAAGCATTTTGTGTGTTTTCTCTGGGACCACCGCGAGGACCCCAGATATCATCATTCGTTGGTCATCCAAGATCTAGAACAATGCTAAATCCCTGACAATCTGAACACAGAAGGGAACCACTTTCTCAGTAGGGACATGCGACGTTTGGGCTGGAGTAAGACCTCATCAATTGCGTCTCAACAATAATCGAATAATTAAAACTGACCTGTGCAACGCTGAGACCAATGGATACCAGGCCACGCTCACGTCATGGGATCAAGCAGTTGACGCTCAAGGATACCCGCTGGCCTTCGCTAGATATTCATTGAACGGGTCCTGATTGTGACCCATTGGGTACTAGGAAGAGGTGGAAGGAACCAACCGTTAGTCGTCATTAAAATCAGTAGTCCATATTAGAATGCAGAGCTGACTACCCACGTCCCCGATTGCTATTGGAAGCTGTTCTATTCTTGAACGCTAGCCTTTGATCGAATGGGCCTGAGACTGTTCCTGAATCTGGGGCGTCAGCTCGACGCGTAGACCAACGCCATTTCAATGACATATCGCAGTATGAGTCTCGCCTTTGAGCGGTTCGACTTCCGGATCTTTAGGTTGGCACGCCATTTGCCTCTCAACAATAATAACAACGGAATCAGTTTGCCGGTCTCTTATATAAGACCAGCCGAAGTATTAAACATTCCACACTTCGAATCTATCACTTCCGCATACGTTACAAACTGGAACCACACCATTACACTGTCCAACGCATAACACTCACTGTGTAACTGTCTCCGCTCGGCTCTGCCCGTACCTCATCAGCTTCCGCCCCTGAATCACACTGAACAATATCATGTCTGGAAGCAATACGCCATCAAAAAAGTCTCACCCATTGAACGTTTCAGGCGTAGTCGAAGTTTCAGAGATAGTACGTTCCAATTCGGCTTACGTAGCCAGCTGATACTAACACACCATGAAAGCTTGCTTCACTCAACAACCTAAGCTTTACCTGGAGGAACTCAACCGTCTCTATCACGTGCAATGGATGGGACAACGCCAACGAACGTGAATACAATGGTATCTTGACCGGCTATTCGGCCACTGAGCACGAAGTCGGCGACGAACGATGCTACACAATCAAAGGTCGGATGATCCCAGCACCCGACTGTGCGGACTTTCAAATCTACTTCGATCCAATCCACAAGATCGATTCAGGCCCATCAGAGACATTTATTGGGAGGCTACACGACAACACGGCAGCTTCAGGTTTCGGCATAGTAGCAGCAAAGACGGAGATAGCCGACCTCAACTCCGATGCGGCAATTTTGGTGTTTGTCATGAAACATACGGACTACAGACCAGAGGTCAGGTTTCCCTGCGTTGTGCAAAGCGTATGTTGCACTAATTAATTCATTTGTGGCCACAGGACAAGTCAACTCACGAATTCGAAGTCGAGTACCGTATGCGACCCACACCAAACTTGAAGAAGACCCAGGGCTTGATCCAGGAAGGTAAGGAGACCCTGGCCCATGGGTACATTGTCGATTGGAATGCAGAGCACAACCGTTGGATCGTGGATGTGAGTCCACATTTCGCATTTATTTAGATACTCTGGGTGCTCAGGCTGACTAAAGCGCATCGCCGAGGGCGCAAAGGTGACGGGGATTAACATTGCTAGCGGTCACCAGTCGGTTACCAAGAAGAAGGCGGCAGCCGGCGCTCAAGTAACGCCAACAGGTCGTGTGAAACCAGCTAAGTGAGTTGACGTTATTGCCTTGGCCGTTCATAGCTGATGTTGAAACCTCAGGCACAACAGCACGCCTACCAAGCCGGCCCCGGTTACGCCTAAAAAACGAACTGCCCCAGCAGGTAAGGCAAAAGGCCGTGTGAGGCCAGCGGCGGCTATAGCTGAAGATGGACCCGATGCGAACCTGGACGAGGGTGATGTAGTCGAAGAAGCCATCACCACACCGGTGAAGAAACGCGGCACGGCGAACACCAAGAGTAAGGGCCGTGCCCCAGCTCCGGTCGAGCAAGAGGAGGAGATTGACGAAGATAACTTCGACAACGAGTTCGAAGACGCTTTTGAGCCCCCCGCTCAAGGCACAAGTACTGGCCGTGGAACCCAAGCCGGTCGAGTACCGAGGCGTCCTCGAGGAGCGTGATGGAACCGCGGCCAAGTTTGTTTTGTTACCGTTTCATATGATCATTTTTGTCTTCCATGATGTCAGAGGCTCGAGATAATGTAGTACAAGTGTTATGGAACTGTTGTCTCTCTTTGGTGTGAAATGTAATTTGACCGTACCGCGATTTAGAGCTGGACCAAGTCAACAAAGTCCCTAGCCCAGCCAACAGAGCTAATTTGATTGGCCTGGCCTTTCGCAACCCCATGGAGCTCTCGATGCTTATAGGATGATGGGATGTACCCTGCCTCGGTCGATTTTGCAAATACTTGGCCCAGGCTCTATACTAGCCTTCTGGACTGGCCCGAATATAATCCTCTCACAGACTTCTCATCTGACTGATAAACGTTGGTGGTACGAGCTTGCGGCTACGTTACACCTCAAAGTCGCCTCAAACTATCTTCCGTGAACATCCTCGCATTCATTTTGATCAGGCAACGCGGCACCACTCAGAGAAGCTTGAATACGAAGGACGGCAAGCGCTCACGTTAATTTCAGCATCGCCAGCTTTTAGCATGGCGTCATTGTTTCCAGCCGCCTCCAACGGCCCTGCAGCTCGAAATCCATCACAGTTGTCGGAAGAAAGCTTGAGGACCCGGTTTCCAAACGAGATGCCTCTTGACATTGGCGACTGCGACGATCCCTGTACCGCATGTAACGCTTTGCATTGGCGCGGCGAACGCACACAAGACTACTGGAAAGCGGATGAAGCGAATTATTCAGCCTGTTGCCAGAAGCGGGCAGTCGCGTTACCAAGCGATGATCTGGAGAACAAACTGTCGCCTCAATTTCTCCAAGACCTGCTGACGGGCACTGACGAAGGTAGGCAGTCATCTTTCCAGGAGATGAGCAATGCTGACTTTGATAACTGCACAGATTCAAGGCACTTTTGCAAGCATATTCGAGCTTACAACAATGCTGTGTCTTTTACTTCAAATGGAGTGAAGACAGACAAGACGGTCGCCGGCAATGGAGGGACATGGACATACCGCATTTTTGGGCAATTGAGTCACAATATCGGCGCCCTGCTACCACCTGACGGGCAGCCTAAGAAATTCGCACAGATCTTCATGGGAGGTGATCAAGCCGATGGCGAAGCCGCTGCTCGGTCAAAAGCAGCGGGAGGCGGACTCCGACCAATTATCTTAAAGAAATTGCAACGCTTCTTATACGCAAAGAACCCGTTTGCCAAGCTTTATAAATCTTCCGAACAAGTGGCAAACGGGTCCCAAATCAGGACGATAAAAATCAAATCGCTGGCGATTGGGAACCGGGACAAAAATCGTTACAATTTCCCTACGTGTAATCAGGTTGCGGCAATAATAGAAGGAGACGGGGAAGTAGGATCTACTGATCGTGACATCATCCTACACAGGAAAAGCGGGCTGTTGCGGCGAATCTCAGAGCTGAACACAACCTATTTCGCCCTGAGGTACCCCGTCCTTTTCATGCATGGATCGCACGGATGGGACGAGCATTATCGCAATCCTGCTTCAAGGCGTGAGTTATTTCTCTGCCAACGATCCTTTATCAATATACCCTTTGACATATAACTGCGGGTTGAAACAGGTCCAACTGGCAAAGTTAGTCGATCCGAACATTGCGCGTATCAATTATTTGAACGTCCAGGCAAATTTTCGGCTATCCTCAGGGGGGGGCGTTTGTTGCAAGAATACGCGGTGGACATGTATACAGTGGGTCTCATCAAAGATTGAAGTATTTTCGTTTAAATCAACCCAAACTTCGCGCTGAACTGTACAACGGAGCTGCCGAAGGACTGCACAATGACGACTTCGCCATTGGCCGTAATATCATCTTGCCTTCCTCATTTGTTGGTGGGGCGAGGGCGATGCATGAACTTTATCACGATGCGATGTCTTTGGTCAAACGCTTTGGGCATCCAAGCCTTTTCATCACTATGACCGCTAATCCGAATTGGCCGGAGGTCACCCGGGCGCTGCTACCTGGCCAAAAGGCTGAAGACCGGCCTGATCTTCTCGCGAGAGTCTTTTACTTGAAGTTGCAAGAAATGCACAAAGACGTGAGGAAACGTGGGCGCTTGGGTAATTGCGTTTCAGATGTGCACACGGTTGAATTCCAAAAACGAGGCGCACCTCATGCTCACACAGTCTTGATTAACGACGCGGCTAGCACACCTCGGACGCCAGATGAGGTCGATCTGATTGTATCCGCGACGATCCCCGATCCGGTCGAGGATCCTGTTCTATACGAATTGGTGGTTCAGACTATGGTGCATGGTCCATGCGACCAGAGCAAGTCTTGCTGGAACGGGACAAAATGCAAATACGGATACCCTCAACCATTCAGCCCGGTGACTGCAATGACAGAGAGATCTTACCCTCAGTACAAACGACCGGATGATGGGCGAAGCTTCGTTAAAAACGGCACGACGTACACAAATAGAGATATTGTACCTTATAACCGGTTCCTGCTATTGAAATATCAGTGTCATATTAATGTGGAAATCGCGACAAGTATGAAATCTGTGAAGTACCTTTACAAATACATCGCGAAGGGGCATGACAGACAGGAGTTGGCGATGGAAAAAGAGGACGAGGTGACTGAGTTCGTCGATGGCCGGTATTTAGCAGCTCCGGAGGGTGAGTGATTATTGTCGACTGGACTGATACATTAGCTTACTTTACTTTGCAGCCATCGTCCGGCTGTTACAGATGCCACTATCCGGTAATCACCCGGCGGTCAATCGGCTGGCCTTACACGACGAGCATACAAACATGGTTTATTTTCGCGACAACCAGGCTCTGAGGGCGGCGATCGACACGGGCAGAGCGGCAAGAACGACATTGTCAGAGTTCTTCAGGATGGCCAACTTGGATCAATTGGTGGAAAGGACAACTTTCACCGTGCGAAGCTTACTTTACACCGAAATGACAGATTATTATTGGTGGAACAAGGTTGATAAACGTTGGTCTCGGAGGCAGAAAAATATCCGTTCTATAAGCCGGCTTTACTTTGCCAAGCCAGGCCATGGCGATCGGTATTACATGAGACTATTACTGACTACAGTTCGAGGGCCTAGGTCTTTCCAAAGTCTGCGAACGGTTGACGGACAGTTGCACTCAACTTATAGACGCGCGGCTGACGCGATGGGACTGCTTATGTCAGATGCTCATTACGATGCATGTTTAACCGAGGCCGCAGTTTGGCAGTCCGGCCACCAACTTCGGGAGATGTTCGCTTTAATATTGGTTCATAGTCCACCTTCCGATCCGCAACAGCTTTGGGATGACCACGTCGAGGATTTGGTGGATGACTGCCCTTACCAGCTTGCATTGCGCGTCCCAGAAGTAGAGCCCACCGAGGAGCAAGTCGAAAACTACGCTTTGTCCCTAATGGAGAAGTCGCTTGAGTATATGGGTAAGACTCTGTCCGAAGTGGGCTTAAAAGAGGTGGACGTTTCAGCTTTGGCTCAGATTGGGTGTAGCATGTCGTTTGGCAATGATGAATCGACGACACCGGAGGCCAGCCATGAATACGTCACGAACGCAGGTCTGACAATGACCGATGAACAGGGAGATGTCTACGATGCAGTTGTTGAGGCCGTTCATGGGGACGTAGGCAGGTTACTGTTCGTGGATGGCCCAGGAGGGTGCGGGAAGACTTTCCTATTGAATGCGTGTTTGCACTATTGCAACTCACAGAATATACCGTTCATATCAGTAGCATCCTCAGGTGTCGCCGCTCTGCTACTACTAGAAGGTTCGACGGCACACTCGGCCCTTGGGATTCCGCTAGACGTACACGGAGACTCAACCTGTTCTTTCAGCCGAAACGACGCGGTTGGAAAGCGTCTGGCAGAGGCCAAATTTATGGTTTGGGATGAGATTGCTATGCAACACAAGCATGCAATCGAGTGTGTTGACCGTAGCTTGAGGGACTTGCGACACTGTGACGAGCCATTCGGAGGCCTGACGATTCTGTTCTTGGGAGACTTTCGGCAAACACTTCCCGTTGTACTGCATGGAAGCCTATTGGACACTGTGAATGCGTGCTTCAAGCACTCTGAACTTTGGGCTCATGTTGACGAATACGAGCTCACTAAAAACCTACAGCGTGGAGACGATCCGGATAACCAAGCTTATGGGGAATGGCTTTTAGAGTTGGGATCAGGACAACTGCAAGATGATCACGTAGATAGGGTCAAACTGGAGCATGTAAAGGTAGTAAGCATCAAGCCAGGACAACCATTGAGCCGGCATTGGGTCAATCCTTTTTACTTGGGGATAAACAATTTGGTACGGCACCGAGCTTGGCAACAATTGGCTCAGTTTTATTCTGCCCGTGCAATCATCACCACCCTAAACGCCACTGTGGCCGATCTGGATGCGATGGTTTTGAGAGCCTTGGAGACCGAACAGAAGGAGTATTCATCAATCGACACGCTTGACGAGGAGTACGCGTCGCATGTAAGCACGGAGGTCTTAAATAGCTTCAATTTCCCGGGTTTTCCTGGGCACAGCCTTTCCTTGAAAGTCGGTGCGGTCTTGATATTACTTCGGAACCTGAACTTGCATTCCGGGCTCTGTAACGGCACAAGACTTTTAGTAACTGAAACGTCGGAGAATGCACTTCAATGCCTCATCGTGTCGGGTCCGAAACGAGGGACCTGTGTTTCTTTACCGCGCATGAAGATGCATCATCCCGGGAATGAAGGAGTTCCGATCTCATTCTTTCGCTTTCAGTTTCCGGTGAGCCTGGCTTTCGCAATGACGATAAACAAGTCGCAAGGCCAGACTCTGAACCAGGTATGCGTGGTCCTTCCAGCCCCGGTGTTTGCGCATGGTCAATTGTATGTCGCTATGTCGCGATGTACTTCAAGGAGCGCAACCACTGTGATTCTCACCGAGACAGTGCCCGAGCACGTAACGACCAATGTTGTCTATCACGGGTTGGTAGCAGCGTAAGTTCTTTGCTTTTTAGGGGCCGGGTGTTTCCTCAGTGCGATTTGTACATAGGTAGAGAAGAGATGTTTCCTGTATGTAAAGCCCTGTTTGAGCGGTCTTTGTTTTGTACGTAAGAAATGTGAATAGAATGTTTTGTAGCAAAAATGGATTTTCTTGGGCGACCTCGCCCATGTTGATGATACATGCAGTGCATATGGTGAATGGGGCCACAAGGACGTGAACATCAGTTCATTTTATTTGACTTTGAATTCATTGCGCATCGCATTGAGCGACGCATTGATCAACATGTGGGGACAGCAGAAGACAACGTTATGGTAGGTGGAAGCATGATCACGATTAAAATAAAGTACATGGACGCAAAGTAGATTGGGCTTGGATAACTCTCGATGATGAGAAGAAGCAGAGTAGATTGGAATCTAATGGGTAGGCGGCTCCCGACAGTCTTCAGCGACGCCGCGGGTGTGAAAGAGGGATAGGCGAGAAGTCAGTATGCCGGCGTCCATGCAATCAACAAAGATCTGATAGACTCGGAAATGGAATGATATAAGTCAGTGAGCACATCATTTAAGGGCGGGAGTGTCACATGAAAGCCCAGTTCTGGCATACGCTTACCTGCATTCGTGCCGTGTGTCGTCACGAGGGGAAGACTGCTCACGGGAGCCTAGCAGGTGGTGAGAGGAGACGGTGTCAGGAGGTGCGTTGGCGGCAAAGGTAATCAGACTCACAGAAGTTGAAGTGGCTGAATTACTTCCGCGTGTTCGGAAACAATAATGACGTGCATATGGGGTGGTCCGCGGCGTTGGTATTCAACGACGATCACGAATTGTGCAGTGAGGGGCGAGGCGTGGGGTGTAGAAAGCAGTGTTGTAAGTCTAGCACAATAAAAATGATATGATTGCGCAACTCGCTCCGTTTCAGAACAGTTCGAGATGTAGCAAGGGACGGTCATGAGTGCGGGAGGCTGGTGCTGTGAAAGAAGTAAGTCTCGCTTGGTTTGAAAGGATGTGGCTTAGTGACTTACTGTTCTGGCTGCGAGGTGACGATAGAGGTCTGCGCGGTGCGGGGATAACGTAAGGCGGGGGTTAGGGTTCGTTTGTGAAGAAGTGGGTTGTTGATGCGAGAAGGGAAAGAGCCGGTGATGTTCTTATACATTTTGAGAGTGGCCAGCCACAGATATCGTGGCTGGATGACGGCAGGTTATGGATGTCAGGAATGAGAGGTAGGAGATGGTGGGTGCCGGTTGGTGTATTATTAGAATATGGCGAACAAAGATAATGGGTCATGATGGCGGATTGTGGGATGAGGATGGCGTGACTTGATGGCGGGGCGCGTCCTAAGGGAGACAGACGTGCTCTCGAAGTTGATGGTGCGGGGTTAGCCGTGCAGAGTGGGGCATTAAAACTAATGGGCGGCGCGCCGCCCAAGGCCTCGTGGAATGTAAAATGGTCCAAAATGGGCCACCTTCTGAAAACATTTCGCAAATTGATGTCACAATGTAAGATGTC